ATTTAATAACCAATTCACCACCAGGGGGATGAAATACCGGTATTGGTATCGGTATACCGGTATTATTTCAACTAAAAAACAGACATTTTTAGGTTTTATTCTTTTTTTATTGATTTTACGATTAATTAATTAATAATACCGGTATTACACTCAAAATTAAATATTTTTGGTTAATTTGTAGTCATTTTCTACTCAAAATTCTAGAAAATAAATTCTGAACACCCTGTATACTATTATTAATTAAAATAGGAAACGCTAGCACTCCGACGACAATGTTTGGCGTAAACTTTGTGATGACTTTGATGACTTTCAATGTTTCAATACGCGGCTGCATCAAAAGTTAAACAATTCGCGGCATACTGATTTGCCGAGAGAGCAATTAAACGCCTCCGCATTAGCTCAACACAAATAGCGCACGTACCACGACACTAAATGCCTCGCTTCCAAGAATAAATAGATGTTGATTTAATAATTTCATTTGAAAAGAGTTGAAATGTCAGTGACCCGACGGTTTTCAATGAATATGAAATACGACTATCAATATCTCGGCTTCGAGTCGCTTCCTAATGAATTCCAATTGAATTCAAACATCATCGGGGCGTGCGCGCACGCCGCTAATGAACTCTCTTTCACGTGTCTCTGATGAAAACTGAAATGAAGTGTGCGTGGACCACACACAACTCGCACTCGGTTGAACCTCCTTCGAAATGTTTTAATGGTTTTTGGTCGGTGCGGGCATTGTGTAATGAATTTAAACGCAAAGGTGCAAATGCTTTGATCTCGCCTAGTGTTAATTAGTTGGGAAAGGAAAGTTTGTTCATTTGCCGCGGCGATAGTCTTATTTTAGCGTTTAGGAAATGTAAAATACCTGCCGGTGTCGTTAATTAAGCGGCGTGTACTTATCGACGCAGCGAGACGGGGAAAATAATGGATCATTAGATACGGGGAGATGTGGCGGCTGTGGCACAAGTACCACCAGCACTCACCACCAGACCTCTTGGTTATTATTCATTCAGGCGGGCTCTCTCTTTTCGTCCCTGGCGCGCGTACAACTCGCTGTATGTCGAATCATTAAATGCGTGGATTGCGTTATATAATCGATTGGATGTTCTGTAATTTAATTAAAGGCCACACAGGGGTACTTGACAACTGCAAGGAAAGGTAGTTAATTAAAAATAAATAAAATTTAAAGACAAACCTCGTATAACGTCGAATTTTGTGTGTTTTGTGTTGCATACCTAGACATATTTAACTTATTAGATTACTAGCTTTAACCCTTGGCTTCGCTCGCGAATATCTAAAATAATGAAGTTGCTTCCGTACGCGTCTGTAGTCACAAAAGAAGTAACATTGAAGTAGAATGGCGGGAAGTTTAAAATGGCTGAAAGTATAGTCTATGGAAGTATAGTGTACAGTCTCCATAGTGTAGTCAATTGGATTTGATGTTGACGTAGCTGTCGGTAATACAGTGTGATAATACAGTGTGATGGTACTATAGTACTTATGTTTGAGCTTCATTGCTGGAATGCTAGATGGCGTTAAAGTAGTCAAATAACCAGATGCAGAGGTATTATTGGCTAAACAATTTCTTTATTTTATTTAAGAAATCATTTTTTTTATTAAATAAAAAGTAGCCTATAACCATTCGGGGACCACTAAGAATATGTGTACAAATTTTCATGATGATCGGTTAAGTAGTTTTTGCGTGAAAGTGTAACAAACATCAGGACATTCGCATTTATAATATTAGTAAGGATTTGAGTGCATAACCAGCGCAACAAATGATTAAAAAGTTGCCTATCCACAATATTTCTTTTTGTTTACCGATGTAACTTTATATGAAGCAAATATATAAAGTTAATCAATTTAATGACAGTTTATAGACAACATTCCTGTATTAGGTCAGTGTATAAAAGATCAAACATAGGATAGAAGTGTAGATGTATCGAATTTTCGGACTTGGGTTGCACTGGAAGTCCCTTAATGAACGTTTGTGCGTCCAAAGGCACGCCTTTGATGTGCGCGCTCTTTATTTCACATGCCCGCGGTGGTGGCGGCAGTGTGCGGGCGGCACAAACACACGCTGATGCGCTGACGCGTATTGCCGGCGAGTTTTCTCAATATTTAGCGATTGAACGCTCCAAATAACAATCGACATTTGCCAAACATGGAAAACTTCAAAGGCAAAAAACTAAAAACTAAAAACCGAATGCAGTGCTACTAAATATCGATTTATATCGATGTGTTGAAACTCTTGTGACTGTGAAGTTTTGCAAGTTTATGTTTAATGTTTACTGTTATACACTGCAGATGATGATGGCAGATTTGCATCAACTCTTTGCATACTTTGGCAAAAGTTTAAATCTGTGCACATTCACCACATTACCGAAATCTCTCTCCTGCTACGCGGTGCAACTTTCAACGGCGTCATTCGCCATTCGTACATATTTTATAAAGCTCGCAAAAAGTCTTAAACTCCCATCGAAAAGTCAACACACGAAACAACTCCAACTCCAGCTGGGGGAAAGAGGACGAAATAAGGCGCCTAAGCATGTGCTAAACATAATGTCGCACTTTCGAGGTTTTATTTCAACACCCGAATAGAAATTCCTTTTTTAGATTTAATTTTTACTACTTTAAAGTTACATTTTAGTATAGATAAATCACGATAAGTAACGGATAGTTAAGTAGCATTATAGTTACATAAATCATCCGTAGATGGCGCTAGTGTGTCAATCTTTACCTTTAATTCTTGTTTGTTTGGTTCAGTGAGTCTGCACTGCCTAATATTGCAATAATCGTGTGCGTGTGAGCTCGCGTGATGCGCGCACAATTCGTCAACAGTGTTATCTCAAAGAAACTTGTTTTTTCGTGTCAGCAACAATATCAGGTAGTGTCTCTTGTGTTCATTTAAAATATCACGGAAAATAAAATAATTCGGAATGAATTTGCACACAAACTGTAATAATAGTTTAATTTTATCTTGAAAACAAATTTGAAAACCATTTTTGGTTGAAACTTGATTATAATTACTTCATTCTACTGATATTTTATTTTCCTATTGAATGTTTTAATAGTATTTACAATATTTCATCACCATCGGTTCTTTTCGTGCTGTAAACTTGTTTGTTATTATTAGCGAGCTGTGTCCGTTTGAACGCAGCTGATGTTTAAGCGCATTTAAGTATAACTCTATGAATTTCTGCTAGATGGCGCTACAATTCACTTATTCACATTTTATTCTAGTCGTGAACGGAGATATCGCACAAAAACTTGTTTTGTTTATAATTTTCACCTTGCTACATTGCGTTTTATTTCAACACCCGAATGTTTTACTTTATTCTACTTTATTCTTTCAAGTTTTACACTCACATTTATCTATAAATAAAAACTCGGAGGGTTGAAAAACGCGCATTATCTCCTCGTGTGCGCCCTTATATTTACCTAACATTATCCCAATCATTTATCACCATCAGCCGGCAGCGAATAAACGAACGCCGAACGACAGCGCCGACGGAGTATAAGCTGTGCGGAAAATTCGCGCCCGGCTCAAAGGGCTCAGGATGTCAACCCCCGAACGTACATTATCACTCTCCCTTGACTAATAAGTGACTGCGCCGATGCAGGCGCCTCACAATAGCAATTAATAACCAACTAACTTATAATAGGCAAGTTGTTCATTCTAGTTTTCCAAGGAGTTGATGAGGGTTCACGCCTAGTCTAGTCCTGTTTACTTAGCCACCTGAATAAACACATTAGCGGACTTCATTATGCGGCAACATTTAGGTTTTCCACCGATAAAAAACCTCGAGGGGTGTGAATTCCAATGAAGCACTTAGCAAATAAAAAAAGAATCTAAAAGGGAGTTTAAGCGGGAAACGAAGATGAATTCGTCTTTGCTTGTCAGCTTTTTCGTGGATGACGATCAATTAGACGCGCACAAAGCATAAATTTGTAACCACTAACAACCAGCGGAATAAAACGTTAAAATGTGAATCAAACAAATTTCCAACGTGGAGTTTAACTTAAGGACTAACAGACGATAAGTCTAAACGAGTTGAAAGGAGGAGTTGTAGTGGAAGTTTAAACTGCAAACAAAAATACAACTTTTGTCCGTGTTCATTTCCGCTCTTGTTTATTTACAGTTATTGTATTACTATTTTACACACACACACAGAGTGTTTTTCTTTGGGTGGAAATTCACGTGCGCGCAGACAATGCACGCCACCCAGACAACACGGTTGCTATGGGTAGCCACCAACTGAGAGAAAACGTCTGTCGACTGTCTGCACGACTAATTCCAGTGTGTAATGTTATTAACGTGTTGCAACCCAAAATACAGTCTATTCTATTTTCTATGTACTCTACTCCAGTTTGAATTTATATAATGTTTAATTCAAAATTGCACACATGCGATTCTTGGGTTTTTGTTTTGTTGTTTGCCTACACTCCAGCAGAGAAGTTGAAACGCGTCCAAATGATAAGACTTTCCGAGTCGAGTTGCTGCAAAGAAATACGAGTAACAAGTGTACAGCGCAAAGCAAACGAAGTAGTGTACAACCACGTAACAAGTTGAATTGTGTCTGGCGCTGGAAAAATGCGCGTCATTTGCTTTTCGGACCTTTTATTTAGTTCCTCTGCCGGGCATTGTTTGCATTCTACGCGAAAATATCGACTACAGCAATAATTCGCTATGTAAATGTAATAAAATCACAAGGAAACAAGTTTCTTTGATATTTATTCGGTTAAAGTATGTAGAAGTTTCAGTTTTAAGTTGTGTTTGCGCTTGTTAGCTCACAATTGAAACGGTAAACACCAGGAGTAAGACTTAATCAAGTTTTTATGTTGTTGATTGGCTTTGCTTGAGTTGTATGAAACTTTCGGCACATTTTTGTTTGTTTTGTTTGGTAGTTAATGAAATAAAACGCTCTCGACACTCTTGACGGCTGTGTGATGTACTCGTAAAGATGTCCTGTATTTACTTCTTTGTGTTGTTCCAGACGAGCCGTTCACGATCCTTGCGCCGCGCAACGCGGCGATAATTAAAGACAAACGCGGCGGCGTCGTGCAGCAGCTGCAACTGCAGCAGCCCGAATCGGTGAAGAGGCTCTTGAGCGATCACGTCGTCATCGGCGCGCGCCTCGACCTACCTACCGCCACCGTGTATGAAGAGCGCACGTACACGACGCTCGGCGGGCGCAACTTTACGCTTTCGCTGAAGGAAGGCACGTGGCGGGCGAACACCGCCAACGTGTTAGAAACACGCCAGGTCGAACCGAATGGCTTGCTGGTTGTGTTGGACGATTTTCTCTTCCCAGATGTGCTCGGCACGCTCAAAAACGACACCGAGAAGGACATTCATGTCAAACAATCAACAGAAACATCAACGGTATCAACTACGCTGCCAACTACTATTACTACAGAAGTATATGTTGTCAAAGAGACCAAGGAGAAGAAGATCAATGATGGCGCGGCGGCGATGACCGTCATCACCGCCAAGGAGGCGCCCCGGCCGCGGAATGTCACTTTTATTGACAACGTGATGCAGGTGCTGTCGCTGCTGAAGAGCGGCGTGCGCGTCTTCCAGCATTTTCTATCCAGGTCGAATGTTTCCAAACTGCTCAACGACGGTGAGTTCCATTTTTTTTTTCTTCCTTTTCTCGATAATTTTCAAAAGTTTGTCTTCTTTTGCGCTCGCACACTTTAATCACATTATTCATATTCGCGCGGTGTCTTTACGAAGTTTTCGCGCTGGCAGTAACTATTACTTAAAATGTTGGTGGAACTTTTTCTGCCGATCTGCAAAGTTTTCTTCGCTACAAGTTGCGTAATTACATCAGAAAAACATTAAAATTCACACTCGCGCATAAAAGTGTAAGCTAACCTGCGATTATGCGGGATTAGGAGCGTTAAACATTAAGTTAACATCTGTTATTTGCTTGAGTTTGCTCAATTTAATGCCCAAATAAATTACAAGCTGAGAGTCGTCGTGCTGCAGTAGTTGTGTGCGCTTGGCTGAGCGGCGGCGGTCGCAATCTTTAACTCGGCAATTACGATAAACATGGGTCACTGCCAAGCCGACCACACGACCAAGAAACTATGTCTTATTGTTTTACGACTAGAATTAGTGCTTGATTTGGAGATTTACTAATGTTTAGAAGTAGAAAAATCAATTTTACCAGTAAAAGCCACTTAAGTCGCGTATAGTTAGATAAATTGCACCCAGATGGCACTAGTATGTCAATATTTGAATTTAATTCTGGTTTGTTAGTGGTAGTGAGTGTGCGCTGCAAGAGTCGTGTCCGTGTAAGATCGCGTGATGCGTGCACAATTCGTCAACAGAGTTATCTCAAAGCAACGTGTTTTTTGTATCAACAACAATAGCAGGTAGATGTTTCTTGTGTTCATGTAAAATAACACGGTAAATTAAATAAATCGGAATGAATTTGCACACAAACTTTAATAATAGTTTAATTTTATCTTGGAAACACATTTGAAAAGTATTTTTCTCTTATAAATTTACCTAAATGCTTGAAATATTGAAACTGGATTATTAATTTTCTCTTCAGATACAAAAGTTACTTTTAAATAATTGAATCTGAGAGATGAAATTTTCAATCTTAAGAAAAAAATTGCCAAGGGTGCTTGATACTTTTTTTCGACGATTTTCAAAAATTCATATCTCTTAAAATAAAAGAGATAGCTACCAACGAATTGTTGATTATGAAAGATTGGAAGATTCTCTATCAGATAAAAATATAAAATAATTATATTTCCTAGAGTAAAGGGTCGAAAAACGCGACTAAAAGTGCTAAAAAGTGACATTTTGCAATTTTTGCCCATTTTATTCAATCGCGAATATCTCGTAAACTAAAAGAGATAATTAAGATCTGATCGCAGCGTCTTAATCTACGGACTAATCTCTATCAGATAGGATAGTTAAAACGGAAATCTGAGAGATGAAATTTTCAATCTTAAGAAAAAAATTGCCAAGGGGGGGTGCTTGATACTTTTTTTCGACGATTTTCAAAAATTCATATCTCTTAAAATAAAAGAGATAGCTACCAACGAATTGTTGATTATGAAAGATTGAAAGATTCTCTATCAGAAAAAATTTAAAATAATTATATTTCCTAGAGTAAAGGGTCGAAAAACGCGACTAAAAGTGCTAAAAAGTGACATTTTGCAATTTTTGTCCATTTTATTCAATCGCGAATATCTCGTAAACTAAAAGAGATAATTAAGTTCTGATCGCAGCGTCTTAATCTACGGACTAATCTCTATCAGATAGGATAGTTAAAACGGAAATCTGAGAGATGAAATTTTCAATCTTAAGAAAAAAATTGCCAAGGGGGGGTGCTTGATACTTTTTTTCGACGATTTTCAAAAATTCATATCTCTTAAACTAAAAGAGATAGCTACCAACGAATTGTTGATTATGAAAGATTGGAAAATTCTTAATCAGATGAAAATATAAAATAATTATATTTCCTACTGTAAAAGGTCGAAAAACGCGACTAAAAGTGCTAAAAAGTGACATTTATCAATTTTTGCCCATTTTATTCAATCGCGAATATCTCGTAAACTAAAAGAGATAAATAAGATCTGATCGCAGCGTCTTAATCTACGGACCAATCTCTTATTATTAATTTCTTCTGCAGATGCTAACGTGAGTTTAAATCCATTTATTTTGTCAAAATTTAATTCTCTATTAAATTATAAATAATATTCACACGATACATGAACGCTTTGTAAACAAAATTATCTTTTAACTTGTTTTTGACTATCAACAATTGAAATCAGGGTGTTTCATACTGTGTCCACGTTTAATCGCACAGTAAATAAATTTATTCAATAATAATTTAGTTAGAGTATATCTATATATATAAAATTTGCGTGTCACAGTGTTTGTTTCCATACTCCTCCGAAACGGCTTTACCGATTTTTACCAAATTTTATATGCGTATTAAGTAGGTCTGAGAATCGGCTAACATCTATTTTTCATACCCCTAAGTGATAAGGGTTGTTCACCCTTAACTTTTTTTTAAATTTTTGGACAAATTCTTTTGTTTTTATTTTTTTTATAATGTGGAATTAAAAAATACATACAACCCTAAATTTTAAGTTTTTTATCACCAACCCCTATTTCTTTATAGCCATTTTAGTAATTTAATCATTTTTCATCCCGCTCAAAGAAAATTTTTATATGCGTATTCAGTAGGTCTGAGAATCGGTAACTTCATATCTCTAAGTGATAAGGGTTGTTCACCCTTAATTTTTTTTAAATTTTGGTCGAAATTTTTTGTTTTTATTCTTTTAATGTGGCACTAAAATATACATACAACCCTAAATTTTTGGTTTCTTATCACCAACCCCTATTTTTTATAATAAGTAAGTTACTTTTTGTCTACACTAAAATTTATCTAGAAACTAGAAATAATTTATATGGCAAAACAACGTTTGCCCGGTTAACTAGTATTACAATAAAATCTACTTTATAATAAACATTTAAATCATTAAAAATGCTTTATAATACATAAATCACTCAAAAAAACGTCAATTTTTAACAGATAATAAAACAGAATAAAAAGACTATGTATTTGAAAGTCGATTTTTGATTAATCATAGTTAAAAATAGCTGTAGGTGAACATGTGGCGCAAAAAATAAACTGAATAAAAACCGAAACTCAGTTTGCTCACAAATTTTAATTAAATTATTGACCGCTTCAAAACTCTATATATTTTCAATCTACCTGCGATTTATTTTATTTTACGCCCGCATACATAGTTGCACTCCACCGTCATACTATTTATATCTATTAGTTGCATAATAAAATAGCGTTTTAATATTTTGCGTGTTAATAAATCACTTGATTCGGCCAAAAAGCAAGTTAATATTGACTCGCACTTCCCAAGAACAAACGAAGATTAATGCGCGCCCGAGTAATTCAACTCAAACATTGGTCGCGAACAAATTTCAACAGCATTTTAACCCTGATGAACTTTGTAGTAAATTTACAAAACGCGTCGAAATTCAATTTGCCGCGATTGTTATCTGGCTATTTGTAATGAATAATGGCGAGATTTAGATTTAAATTTTAAAAATGTGTGTGGAACAAACCGCCGCTCACCTCATAACATAAACCCGATGCAAATTGCTTTCTTGCGTAGAGGTGGGTACATTGTGGAGCTAGTAAAAATTGGGAAATCTTTCATTTTCATATTTCCGTAGCGCGCGCGCTCGGCGCACATGTGCGAGTGTGACCTTTTTGTGCTGCGCTCGGGCTTTCTTAGCATGAATAAATCTAGATGTGAATCTAAAAAACGAATCAATTTGTATTCCCGAACACGCGCATTTTAAATTCTAATACCCCGCCGGTTATAAAATATCGCTGGCGCATTTATCCCGCACACCCAAGAACTGATTCTTACAGGTTACAGTGTTATGGGAATTTTGTACAAAAGAAAATAAAAGGAAAATTATAGATAATCATTTTTACGATGAGTAAATTAATAAAATTTAATATTTTTTAATTAAATTAATGAAAATTTAAAAGGTTTTATTAATTTTTATCAAGTTTTTTGATACAGTTGGTAGAATAGAAGTAATATAAAGGTTAGTAGGATCTCTGATGGTCGTCCTGCTGCGTCCTGCCATAATCGTGCCGATGATAGTATGCCGGCGATGTCTCTCCGTGAAACGTGGTCGACGACCAAGAGGAATGTGCTATTTTTGTGATTTATCGGCGCGAGCAAAAGGTGTTGACCCGTGTGCATCCAATACTCCTTTTTTCGTTTAAAGTTTACCGACCTTTGGGCGACGTTTTAACAAACCGGCCAATAAAAATGAAAATTTTACGTCGTGTTTTATCATAATAGATAAATTTATAAACATTTTAATTTACATTAATTATTTAATGTATTTTCTTGATATTTGTGTGTTGGTGTGCTTATGAAACCGGAATGATTTGTTAAATTTATTGGATTTTCACTCGAAGGAGAGTTCACGTAGTTTCTTTTCGTTCCGGTGGCATGTTTCCGCGCGCGCAGGCAAAACAGGTGAGAATGTGTTGGTGTGTGCGGGTGCGTCGAGCCAGGCGAATGTTTAAAACATTAGAGCCGGCGAGGCGTAAAACCATTTTTCCGAGAGCGCCGCCCGCCACCGCCGCCGACGCGTTTTTCACGTGCTCGCGTACTCATCCGCATCGCTTTATTCGCACGTTATTATTTTTTCGCGTGGCGGAGGGCGCAAATTTACGGGTTACACCTTAAAACCATTTAATACTTCAACCGCCATAAACAACAATCGAATAACTTTGATTTAGCAAAGGGAAACCCAGGGGATACAAAAATAGGATAATGGTATAGTAACTATAATATTTAATAATATTTTAGTTAGTTTTTTGGTATAATTTGTTTGTTTCAGTGTTTAAACTCGTGTTTTTATATTTTTGTTGTTACTTTCACTTTATTTCTATATAACTCTATGATTAGCGTGTAGATGGCGCTAGAATGCATTTATTTGAATTTAATTCTTGTTTGTTTGTGTCAGTGAAGCGCACTGTTCGTGTGAGATCCGTGCGCGGATTGTTTACGTCGATATTATTGATAAAGTTGCTGTTTTGAATCAGCAAGGTTGTCTGGTGCAATCTGTAAGGTGCACACAATAAATTCCTGACACTTAGGTCTAGTTCGAGTTCAAATCTTGCAATTTACGCGACTTTCTTTAATTTTTTTGACTTTAATTCAATTTTTTCTTATAAAATAATGAAAAATATAAAAAATACACATCGACACTATCAAAAAATTTACAAAAATGCACTCAAATAAAATAAAATTCAATTTTTTCACATACACCCTGTAATACCAAGAATATAGCATCAGGTTTAAGGGCTATTGACATACAGGCTTTTCCGGATATTAATTTTTCCCCTCACATGAAACGAGTGTACACAAAGTTTACGCTGATGTCTGCGGTGAGTTGAGAATGTGCACGCATTTTTCTAGCACCTTTCAACCACCGCCGCCTCTATAAATACATAAGCGTGTGCTGTCGTGCCGGGAAAGGACAATAGGAAAAAGCTATCTGTAGTAAAATTGCGAAAAGTGCGAAAAGCGCCGAAATAAATAAGGAATGGGCAAAATGGAGCGAAATAAGCCCGCCGAATACCCCGCAGGATAATGCATTTGGGAGCGAGTCCCCAATAACAAGTATTAATCCCGACGAATCCTGCAATCGTTGATATCCGACGAAATTTTATTGTGTACATAATTGCATTCTGCACAAATATCTTCATCACAGTTCAAGATAGGAGTTTTATAGAGTTATATCAGGAGATTATTTATTTTTTTATTTTTCTAATCAAAAAAAAGTAAAGAATTATTGACTTTGATGCCAGGACCACTGATTAAATTTTTATCGAAGGAGAGTTTACGTAATTCGAAGTTTATTTGCTCGCGAACGAAACTAAGATTTTCGTCGTCGTCGTCTCCCCTTTTGCTGGGTCGGTTATCGAACCGCTTCATTTATTATTTATCATCCCTCGCGTTCGGCGTCTTTTGTGACGGGGAATCGCCACACAATTCTCAGATATGGCGATATTTTCCAAACTTACCACGAAGGGAGACACGCCGTAATAATAACAATAGACGTAATGCTAACAGCGATGCCGCGGAAGAATATAAAAGCAAATAAAGTAGGCGGAAAGAGGAGCGTAATGGAAAGTAATTTCGGAAGTTGACTCTGATACTTTTCGGTTTTCTTATGTTCGAAAAATCAGGCAGGCAGAGAATGAAAGAAATCATTTTCTTCGAAATGTGTGTCGCACAATGTCGAATTTCGCATTTCACGCTTGTTTATTCACGAGTTTTACGTTATTGTCGGCTGGTAGGAATGTTTATATCGGGTGTAAAATGTGAAAATGATTTTCTGCATTTTTTTAATCAAAAAACAAGCCAGATTACACGCTGGAAATAAAAATATATATAACGCAATAATGTAATTATTACGCTTTGGGGTTTTTGTCAAAATTACCATTCCGTTATTGTTTAGCCAGCGTGCGTTCGCATGTCGGCTCGCTAAGTCGAAGCGTTTCGTTGTTCTCCGCTGAAATATTCAAAGCGCGTGGTTTATGCAAATCCGGCGCAACCATCGCAGCGACAGGATTTCGAGTTTCGGCCGGAAAGCGCGCGGTTTTGCTTTAAAATCTCGCGCAAAAAATCCTATCATGTACCCAGAAACTTTTCATATGTGTTTTATTAGATCACTGGACTGAAATAAATCAATTTATGTATTCAACACTACTGATGATTTATGCACGTTATTATAACCTAGTTGTATAATGTAGTATTATTGTTGTGGTTGTGCAATCCGCGCGGCATGTGAGTGGATGTTATGTAATAATAAATGACCGAAAGGGTTAAGGGGGCGCAACCCTTGCAAATCCCGTCGAAATATGCGAAATTGCGCATAATCCCCCGACGGGCATGTGCGATACGCACACTTTTCCAGCCTCGCAAATGCATAACACGTGCTTTGTGTGCTAAAGTGAAAATGAAAATTTTACACAACCGCCGCGCCGCCGCCTGTTTATAAATTTGCACTTTTACGCATTTAAATTCAAATTCAAATAGGAAATTTGACACCGGAATGAAAACAACACCACCAAAACCACATAGACATACAATGTGTATGTTTTTTTGGTGCGTCGCAATGAAAAAATGCAAATTTTAATTAAGTTTAAGTCCGTTAAGCACACTCGCTTGTTTGTATTGCAGAAATTTAATTCTCTCTTTCAATTAGAGCGTCTAGGTTTGAATTTTTCTACTACGTGCTGCATGGCGAGTTTTAAGTGAAGGAAACAATTGGAAAATTCGAGACAGTAAATGAAAAAGTTTGTCGTTAGAACTCGCATGAATACGCGACATGCAGCGTGAAAAATCGAAGAAAAACGTGCAGCAAAACCGCGCCGAGCGACGCGCATAGAAAATTGTTTGCAAATAGGGGCGCAGGTTATGAAAACAGGCAAAAAGAATGACGGATAAAATGATTGAATAGATGAATAAAACAAAGGTGTGGGTTTTTCATGGAAATTCAATATTTCAACGTGCGCACGAATTAAAAAAGAATAATAATTGAATTATTAGGTTTTTATTTTTTGTTGGTTGTTAATAATTAATTTGTATAAAATACAATAGAATCATGATATTTGTGAACATGAATATTTGGCAGATTTGCGCATTTATTTCATTCAATTCTTCATATTTTGTGCGTTCGTCTTTCGCCGCCAACGCGCTGACGTTTCCCAACGAAATTCCACGTCTTGTTAGTTTTAGTTCCGCCACCTCGTGCAATGCACAAAAGGGTTGCAGCGCGGTCGCTTGAAAAGACCTAGAAAAGTGGAAAAATCTTTTCAGTGTTTTTCACGACGACGACGACGACGACGGTGCGGGAGCATATGGCCCGCGTACTGGCGCTGCTCGTGGCAGTTTTATTTCGTACGCGAAACTTTTGTGTGACAATTTCGCTCCGGCGATAGATACAAGATCGAAATATAGAAAACTTCCATTTCTGCTGAAATACTGCGCAATATTGTTAAACTTAATTTACTGTGCGAGTTTCCAACATACACTATGTCCACACCACTTTGATAATTCACTAATAATGTTTTAAATATAACGCTACACTTGGTATATATTTGCGGCAGGGTTCAGATTTTTCCATCCCACCGATCCATCATCAAACACGCGTCCGTTACGACAATATCCTGAAGAATGGGATAAAAATATAACTTGTTAACGAAACAATTTCGATTACTTTTGCTTGCAGAAGATGAATACACTGTCTTCGTGCCAACTGATCACGCTTTCCAGCGATGGCACCCAATTGATTGGGGTTTCTATCCGTTCAGCGTGCCCGAGTTCACCGAGAGCGTGATTATCAACCACTTCATCAAGGGTAAACTCAAGCAGGAGGGCATCAAATCTGATCAGACTGCGAAGACCATCGGTGGAAAAGAGGTCGTTTTTAGGAAGGCTCGTAGGTATTTTCATTGATTAACACCACAAACACAAAGTTTAAGTATTTCTAACAAACTAACAATTATTTTTTCTTTTTTGTGTAAAATAGCGAATTTAACAGTCAATGGGGCATCTGTTGTGAAAGGTGACACTCCGTTACCGAAAGGAAATATAATGTTCATCAGCGAGGTGCTTTTTGTAAGCGAGTCGGTGGTGTCGCGACTTCATCAACAGCATCGCGATAAGGAGACTCCGCCGCTTCTGGCGTTTCCGTGGTTTGGCGCGCAGTTTCTCTCACATGCTTTCTTGGCACTCGAGCGGGACCGACGTTTTACGCATATTACGAGGTTTCTGAACCTCGCTGACTTGGCTCCGCATGTTTCTGGTACCGGGTACACATTTTTTGTTCCCACGGACACCGCCTTTGAGGAAATCGGCCTGGACAAGATGCCTGATAATTATTTATCCACCGGCGATGGTCTGGAGATCCTGCTGAATCATTTCGTCAAGGGACGTTTGTATGATCGTGATTTGAAAGATAATCTGAAGTTGTTATCGCTTGGTAATAAGATCGTCGACATCGGCAGACGGAAAGGTAATTGTAATGGTAGAAATCCCAGCGAGGGGATGTTGGGACGAGTTGATGTTGATTGCGAAAGTCAAATCCTCAATTTGAGATTTACAGCGCTAATAACGAGTCAAGTGAATGAGTTTTGAGGGAGAGGAAATAAATATGCAGGGAGAGGGTTTGAAGAAACCGGGATTTGTTAGCGTGGGCTTTGTTTAAATGTTTAAATGCGCACTGATTAGGGGTGCGCGTTTGTGACGGCTTAATGGCGGAAGGTGTCAGAGTTAAAATACTGAAGAACACTCGCAAATTATTGGCTCCGGTCGGGCGCGCGCTGAGGGTGTTAAATGTATTCAAAAATGTCGGAACACTTTCAGACATGAAAGGGTTGTTAGCAGTCGTAATGTTGCCGACGCGGCGAGCATGCAAATGATCGTTTTGTTTCGTGCGCGCGGGGGTTTTTGCGATTCAACGCGCTTTCATTAAAACATCGCGCGGGGTACCTACGCACGATTCCGCTCTTAATGGTCGCTGGGGAATCCCGAACAGATGTTTGTGTACTTATTATTAAGTGTTGTGCGGGCGAACACTTTTGGTTATGTTGAAAACTTATTCTACATTAACCGCAGGAGGAGGAGTGGGGCGTAGAAGTTGCGGATTTCAATTTTCCATTCGGGAATTAATGATTTCCGGCATTCAGGTGGAGCGCGAAATTTTGTACGGATATTTTGTGCTTTAATTGAATTCGCGAAAAGTTGCACAATAATCGTTAGTACGTATAATTGGAAACTTTTCGGCTGGCGCGCCGGAATTCAGAAATCTTAAACGAAGCTTATCGTTAAGTAGGAAAGTATGTAATTTCGGATGAAAGGTTTCCGGATAATGAATTCGAAGATTTTCGCTTAGTAATGAGTACTTTCGGGTGTTCAGGATCACAAAATGGCTAAACGCCTGCAGCTAGGCAACCAATAAATTTATTACGGATAAGTTTTTATAAAAATGTTTTTTTACTTTTTAGAAAATGTGACTGTGAACAAGGCGCACATTGTGGAAAGTGAAGTCTTCGTCTACAACCTTGGCACCATGTTCTACATTGATAAGGTGCTCTTTGCGAAACCAGATCTTTTGCCCAAAGTACGCCGCCCGCCGACCACAACAACCACAACAACGTCGTTGCCGCCATCGACGATGCAAACAACAATCGTACCCAGTTATGATAACTTGGACGATAACAACGACGCTAATGCGACAACAACAGCGCTCCCGCCGCCCCCACCGCCACAATCAACTGTGACAATCGGCACAACGACGACGGCGAGTGCGGAGGACGTCGAGACCGTTCCGGAAGAATTATCAGAGGGCGGCGGTTCGATGCCAGACATCCTGTTTGCCGACGCGGAAAGCAACGCGAGTGCAACAACGACGCCGCCGCCGCCGCTACAGACCAACAAAACCGACGCATCGCAGATGACGACAAGCACGACTAGTCGGCCGTTGAATGACACCACCACCACGACGACGTCGGCGGTTTGAACTCGCGCGGATGAATGAATGCGGCGCGGCGTGACATTGTGTGTGTTTTTATTTAAGCGGGGAGGACGGAAGTTTGCGTCAGGCACGTAATTAAATTAGCAACTACCCCGAAATCCTCGAATTGTAGGCAGCGGGAGCGTAACAAAGGAGCAGCGCAAAGCAAAGATAAGCGGAAGTAACCATATCAATCAATATTAGCAGGATAAATAATTAACTTGAGCCGGAAGACAAACGCGACAGCAAACAGCAATCACAAACAGAGACAAAACTGCAACAAACTTTGCGGCCGGAACAAAAGTTTAAAGCCAAAATAAATTTAAATTTTGTAACCGCACTCAATATGTGTTTTAAGCGGCGCAAACGGAATGAAATTCAATTCCCAATTTCATTTGAAAGCACAACGCACAACAACCGAAACGGAAACTGCTTTGCTTTGCAATTCGGTGGTCAAAACTTTGCCGGAACTAACGAATAACGATGGGAGACAACAACAAAATGTTATAATTATTATGCAAAACTAGATGAGAACGTTTTGGAACTATATGCTATCGAAACACTGCAATAAGGAGCAACAATTTTGTGCAATTAAAGTTTAGAAATGCATAACATATCGGACAATGTATAACACCTAAAAATCTATGGAAACCACATCAAACTTTGAGAAATTTAATAACTTTGCGCTCTGGAGAGCAAAGATGAATAGTTTAAAAGTTTAAAATTTGTGATAAACTTATTAAATTAAACACTAGAAATTCGTTTTTAAATAACACATAGTTGAAGTTAGCTATTTTCGTAATTGGCGATGATTAGCCGCGGCTATTACTAGATTTTAGATGAAGAAATTATTGATTCTCTTTTTTTTGATTCGCACGTGTCACTTCAATTAATTCACTAAGATGCGAGTACTCCCTGCGGAGCACCAAACTAATATTTTTGCGAACCAGATAGATTATGTATATTAAGATATGATATGATGCGGAGATGCGGAGAAAATGAATAAATAACGATTCGTAACAAATCATACTTGACTGATGTGAGATAGAAATGAATGTATGTCTATGCAAATATTGCAAATATTATTAGTTGTAATGTTTATCGATTAATGTATTTATTAAGGCATAGATTTTCATATATATTATAGAAATTATATATAAATAGCGATTAATGTATAAACAGTATCGAGGATTATTATCTTTTATTATGTATGTAACAATAATGCTCGTAACGATATTAATGTGCAACATTCATCCTGAATTACAAGAAATACTGTCTTTATAGCGATCGATTATCGAGTAAAACTAAATAAAATGTTGGAAATGTTTATACCTATTTGCGAATGCTGTTTATTGTGATGTGCAGAGATGTAAAGCGATGTATAGTTGAGAGTTTATCAGTGGTTGTGGGTAAACAAGTTTTTTATTGTCATGTTCAACGCGCAGGTAACGCAGCGCGCACGCTGCGCTCAGTCATTCCTCGGCTTCGTTGGTGAGTGCACGCGTTTTCTTTAAGTCTTTAAGATTTTGCATCACCGCGTGGTCCGCGAGCGGGTCTGTCTAATCGCCACGCGTTTCGAGGTTTCAGTTATCGTGTATTTTTTCGGTCATCAGCAAAGTGTTCGTATTTACTAATGTTTTGTAGCGGTTACAGTCTGCTTAAGCGAGAAATAAGTGTCTGTTAATCTGTGCGCGTGTTTAAAGTTGATAGAATATATTCTAGGATCTACAATTTCATCATCAATGCACAGGTAGGTGTGTAATTATATTTTCGCATGGAAATTTGATTATTTCATTTAAGGAATATTAATCTTACGCTTACCGCAGTTATGTAACATGTTGCCGATTTCTTGTAGAAACACGTGGTTGCATGTTTATCAAAATTTAACTCGCGATTTGCTATTTTTGTGTGATCTAACTCGGGTGCTGTTGTTCTTTCCGTAATTTCGTTTGATTTGTATTTGCATTCAGTAAATTTATAATTAACTAAAATTGTGTCCGGAGAAATATGCCTGTTTGTCCAGATTTAATTTGATGTGAACATTATATTCGCGCTTCACGTTGCCGACGGCCGTCGCTTTGGTACGATTTTCGATAAAGACGCAAACGTTTTTAAACTCGTTAGCATCATTAAATTAAAAAGTTTCTTGTAGAGTTAAGTTAAGATATGTATTTATTTTATATTTATGAATAAATAGTTCCTTTTATCGTACGTAACGATATGAATGTTTTCCGCGAGATCTTCCGTAATTTCTGATTATGCCTCATCAATCAGTTGCTTTATGTAATTGATGCTATCATCAAATAATAAATAAATAGACCATCTATTAAAATATAGGTATTTTATTTTTATAGCCCATTATGGCTTAGTTTTCCGATAATTTCCAAGTAAAATCTTTGAATTTGTATATTTTTACAGTTGTTTCCTTGTAAACTTCTCTTGTTGTGATGTAAATATTACCTATATTTAAAGTTTCTAAAATTCTCTTTTTGTTACACCCTGTATATAAGTTTTCTCTAATAACATGCAGATAATTTCGTGTATTTCTAATTTTTCTGTATTTTATTTTCTAAACTTGTAATTTTCTATTTGTAACACCCTGTATAATTGTTTTCTTTCACATCTCTGAAAATTTTGCTTAGACTTGTAATTAGAATTTAACTTCTTGCACGTTGAATTTTCTTTTTATAACACCCTGTATATTAGTTTTCCATAGCGTCGGGTGAAAACGGGCGATATTCGTAGGGTTTGAATATTTTCCTGTTTGCACTTTAAATTTTCATTTTGTAACACCCTGTATATTTGTTTCCATTTTCCGTGACGTAGAAAATGAGCTATTTGCTAATTTCATTATCCCGATAGAACTGTACGGTACCTGCTTATATGTGCGCGGCCAAGCAGGTCGTAAGTCTTGTTTTAATATGGCGACATGTAGTTTGTTGACTTGTAAAATCTAAACTTGTATTATATTACATTGTGTTTATGAATAAAGAAATGTTAAGAAATAGTATGTCTTATGCTTTGAATGTACCCCTTCTATCATTTCAGGTACAGATCTCTAAGAGAGTTCCCTCTCTCAGGGGATGATCCCCTCTATAAAAATTGTTAAGGTAACCTGTATGACTTGTGTACTCCTTCTTTCATTCCAGCTACAGGTCAGAACTTGTAAGAATATTTCTTAGTGTCACCTCTCTTGAGACGACTTAAAACTTAGAAATATTTTTACAAGACCTTATAAGGATTGTCCTTATAAGGAAATTCCCCTCTCTGGGGGTGATCCCCCACCATAAAAATTGTTGATATGCCTGATAATTCCGGGGATGAAGCGCAGAGACATCGTAGCTGTAGGGTGGGCCGGGAGCAATGGACGGATCGAAGCAGTGGGCGATCGACCAGAGCGCCGGAGGCGCTCTGGGAGATCGACCTATGACTGTCTTATAACGACACGTGCCAAAAAATTTAAAAATCTGATCCTCTCCTGTGCTCTTTCTTCTATCTCCTCCTCTTCTCTACTCTACTCTCTGTTCTCTTCCTCCTATCTTCTCCTATTCTCACATTCTCTACTACTCATTCCTCTATTTCTCTGATCTCCCGTTCTCCATTTACTTTCTTACTTCTCTTATTTTGCCTTCACTTGTATTTCAATTTCTCATATATTTCGTTGCAATTCATATATTTTTATATTTGAGAAAAATGCCTTCCATACCTGAGATTCGATCCGTGTCTGCTAGCATGCCAGCAGGTGCACGTCTCCACTCGACCACCGAGTGTTTTCGTTATTAATATTTGATTCTTCTATTTATGTTTCTACTTTTATCATGTTTTTAAAAACAACAACACAATTTAAGCAACAGTGTTATGTTATACCTGCGGCACGCACCTAAGATTTATATATGCCATACTATTTAATACTGAAAACGACAAAGAGGGTACCAAATTGAAATGTGAATGATATTATAAGTGTAATAAATCGTTTATTAACAACTTTTAAAAATACATACATGTTCTTTAAACATGAAAACAATTTGCGACTATCAATTCCCGTTACAGTAAAGACTTGCCTGGAAATATGCGCATCTCCAACACTTGCGCCGTGGATCTTGTAAACTCTATGGCTCCTGCACTCACAAACTTCTTTCCTGGACACCAGTGTTGTCTATATACAGAAATTAATCAGAAATCCATATTATTCATATACGTGAGAAGAAAACCGACTGCCGACGGAACACACGTTACTAACGAATCCGCGACTTAAGAACATTCCGCGCATGATATCACACTAGCAAAACCCCGTTCACACCCGTGTCCGGTATATTAGATCGACAGTTTATTGAATAAAAATTGATTTACTTAATTATATTAATACTCAAACAAAGCTAGTCGCGATAAACACGCGCAATTCATTCGGTGAACGGAATAGAACTGTGCGCAGCATACACGCGATCAGTAACGGCGTTGGGGCATGGCGCGGTTGGGCGACCGCCCAGAGGCGCCGGACTTTAACGGGCGCCGACTCGCACTTGACCGGTTTTTCGTATTCGTTGTAGTTTCTTATATCGCAACACGCGAACGCGGTTCTACTGTAAGTTCGGAATAATTTTCCTAGATGCACAATTTAATTCTGCATCTCCCTGTATCAAAATTTATTGCGAGAAAATTCCGTAACGCGAGTTATAATGATAGTTGGGTGTATACGCACTTGTACATGTACTCGTTGCGCTAGGAATTGTAGTTTTTTTATTATAACTCGCGAACGCGGTCTTGAACTAAGTTCGGAATAATTTTCCCAGATGCGGAATTTAATTCTTCATTTCCCAAAAGTATTGCGATTCCGTGACGCGAGTTATAGTGATAGTTGTGCGTATACGCACTTGTACTCGTTGCGCTAAATTATAACTCGCGAACGCGGTCTTGAACTAAGTTCGGAATAATTTTCCCAGATGCGGAATTTAATTCTTCATTTCCCTATATCAAAAGTTATTGCGAGAAAATTCCCTGACGCGAGTTAAAGTGATAGTTGTGCGTATACGCACCTGTACGCGTTGCGCTAGGAATTGTGGTTTTTTTATTATAACTCGCGAACGCGGTCTTGAACTAAGTTCGGAATAATTTTCCCAGATGCGGAATTTAATTCTTCATTTCCCTATATCAAAAGTTATTGCGAGAAAATTCCGTGACGCGAGTTATAGTGATAGTTGTGCGTATACGCACTTGTACTCGTTGCGCTAGAAATTGTAGTTTTTTTATTATAAATCGCGAACGCGGTCTTGAACTAAGTTCGGAATAATTTTCCCAGATGCGGAATTTAATTCTTCATTTCCCTATATCAAAAGTTATTGCGAGAAAATTCCGTGACGCGAGTTATAGTGATAGTTGTGCGTATACGCACTTGCACTTGTACTCGTTGCGCTATGAATTGTAGTTTTTTTATTATAACTCGCGAACGCGGTCTTGAACTAAGTTCGGAATAATTTTCCCAGATGCGGAATTTAATTCTTCATTTCCCTATATCAAAAGTTATTGCGAGAAAATTCCGTGACGCGAGTTATAGTGATAGTTGTGCGTATACGCACTTGTACTCGTTGCGCTAGAAATTGTAGTTTTTTTATTATAACTCGCGAACGCGGTCTTGAACTAAGTTCGGAATAATTTTCCCAGATGCGGAATTTAATTCTTCATTTCCCTATATTAAAAGTTATGGTGAGAAAATTCCGTGACGCGAGTTAAAGTTATAGTTGTGTGTATACGCACCTGTACGCGTTGCGCTAGGAATTGTGGTTTTTTTATTATAACTCGCGAACGCGGTCTTGAACTAAGTTCGGAATAATTTTCCCAGATGCGGAATTTAATTCTTCATTTCCCTATATCAAAAGTTATTGCGAGAAAATTCCGTGACGCGAGTTATAGTGATAGTTGTGCGTATACGCACTTGCACTTGTACTCGTTGCGCTATGAATTGTAGTTTTTTTATTATAACTCGCGAACGCGGTCTTGAACTAAGTTCGGAATAATTTTCCCAGATGCGGAATTTAATTCTTCATTTCCCTATATCAAAAGTTATTGCGAGAAAATTCCGTGACGCGAGTTATAGTGATAGTTGTGCGTATACGCACTTGTACTCGTTGCGCTAGAAATTGTAGTTTTTTTATTATAACTCGCGAACGCGGTCTTGAACTAAGTTCGGAATAATTTTCCCAGATGCGGAATTTAATTCTTCATTTCCCTATATCAAAAGTTATTGCGAGAAAATTCCGTGACGCGAGTTATAGTGATAGTTGTGCGTATACGCACTTGTACTCGTTGCGCTAGAAATTGTAGTTTTTTTATTATAACTCGCGAACGCGGTCTTGAACTAAGTTCGGAATAATTTTCCCAGATGCGGAATTTAATTCTTCATTTCCCTATATCAAAAGTTATTGCGAGAAAATTCCGTGACGCGAGTTATAGTGATAGTTGTGCGTATACGCACTTGTACTCGTTGCGTTAAACCGTTAAAACCGGAGAAACAAAACTTTATTCAGCTGGAATGAAAATGAATAAAAATTTAATACTTTGAATATTTCTTTCGTTACAATACCAATCTTCTACCAATCTGTTCGTTGCCTTGGCGAATTCTGGGAGTTGTAACCTAGACGTGAAAGAAAAGAAACAAGTTACACCAAACAATAAAATACAACAATCAATATTATTAATATTAATGAACTGATCACTTACCAAAAGGAGACCGCAGAAGAAACAACTGCTTCTTACTGTGGATTAAGGAGAAGCGAAAATTATATAAAATCAATGAACATTTCTGCTATCAAATCAATTTTTACTGAATTCCATGTGAAACAGTATCTGACAGAGGATTTTTATGATCGGACATGTTTGGCTTCGCTTCGTAAGTGCATATCGTCACACCATGATGATGGGATTCAAAGAACTCTCCTCTCAAACCAATGTAATATATTCTTGTTTGATCAGAACCAAAATTTGAAGGTATATGAATTGATAGGTGGTGCACATTGTTGAAAGTTACTACTCTGTAAAGCAAGAAACATTACCTACAATAATAAAACATAAATACACAAACATACTTTGTTGAATACTCTAAACTTCCATTTATGTCTGGCTGCATTTCAAATTCCTGATCTGCCGGAACAGTGACATCATCAAAGGTCATATGAGGTCTATTCTTAAACCTAGAATAAATTCGAAACAATATATTGTTATAATTAGATAAATTATACATACAGACGCATTTTTGCTGGATGTGAATCATCTTCACTGCCTATTAAAACAATTCCTTTTAACTTGATATTGCCAGTGAAAGGAATATTGAAAAGAAGTTCTTCATCAGCATCAGATTCAACATACTAAATAAACACAGAGATAATGAAGCAGATGTACTTTAAATGAATATAATATTAAATACATACTGTGCCAAAATTCAATCTTTCTTCCCAAGGTTTAAAAACCAGTTTACCAGATCCCTCAGTGCTTTCATTCAAACACTCCAGGTTATCTTTGTCGATTTTAGAGTACAGACTGTACTGCAGGCCCATTTCAGGAGTGTCATGATGGTCGTGATCCCCTTCGCAGGAATGTCCTGCACCATGATTGTGCGGCCGTGGTACCATCGTAATTTAAAAGAAATTCAAGTTAACCAAAAATTTACTACGAAGTTGTTGAGAGTCATATGTATATATAAAGTTGCCTATCTCGAAAGGCAAGTTTCAATAAAGCTCAACATCTGCTTTTTAAATTGAAACTTTTAATTTTGCCTGTGGAATAAATATTGTTCAAATTGAAAAACGTTTATATTTTTCTAGGAAATAATGTAATTTTAAATAGGCAAACCCAATTCTCAGAAAAATAAGAAGTGGTGGAAGCAGTTTAATGAAGTTAACCCTTAAAACTACCGAAACCTTCCGAGACGCTCAATACTATACTAAAGCATCATTAGTTGTTGTTTACTCTTATATACAACATTCTTTTACATGGATACTTCGCTAACAGTCGACATGGATTTAAGCAAACTAAAAGTAAGTCAAATTTTCACAATTACACGTAAATTTCCTAACAAAATCGACTGTAAATACACAGTTAGGTTAACTTTATATAGCATTTGTTTCGTTAGCAAGCGATATTATTTCTAAAGTTTTCTTTTATTTTATTAGGTACCTGAGTTGCGTAAAGAGTTGAAAAATCGAGGCTTGAGCACCGCGGGTAATAAAAACGATTTACTTGAACGTTTGCAGTCTGCGAATAAAAACGAGAAAGCAAACGATGCTGTAGAAACTGCAGACGATGCGGTAGAAACTGCATCCGGTGACGAGTTGGACGAAGATTTGCTCAACGAAGACGACGATGAGTCTCACATCGAAGATAGTTATTCAGCTCTGCAAGATCTTGACGCCACTATAGAGGAAAGCCCCCCAGCTGCAGAAAAGCCAGCCCAAGGTACAAAAAGAAAGAGTGATGAAGGAACAACAAATGATTCTGCTGTAAAAAAAGCCAATGTTATTATCACTAATGATACAGACTGGACGAAATCAGTTATTACTGGACGCACAAAGAAAGAAAAACCAGAGAAGAAAGTAATTAAACTAACAGATCTTACTGTTCAAGAAAGAGTAGCAATGCGAACTAAAAAGTTTGCTGGTGGTGTATCAGAGTATGCTAAAAAGGCAGTCAGAGCAGAAAGATTTGGCATAGATACTACAACAAAACCTGCAGTTGGTGGAAAAATTAAAACTGCACCAATATCTGTAAGTGTTAACATGATTTTACGAAAATTCACATATTTTATTTATCTTATTTGAGCAGGCAGCGACAGCGGCATCCGCAGATGTGTTAAAACGACGCGCAGAACGTTTCGGCATTAAAGTCTCCACAACTCTAACCAAACTAGAAAATCAAGAAAAACTAGAGAAACGCAAGGCGCGTTTCGGCATCACTTCCCCAGTGAAAACAGCGGAAAATGGTGCAGCGAAGAAAAAGAATACCCTATCGACGCAGGCACAAGATCGCTTAAAATCTATCAAAAAAATAGTCATGTAGAAGTCTAACACATTTTAATACACCATAGAATCAATGCTGTAAGAATTTTATCCTAGAATTTAATTTTTTTATGTTATTTCACTATAATATCCAATCATTTTGATAATTAAATTAATAACCATAAACAATCTCAGACTCTTCTTCTTTTACACTCGAAGTTAGCTCTCCTTCTTGCAGTGCAACAGTTTCTGAAGGTGTTGTGGAGTGTTTCACATCGCTCAAACCTGACACGAGGAAAAAAATCGATCCCCGAAACAATATTCTATTTAATTCATTAATTATACCTTACCATGAACTTTACGTTTGTGTTGAATAAGTTTAATTCCTTTTATAAAGTTCAACGGGCACAAATCGCACTGGAAACCGATTCCGGTGTGTCGACTTAGATGATTTTTCAGCGCGTGCTGATGCGCGAACGCCGAATCACAAAAATGACATTTAAAACGTTTCTCGCCGGTATGTGTACGCATATGAACTGTTAAACTATCCGCCCTGGAAGTAAATTTTGATTTGTTTCGTTTATCAAGGTCGAATTTGATAAATGAACATACCTGCTGAATGTATGATTACATATAAGACACAAATGCGCTTTATCTCCAGTATGAACACGTTCGTGAACTGTTAAATCACTTACTCTTGCAAATCCTTAAAAAATAAACGGTTTACAATTGAATTTCAATTCAAAATGCAACCTGGTACCTTCATTACAAAATTTGCATGTGTAAGGCTTCTCACCACGATGTTTTTTGATGTGAATAATCAAATATTCGTTTCTTAAGAAGCTACTACCGCATTCCGAGCATATAAACTTTGACTTTTCATGCATTTTCAAATGCTCAACTAATTTATCTTTTGTTAAAAACGTCTCTGCACATTTTAGACACGCAAAATTCTCATCGCCATGATGCTTTTTCTTGTGCGCTAACATAGATTGTCTAGTTTTAAACCGTGATAAACATTTTTCACACTCATGATCTTTGACTTTGATCGCATCCGCGTCGATATTGTGGAACTGCATGTGTTGATTCAAGGCATAAACACGTGAAAAGCGAGCATCGCATTGATTACACCTTAAAACTTGGCAATTCTCATGATATTGTCTGCCATGCCATTCAAGGAGAGTGATTTGTTCGAAACTCTCGTAACAAATCGGACAAACAAACTGTTCGGAGTCTTCGTTTTTGATTCTTTTAACTGATGCATCACTTTCAGTCCCACTCTCATCATTATCAGGGATATTCTCAGCAACAGTTGTACAGTATTGATGCAAATTACTTGGTTCGAGATCTTTTAGTTCTAAGGTTTTTACTAATGCATAAGTCTTTTTTAAGCTTTTCCCTTCATGTACTTTTGCATGCTCAGCTAGTTTTTCTTCAGTCTGAAATGCATTGTTACAAATATCACATGACAACACAATTTTACCATTACAGGTCTTCATATGCCTCTTTAGTTTATCACCTCTGCCAAATGATCGATTGCATTTATCACATGCAAACGGTCGTGTTTTCAAATGCAAAAACAAATGGCTCTTAACATCCGCAAATCGTTTACCAGTAAATGTACAAAGTTTACATCCAAATAATTTACTATTGTCTGGTTTAGGCTTTTCTTTTACTCTTTTGAGTCTTACAGGTTTATCAGCCACATGCCTTTCAACAGACTCAAAGAAACAATCATAATACTGACTCATATTCTCATCATTAAGATCTTCTTCATTTATTGTTTTACTTGGAATTGCAGCTGGTGCTTCTGAATGTCGTAATGACTTGTGTCTGGTCAGTTTCTCAACACATTTGAATGCCATATTGCAAAATTCACAAGAAAGATTGGTTGTACCGTCACATGAGCGATAATGTCGCAATAGACTCTCTTTTCTTCTATAGGAATGATGGCATTTTGTGCATTGAAATTGAGGAGTGTAGTTTTTAACATGAGCTAGCAAGTGGCGTTTGATGAGATACAAACGTGAAAACGTAAGACCGCATAGTTTACAAGCAAACATTCGTTGTTTATGTACAGAGACGCTTTTGTCAGATGGTTTATCTATTGTCAGAGGCTTTTCAGGCGTTGATATTGTTGTTAAGCTTACAGGTGCTGGAGCATGTTCAGGCATAATCTCCACTTGAAGTTCTTCAACTTCTTCGTCAAAATTATGCATACCATATTCCTCATTTGCACAATCAACCTCTTGTTTTAATTGCATTGTAATATCTTCATGACTTAGAGTGTGTATGTTATCGGTTTCTTGTTGAAACATTTTGGAAATTTAGAGTAAAACGAAAGAAGTAGAGCTGGGGAGGCGACACCGCGACATTACTGGTTAGTTTTCTCATCAGTTCTGCCATCTACCGTTGTATATAGGTTTAAGAATAAATTATTTATTGTTTATAAAATATTATTAACTAATTAAGAAATAATTTTTGCCTATTTTATATTTGCATAGTGGTACTCTGAGATTCATTCAATTATACGTTTAGAAATATTTTTAAACGTTAATTCCGTGTTCCTTTCAAATTTGGTCTGTTTTAGGGTTTAACTAGTTCAATGTTATTTTGAAAACATATTTTTCTTAATTAAAAAGAAATTATTATTGTTGACAAAATGTTGTACATTAAAGAAAAGTTGTATAAGAAGTTGCCTATATTACATGAAACATTTTCAGTGTAAAGCGAGCCTTACCAGCCGAGCTTTCACGAATGAGCGTAACCGACGACCTAAGTAAATAAAAAATTTTATTTACTTATGTTATTTATTTTAAAATGTAACTAACATACATATAAACCGTAAACAAAACCCTTCTAAATAAGTTTTCACTTCAATAATATGAATACTAAAAACCTTAAGTTGTTTCTTTTCTACTCTTTCCAATAAAATAAATTTAACTTATTAATTTTTATGATAATATTAAGATACCTACTTGGAAAAGCAGGTAAACGACAGGTAGTCAAATGAGATCCTAATCAATGAATGATTTGACCCAGCGAAAACATTTAAAATTCTAATAGTCGCGTTGTTTTCCAGAAAACAAATCACCCCGAAAGCCCCAAGCAATTTAGGGTTGTTGCCTGTTCTTCAAGGTAACAACTTCGTCCGAAGCGCAGACGAAACTCAAAGATGATTACCGTAAGCAAAACAAGTCCACACTCAGCATGCATGTTAATTGAGATGACAAGCTGTTCCCAACACAAAAAAAACAAGACAGATAAGGTCAGCAGCAAAATAAAAATAAAATAAAATCAAACAAAAAACGCGAAGTGAGAACAACTTTATGTCTAAATAAATTCCATCCACTCGTATAATATTCCGTTTAATGTTAACAATAAAATAATTGATGTTCTAAACTGTATTAAGATGTTTGCCCACGCGCCGATTATGAATTTATCAGCGTTGTGTTCTTTGTGCTGCGCGACCTGCGACGCGCTTTATTGCAACTCACGCACGCGAGCATGTAAATATTTGAATATTAAAGTCAGCAACACGAAGCCGCGGATAATGCTTTCTGGATATTTACGCGTAGGCGTTACGTGTAAAGCGTGTGTAAGCCTCTAAGCGTACTGCATACGAAACGAAATGAAATATGAATATACAACTAGAAACAACGCATGACGTTGGGACGTTGAGAGGACAAGCAGCATGCAAAAGCGATGATCATTTGCTCATTATGCTTATATTACGACTATTGATTGTGTCGTATGTAATAATCTAACGGTTTTCAGCTACGTATGCATGGTATGCACCGCTAATAAATAATAATTATCAGAGTATTATTTAAAACAAATGAGAAGCATGTTTATTTAATGAAACATGCGACATGGAATACAAAACACGCATTTTTTATTATTATTTGCTTGTTTAATGTTTATATTAATAAAGAGACAACATAACCTCAACTCTGACGTCACTCCCCATCCAGAGTATGGATAATTCAAGCGTAATAGCGGTAAATTTAAAATTTCAAACTAAAATTTAATATTTTTCCTACAGAATCAACAATTTCTGTAAAAATATAACATTTTCAAGCTTTATTTAACAGTTTTTCACTAAAAAAATCACTTTGTCATCGTGAAATTACAAAATAAGTGATTTATGTTTTTAATACCCATGTCGGTGTCCTGTTCGCGTGCCTATCCGTCCGTGAAAATGGCACGACACGTGCCAGATAACACGTTAATGAAACTAAATCTAATAAACACTAGCAGACGATAAATTATTATTACTGCAGCCATGTGCGGTGTTGGTATACAAACCAGATAGTACTAAATGCCTACTAAATGCAATTCTCTTCACTTAAAGCTCTGAATTCTAGAACACTTATATTATGACAAGAATATACCAAGAATAAAACGATATAAGTTTACAATTCCACCAATGCACGGTTTAGTAAACAATATTTGCTTTAAAAGTGTTTGTCCCGTTGCATGCATTCAAGCTACTGTTTATTCTGAGTCATTTTCCGTTCGAAGTCGTTCGACGCGATTTGGTTTTACTGCATAATAACTTTAAAGAGTTAAATTATCGCCCATTTGAAGATGGTACAACTCTATGGATGTTAAGTGCCAGACTAAACACGATGAGCACTTCTAAACGTCGAAGGAAGATCTAAATTTATGACGATTTCAATATGCATGTTGAATTTTTATTTTTGATGTGATTAAATTTTAATTGGAATCACCCGTCAACGTGTCAATAGTTACGCCCACTTTCGATATGGGTTACACCTCCACACTTATAAATAAATCTTGTTAGTTTCCATCTTAACTTCCTCGAAAGATTAACTTCTATGTGCCTTTCCAACATTCTTGTACCACGACCCTTTTTATTTTATTTATTTTCGAGTGGCAAGAGATAAAGTGGATCCTCCACGGCTCGTTCCCCATTGCCATTCATAATGCCATTAGATCCACCCGAGCCATTAGCCCATTTAACCTATTAGCGGTTACACTTTACCTTCTCCAACTACATCTTCCCAACTACTTCATCTTACGCTGTGACCACGCGGGGAATCAACTTGAAATTACCTGTTTCGAGTATCACAACGTCGGTGATGTTCGTTTTCATTTTTTTTTTAGCTTTTCAGCCATCTGTTGCGTGCTGGGAGTTGAATGAAACGTGCCGGGAATGTGAATCAATTCCTAATTAAACGTAGGTAGGTAAGATAAATTATTATAACATCTTTCATCTTCAATAACCGACGCAACTCAACACTAACTTGAAATATTAGTAGTGGTTTATTTTAAAATAAAACCTTGCGCGTTATTTATGTAACTTTCCAGTAATATAGAAACCACTTACAGCTGCAAACGTGATTTGCGCCCGAGAAACAGCGCAAAATATTTCTTCCGGCTGCAGTTTAAGTTAAAACAAGAAACAGTTTAGTTTAGTTTAGCAATTTGTAGCGATTTTCTACAAGTTTGTTATTTAATTTATTAACCAGTTGTTTACATAGACTAAATGTTATTTTATTTACAGCGAGTTCTCTTAAAATCCGTGGGTGTTTAACTGGTTCTTAACGAAGTTTCCGTTGAGCAAGAGAACAATTCAAATTACATGCTGTTTTAACTCGTATGATTGCAGCGAGACAAATCAAAGCAATAAAAAGATTATGTACATAGTAAAATTCCTATCATAATTTGCCAATGCGAACGAAATGCGGTGCGGTTTACGAAAACAAAGAATAAAATGCTGGTATCAAATAGCGCAGCGCGCCATTAAACGAAACGCAGTGCTAGTTGAACAATAAACATTTGTTTGCGTTATCAACTTATCTCTGTAATTTGCGCCAGCGAGCTCTACTAACGCCGAGTAATGCATGCATGCAAGTTATGATTCTAACGAACAAAACAACTCTAAATATTTCCATATTCATATAATCTACGCTTCATTTATTCATAATTTTATTTGTTTTTTATTATGTTAACGTATATCCGTTTTTATTCTTTTAATTAATCAATGCGTTAACTAATAAATAATAAATTTCGATTAAAACAAATTGCTGATTCATTAGTTCACAAACCTTGAGTGAAATATCAAATTTGTTATATAAAATAAACTATTGTGGCACAAGTTATAAATTTAAAAATTCATCACATCAACTTTTTATAATATTTGATTTAATATACACTTAAGAAAATTAATATTCGAGCAAAATTAAGAATTTGTTTTAGTTTTACATAGTTTTTGACTGATTTTGAGCATTAGAGACGAAAATTTCGTAAAATTTTCGACGATTTTAGTTTGATGGTAATTTTACTACAATAATAACTTTATCCAACCTCAAAATAATTGCATATCCGTAAAAGATTACACTCAATCTGAATTATTTCATCATATGACGAAATATTAACAATTTTAAGGTCAAATATTCTATTATGCAAGCAAAAATTAAAATTACATACGAGTCAAATTTAAACACACGCCAATTATATCCTATCGCATTGTCTCGCATCGCGTGCTTTGTGTGTGTACAGAAAACGATTACCTAAAGATTATAATAGCACACACACACATATACACAGCACTGATGCGATTCGGTTCAAGTTCATTTGTTGCAAACATGCCGCCATATGCCCGCCATACCCGTACAATATCTGCGATCATTGACGTTGTTTTGCTTGTGTTACTCCTTCGCATTGAATTCAATTCTTCACGATCAAGTTCAAGTTATTGCCAAGTCATTGCAAAACCAACTAATGTCTAATTAATTATGTAAGAACTAGTCAACCAACAACAACTACTCAAACTAAAACTAATATAATTCCTGTCTGAATGTCAAGCAAAGCGAAAAAAAGAGATTTGTTGTTGGCAAATTGGCTTTAACGACGCGTGACTGATGTTTAAAAAATAATGACGGTTGGTAGCTGAAGAGTTGAATGAATTTACGTACATTGACATGAAATTACACGCACTATGATAATTTTGACAATGGAAAAACCACTAAAAACTAAAAATAAGTAGTGTGTAGTATATTTTTACGCGTAGTGAATTTCCGAATTAAATACGGATCCTGTGCCCGGCATGTGGTCATGTAGTGGCAAGTACAAATCGTTTAAAAGTGACCTTGACGTATTGTAAATTACGGGCTTTAAATAGCTGAGTAGCAACTCAAAAACGGAGTTTTTGCAAAGCTCAAAATTCATTTGGAAGCCGTGATTTGAAAAATAGAAACAAAAGTTATAGACAAAAAAAGAATATTATATGACCCCAAAAGTGTTAATTGTTAGCCGAATTGAGTGTTTTTATGAGACGCGTTTTATGTATTTAAATTATTCACACTATTTACAACACTCATTACGATTTATCTCAACTCAGCTCGATTTGAATACGTTTCTGCCGATTCATTCTGGTATGATGATTACAAAGGTCACAAATTGTGCTTGTTTGTTATAACAGTTTATACTATTTACAATTTACACAAATGATATTGCAACTTATATATAAATACCTATGTAAGTTTCCATGTGTCTCAATATTTATACGAATTTTAGCATTGTAATATCTTTATTTTTCGCGATGAAATAATACCAAAAATAGAATGAAAATAGAATGGATTTAAGTTGGGTGGTGTGTGCTGTTCAAAAATGTACCCAACTACTCCGATTCTGACTTGTGGCTCAGCTCAGACCAAGCAAAAAGTGCGCGCGAGTTGGAAAACCGCTCAGTCGTGTGCGGCACGAACCGGCAGCACTATCGTCGCGGTCCCTCCGCCTACCACCAACTCAAAATCATCGTAAATTTACCGACATTTTCATCGCCAGTGCTCAAAAACACTCAAAAATGATGTAAAACTAAAATAAATTCACGGTGTACTTTTAATTTCTCGAATTTCACTCGAATATTAAGTTTTTAAGTGTATATTAATTTAAAGTTATAAAAACGTGTTGTTGTTAAGTTGATGTGATAAGTTTTTAAATTTTTAACTTGTGCAACAAATAAACTACAGTGAATATTTTATGTATGAACAAATTTTATATTTCACTCAAGGTTTGTGAACTTCTGAATCATCAATTTAGTTTTAATAGAGATCGATTAGTTATTAGCAAGCGTATTGATTAATTAAGCGAATAAAAATAAAAACGCGTGTCCGACGTGTCATTTCACTTCGTGACTGGATAAAATATTGAATTGTGTGGATGGCACTTTGATTAAAGACAATTTCCTTCAATTAACTCTCCGCGTGCACTCAAAACACTCAAGTTATGCGTGATGTTAATAATTTATGAAGGACAAAATTAAAATTACAGAAAAAATAATGTTCCAGCATATTTTACGAATTCTACAGATTAAATTTGAAGGTGTTAAGTTGTTAATGATTTCAAATGTTTATCGTGATGTGTTTATGTCTTAAAAAAACTAGGCTAGTGATGCTACATATCTATGCCACATAAATCTACAGCATGTTAGCGCAGCATCTGTAATCTTTTAAATATTTACAAATTTGCACAAGCCTTAATATATCCAGTAACACTTAAACACTTCCAGACCAAATATTTGTTACAGGAGGGCGGCACGTGTACCCATTGATCGACAAAACATAAAAAAAAGACACGAAATTTTGATTGGTTCGGCAATAATTTTAAATTAATATTTAAGTAATTTACGCATAGATAGGCACTTACACGAGTTTTAAATTCTTTCACCGTTACCAGTTACAATTATTGTGATATTTAACCATATTGCGCAAGGCAACAAAGTTGGCAAACAGAACGATTACGTTTCGTGTGTGTTAAATTATATTTTGCTAGCAGGATAAATGATTGCGTTGTGCGCTGCGTGCGAAAAAGTGTCACAAACGGGACGAGTTAAATTTAAATGTGTACTACACCAACAAACTCATTACGAGCATCTTCTCGCTGTAGTTACAACTTGTAGCTTGTGGTAAACCAAAACTAAAATTTGAATCGGTGACCAAATGAAACGAAAATTAAAAGAAATGTAAACAATTCAAACCGCAGAGTTACATCACATATCACAAATGGAAATTATGTATTTGCATTATGATTACTCTATGAATTCATGATAACGCGTATCACATGTCATGCTATAGAATAAATTTAGCTAACATCCGAATATAAAAATTAAATTAATATATAGTACTAGCTGTTGCCTGCGACTTCGTTCCGGCAGTGTTTAATAAAAATGTAATTCGTTTTTACTCTCTTGTTCTAGACATACTCGTAGTAAGAGTCAACTCTATCAATAAGATTAGCAATTTTAATTTAAAGAAATTATGCATATAAAGTTTTGGCAATAATGCACTTCAGCGCGCCATCTCGAATTCAACTATTTAACTATAACTATGATTGAATCTCAATGTCAAATTTTATTCTATAGAAAAGAGCTGTTTTGAGGATTTTCCCGGCAACTATTCGAATTTTTCTCACCTTTTATACCTTCCCTCGACCTCCACGAATAATTCAAGACCAAGATAAGATAAATCCGTTCAGCCGTTCTCGAGTTTTAGCGAGACTAACGAACAGCAATTCATTTTTATATATATAGATAACCACATTGCATTTAAATATTTTCATTTGTAGCAATTATGAGCTAGGATATTTTTTAAAGCCTTGATATCGATGGTAAAATCTTAAATATTGTTGTAATTATGATTCTATAACTTAAGCACGATTTTTCAGCTAATTTATTGAGGTCCACGTTGCGTTACTACAAATTTATTTAAACAAAACACAAGTGAATACAACTAAGCGACGTGGACTTGAAATTTAGACTTCTTGAAATATTTACCGGCATTTTTACTTAAGTAATTGAGTTTATAACCACCTTACAAATTATGAGACTGTTGCCGGTCCTTGTAAAATCACAAAATTTGATTATTTTATTCGCTATAACGTGATAAACGGACGATTGTATATACCACGCTTTCCACTCACGAGATGTGAAAGGAAATGATAAATAACGTCATATTCGCGAAAAAATGTTAAAAAAAAACTAAAAATAGCACCGCGAGCAAATACAGCTTGTTCCGATGCATCGAAAGTGAAACTAAAGCATTTTATTGCTTTCGAACGCAGATGCGTACGCCACCACCAGCGAAATAATAAATTTAACGCGACATTAAAACTCACGGTTTCTGCGAACATTGTAATCGTCGCCAAAACGACCGTAAACAATAAGTTGCAAGGCACAACACAAAATGCGCACGGAAATAGTCATAACACACGCGTTAAAATGCGAAAAATCTACTGAAATTCATTTTCCCACGAGGTATATTCCACACACATACTATTCATGCAAATACACTTGATAAAATAGTTATTTTTGCTACTTTTATAAACAACCGATTGTTTATATGCATTATAAATACGTTTTCGATAAAGTTAAATAAAACTCGATGACATTGACATTGAGGAAAGAAATGCAATGTATTTGTGCACGAGTTTACGACAATTTTATCGCGCATTGTTTTGAGTACTATTGAAATATTTTTATAGCACCACAAAAGTAACGTAAAATAATATTGTATTTGTTTCAGGCGTTGACCAAACCAAGTGAAGTCACAACAATACAAAACTACAAGAAGTAACTCGCTAAAATCAACAATTTACAGACTGATAAAGTGATTTGTGATATTGTGTAAGAATCAAGTGTAAAAAAACAGTGAAAAATGGATGCAAGCGATGAAAATCACAACCCTAACCCAAAAGAGGGCGCAAATCCTCTTTCAATACTATTTTTCACGTAAGTTATTGAATTCTAATAAGAGAAATGTGTGGAATGTGCGGAAATAGCACGTAATTTGCTATTTTTCATTATTTCACTAATAGCAGTTGGTCATAAATCCGTCGAGAAATTCGTAGGCACGTCCGCAATAACTGTACAATTTCGGTTACAAGCAATAAACCCAAATAATACTTGCAGCGGAAACAATTATTGCATTTTCACCATTTCACTATTCAGAAAGTTACGAATCTTACGCAAAACGTGACTTTTTTAAAGTCTACAACTGGTAAAAGACCACCAACTAGCTAAAAACCCATCTGGGCCATCCCTTAACTTTGAAAAGCATGCATAATCTTTTGTAGAGTGTCACAGCTTATATAAACACCAAAGAAAAGCAATGTGACAGGCACACTAAGTGAAATTCTATATTTTACAAGGCATAACAAATGACAAACTTCCAAAATTAAAATAATCTGACACAGGAAGTGGTTTTAGGAGAGATTAAGAAAGCCACCCCAAAAGATTCGACTTTTGGGAACAGAAATCTTTAAAATGCAGATAAAAATAATCGGTTTGACACTTGTGTATCATGACCCCTTAAAATGTTACCCTAAACGAAAAAAAAGTGACACTTTAAATGCCTCTGGCAGATTTATAGCTTACAACTGTTTTAATTTAAATTCCTTAATTGATTTCTTAAGTTACGCAGCAGACGGAGTTGTTGATTGTGTGCTAAATGTCAAGATAATATTAATAAATACATTTAACACTTGATAACACCGTAAAAAAACGACGACAATTTTGTTTTATAACCGGATTAATTAAATTGTTTTGTAAACAATTCGACAATAAATCTATTCAGCATTTTTATTCTTCAGTTTTGTTTTGACAATGGAAAATTAACGACTGTGAAGTTGTGGGAATATTAAATATACACAACAGAGCCACAGATTACTCTTTGGACCATGAATTAGACACAACAATACACAAAACCAACAACAACCATTGATTCCGATTGCGAAGCGATGCATAGATTAAAATTAAAACCTGCTGCACGTAGTCTGGAAATCGCGAGAATAGATTTACGCATCCCAGTGATGACTAAATTATGCGCGTCGACAGACGAATTGAAATGAAACGAAATCCGGTTGTGCGCGGAATGTCACGCTTGTCTAGTTGTCTAATTCTGTGTAAATATCAGCCGGCTGCAACATGTGGAACATGTGCAACTGCCAAATTGCTGTGGGTGCACACACGAGGAGTAAATCGCATTATTTGCTCGCTTCTCCGGTGTCAAGTTTGGATGTTTATGTTTGCTGCGTTTAGTCTATTAGAGGCCGTCCGTGGACGGATCACAACAGGCGTGAATTCTATGAATAAATGGGAGGATGCACCCTCCGACGCGCCGTCTGCAGAGGTTCAATAGAAAGAAAAAGATGAAGAGAACGTGTGCACGCGGCAAGCAGACAAAGGCAATGCTGAAACGTACACAAGCTAACAAATAAACGAAATACACTTAAATAAATTAAGTTTAAAGTAAAGCTAATTTGAAAGTTAACTTGATATTTTTTTGTTGAAATACATTACCACATAACTCTACGTAGAGAAAAGTTATTTACCACGGGGACTATACATACAGAAAAGTTATTTACTACGGAGTAAATAACAAATGTAGTTCGCAAAATTGTCATTTCGAATTGAGGGCGCCACTGGTTACCTCGCGTAGTAAAGCTAACTTCACACTATGATCACATTATTATCCAGGAAAAACCAAACACGTGAAATAAACTTAAATAAATTAAAATCTGCTCATTTTAGACTTAACTTGATTATTTTTGTTGAAATAATTTGTAGAGATATTCTACTAGGTCTTTAAACAACAAATAAGTGAAGCTCCGAAAGTCACAGCTGATACGTAGTAGAGCTAACTTCACACTTCATGTAACTTGTGCATTACTCAGAAAATCTTAACAAGCAAAATGGACTTAAATAAATAGGAACCAGCTAATTTTAAAGTTAACTTGATTGTTTCCTTTTTTTGAAATGTAATCAGTAAAGTTATTTTCCGCAGTTTTTAAACAACAAATATATCAGAAAATCAAATTGTAGTTAACAAAATAGTCACATATCTATGAGGGCGCCACCAGTCTCACCTAACTTTGTAAAGCTAACTTCACCCTATTCATGCATCACTTAGATAAAACCAACAAACAGGCGAAATAAACATAAATAAATTAAAACCTACTAATTTTAAAGTAAATTTAATTATATTCCTTGAGAATAATTAGTAAAATGATTCTGCAGGGATCTTTTAACATATAAGTAAAGCGTTAGTAGTTACCATACCGCGTAATAAAGCTAACTTCACGCCATTTTCTTATAGCAATCATAGTAAACAAGTTTAAATTATTGAAAGGCTGTACCAGCTGCCGTACCAAATTAGTTATTTTTTAATTTCATGCAACGAGACATTTATTCCGTCCGAACCGACGGAAACACTTCAAGAGGCTTAAATTACGCCCGTTTGCAATTTATTTATAGCCACGCCGCGCACCAAAGCGCATCAGAGATTATAAAAAGTGAAACGCATCACGAACGTTAAAGCTAAAATGCGTCGAAATATGCACTTGTATAGTCTGGATATTATTAGGCATTATGGTCGGTTTATTGCTCAACACGTTTAAAAAACAGCAGTCCAAAATGAAGTAATTAAGAAAGTCGTAAACATCCATTCATTGAGATTTCTGTCAATGGAATCATTGTAAAAGTAAATTTACAAAAGTTAAACAGAAGTTCTGATTTAAAATTTGATTTACTGCTCTTGAAATGATCCCAATAATATATTACACAGAGTGTTGCAGAAAAACTGATAAATTTTAATGTTTTTATAGATATACAATCGGAATGTTCCGAAAAGGATATCAAAAGACCCTGGAAGTTGCAGATCTCTACAATCCACTCAAAGAAGATCGAAGTAAACGTCTAGGAGATCGTCTTGAAAGGTAAAACCCGAAATAAACCGAATGGTGCATTATTTTAATGTTATTTTTCTGTTTAGTAAATGGGACACACATTTAAAGTCCCGCCAAAGAAAGAATAAAAACCCATCACTGGCACGGGTCCTGGTAAAAACCTTCTGGCCCGAATACCTGCTACTCGCTATAATTCTAGTACTTATGGATCTTGTCTACGTTTAGCACAACCTATCTTCTTAGGCAATCTATTGGAATACTTCCGTCCCGATTCCGAAATGTTACGCGAAGACGCCATGTTTAACGCGGCCATCTTGGTCGCAATCAACGCTGGCAGCGCTCTACTGATCAATCAGTACATTTTCCGAGCTTTCCATTATGGAATGCGTGTACGCGCAGCTGTATGCTCATTAATTTACCGAAAAGCCTTAAAATTGAGCAGGACTGCTCTGGGCGATACAGCAAGTGGCAAAGTTGTTAATCTATTATCGAATGATGTGAGCCGATTCGATATTGTGTCTGTTTTTATTCATCACATGTGGGTTTCACCTACAAGTACTTGTATTGTGATGTATTTCCTCTGGAGGGAGGCAGGATACGCGGGAATAATTGGTATTATTCCTGTATTTTTAGTTGTACCGTTACAAAGTTATACCGGAAAACTTTCTTCTAAATTCCGACGTGAAACCGCATACAAAACCGATGAACGTGTGCGTTTGATGGACGAAATCATCAATGGAATTCAAGTCATCAAAATGTACGCCTGGGAGAAACCATTTGAAAAACTAATTCGTATCTCGCGCATCAATGAACTTAAAAAAGTTACTAAATTATCGTACGTACGTGGTTTATTTATGACTTTTAATCTCTTCACCACTCGTGTGGCACTCTTCTCCGCCATGTTGACCATGGTACTCTCAGATCAACCAATCACAGCCAAAACAGTCTTCGTTTTCATGTCATACTTCAATATTCTATCACAAACAATGTCTTCCATGTTTGTTAGAGGAATCTCCGAAATGGCAGAGTTATTCGTCGCCATTAAACGCTTACAAGAATTTCTAATGAACGAAGAATTCGAAGATACCAGCAAATCAGATAATAACAACGACCTCAACGATGATAAAGGCAACAAAGGTCATAAAGTAAACGAGAATATCTCAGTTGAATTACAAAATATCACTGCAAAGTGGAACAAAACAAAATCCGAAAATGCCTTGAGTGATATCTCTGTATCAGTGGATAAAGGAAGTCTTTTGGGTATAATAGGACCAGTGGGTTCTGGAAAATCCTCATTTTTACAAACATTACTAGGAGAATTAGATGTAATGAACGGAGATGTCATCATCAACGGAAAACTCTCATATGCATCACAGGAACCTTGGGTATTCGCAGCAACAATCAGACAAAACATCCTCTTTGGAGAAGAATACCACAAAAAGAGATACAACGAAGTAATTAAAGCATGCGCCTTGGACAAAGACTTCAAACAATTCGATGATGGCGATAAAACAATAGTTGGGGACCGAGGTGCTTCACTATCCGGAGGTCAAAAAGCTAGAATCAATTTAGCAAGAGCAGTCTACCGGAATGCAGATATCTATCTATTGGATGACCCACTGAGTGCTGTTGATGTCCACGTAGGAAAACACTTATTCAGAGAGTGCATTGATGGTTTCCTCAAGGGAAAAACTAGGATATTAGTAACACATCAAGTTGATCATTTGAAAGGAGCCGAACACATTGTTATCTTGAATGAGGGAAAGGTTGAAACAGAGGGATCATTCAAAACCTTAGTAATAACCAAGACGTTGTCTATGCTAAACTCCTAACTCAAGAAGAGGAATCTGAAGTTGAAGATCAACCAGAGCGTAAAACCATCCGCCAGATATCCCGCAGTAAATCTCTATCTGTTTCCAGCCTTCATAGTGATCTAAGTTGTACACTAGACGATGAAAAAGAAGAGAAACCCATTGATATGATAGAAGAGACTTCAAAAGGAAAAGTCCACGGTTCTCTATTCATGAAATATTTATACGCAGGCGGAAACTGCTTCTTTGTGATGACTGTCTTAGTTCTATACATTCTAGCACAACTATCCGCGAGTGGTGTGGATTATTTCGTCAGTATCTGGACAGATATTGAAGAGAAACGTCGTGCTGCCATATTGAACAACACCGAAAATGTTTTAGAGGAGGGAAATGAAGTTGTCATAGAATACCAGGCATTATCAACTTACACTTGTGTTTATATCTATGCTGGATTGATCGTAGCACTGGCAATAACTGCCCTGGCTAGATCTATGTTATTCTATAAGTTGGCCATGTTAAGTTCACAAAAGCTGCACGATAATATGTTTAAAAGTGTGATTTATACAACCATGCGGTTCTTTGATACGAATCCAAGTGGGAGGATCCTGAATAGGTTCTCAAAAGATATAGGATCAATTGATGAACTACTACCAAAAGCTGTGTTGGATGCAGGACAGATTATGTTGTTAATGGTTGGATCCCTAATATTGGTTGCTGTGGTCAATCCATATCTACTTGTTCCATTAGCTGTGATAAGTTTAGTCTTCCAGGGGATGAGGATTATCTTCTTGAGGAGCAGTAAGAATATTAAAAGACTTGAAGGAGGAGGTAAGTTTAGGTTGTTTGAGATTTTACTCTTATTAATATGCATTTTTCTTTAGTGAGGAGTCCGGTGTTTACTCATTTAAATGCGAGCATTCAAGGTCTTACCACAATTCGAGCTTATGGAGCTCAACAAATTCTTACAAATGAATTTGATAAACATCAAGATCTACATACCAGCGCATGGTTCATGTATATTGCTGCTAGTTCAGCTTTTGGTTTCTATTTGGATGCGCTTTGTTTCATTTTCATTGGATTTGTTACGTTTAGTTTCTTAACGTTTGCAGAAAGTATGTATATTTTTAAAGTAACGGTCTATGAGTTGCAATTGGGAAATTAATGTACATTTTTTATATTTAGATGCACTTGGTGGTGAAGTGGGCTTGGCCATAACCCAAGCTTCCGCTCTCACTGGTTTTGTGCAGTGGGGAATGCGCCAAAGCGCTGAGGTGACCAATCAGTTAATGTCAGTCGAAAGAGTTCTCGAATATAGCAGTCTCGAAGAAGAACGACAACCACTCGTCCCAAAACAACCACCGGCGCAATGGCCTGAATACGGAAAAGTACAATTCAAAAAAATGGGCCTAAGATACTCCCCAGAAATGAATCTAGTTTTGAAAAATTTAAACATTCAAATCCAACCCAAAGAAAAAGTTGGCATTGTTGGGAGAACCGGCGCTGGTAAATCCTCGTTAATCGCCGCTATCTTCCGACTGGCCTTTATCGAAGGCGAGATAGAAATTGATAATGTAGACACGGAAACTATCACTTTACAGGAACTCCGGTCTAAGATTTCGATTATTCCGCAAGATCCCGTGTTATTTTCCGGGACTCTTAGATACAATCTTGATCCTTTTGAGGAATATGCCGACGATGTTTTGTATAAAGCATTAGAAGACGTAAGTATTCTTGTTTATACACAGTGTGTTTACTATTTTATAAAATATATTTTAAATTTAGGTGGAATTAAAGGACAGTTCCAATATTATTAATAACCTGGAAAATAGAGTGATGGACCGCGGAGCAAATTACAGTGTCGGTCAACGCCAGTTAATTTGTTTAGCAAGGGCCATCATACGTAAAAATAAAGTATTAATGTTGGATGAAGCCACTGCCAATGTTGATCCACAGTAAGTGTTATTTTTTGCGAATACAGTTGCCTCGGTTTAACGTCGAACTTCGAATCACGGATTATCATTAAATTTTCAATTGAAAGTATCTCGTAAACTAAAAGAGATAAATAGGATCTGATCGCAGCGTCTTAATCTACGGACTAATCTCTATCAGATAGGATAGTTAAAAGGGAAATCAGAGAGATGAAATTTTCAATCTTAAGAAAAAAATTGCCAAGGGGGGGTGCTTGATACTTTTTTTCGACGATTTTCAAAAATTCATATCTCTTAAACTAAAAGAGATACCGACCAATGAATTGTTGATTATGAAAGATTGGAAAATTCTCAATCAGATAAAAATATACAATAATTATATTTCCTACGGTAAATGGTCGAAAAACGCGTCTAAAAGTGCTAAAAAGTGACATTTTGCAATTTTTGCCCATTTTATTCAATCGCGAATATCTCGTAAACTAAGAGAGATAATTAAGATCTGATCGCAGCGTCTTAATCTACGGACTAATCTCTATCAGATAGGATAGTTAAAAGGGAAATCTGAGAGATGAAATTTTCAATGTTAAGAAAAAAATTGCCAAGGGGGGGTGCTTGATACTTTTTTTCGACGATTTTCAAAAATTCATATCTCTTAAACTAAACGAGATAGCTACCAACGAATTTTTGATTATGAAAGATTGGAAAATTCTCTATCAGATAAAAATATAAAATAATTATATTTCCTACAGTAAAAGGTCGAAAAACACGACTAAAAGTGCTAAAAAGTGACATTTTGCAATTTTTGCCCATTTTATTCTATCGCGAATATCTCGTAAACTAAAAGGGATAAAAGGAACGAATGGCAGCGTCTTAATCTACGGACAATTTTCTATACAATAAGCTAGTTAAATTGTTAATTTAAGAGATGAAGAGATGAGGGGTAATTTAATTCATAAGAAATAAATGGGTAAGACTGCATGTTTTTCGAACAATTTTCGATAGATTATGAAAGATATGACTACTATGACTATTTGCAATGATTAAACAATTTCGTTTTCTCTTTTTAGAACTGATGCATTAATCCAGAAAACAATCCGTCACAAATTCGCCGATTGCACTGTGTTAACTGTCGCGCATCGCCTCAACACCATCATGGACTCCGACAAAGTGGTAGTCATGGATCAAGGCACCATAGTCGAATTCAATCATCCCCACATTCTACTCAACAACAGTCAGGGTATATTCTATCAAATGGTACAAAGTACAGGTACACACATGTCGGAACAACTCAAGAAAATCGCTAGAAACTGTTACCTCAAGAGACAGGGTGTACCCGAAGCCGATGAAGCCACACAATAATGTCACAATGCCAGCAATTACTTATTGATGCCTCAACATGTGCCTGAATATTAATGATTAAGATTAAGATATTTTTATAGCCACGTATATATAAATATAAATACATTCAATTTTGTAATTTGTGCGCGATAAGTTTTTTTATTGATTATATAAGAAAAAGAAAGAAAGAAATTTATTTATTTTGCACTAAGTCTATTTTCTAAGAGTGTTGTTGAAATGATGTACTTTCTGCAAGTACTTAAAGTTGTATTATACGTATTATAATGATTAAATCCAATGAAAAACATTATTTAATGTTGTTTCTTAAATTCCTAAGTTATTACATTTATTTTTAAATTTCATCAGGCGCATAAATGTGTTTTGTTAGCAAAATAAATGAGAATTTCTGTGAATTTTGGAAAAAAAGATTAATAAAAATTGTTTTTTTCCTTTCGAATGCAAATGAACTTTCGAATGCGAAAGAATTTTGTAATGCATTGCGCATTACTGTATTAAAACGCAACGAATGCGGAAAATGTCGCAATACTCGACTGTGGCATCGGCAATATATCAGATAACGCCAGAAATATTGTTATTCCGAAGACCGTGCGATTTATGAACCATCAAAACAGCAATTTTTGCTATCTATCAATCATTAAAGTCGACACTAAATTATATCTACCGGAATACGACTACATGCGCTATCAAAATTACACTGGCAAACAAGAAAAACTACTTCAATCGATTTTCAAACAATTATCGCTACAAAAAAATTAATTTTATCGTCAAACATAATATAAAAATTCATTATCTCAAGTATCTAGTGTATTATAATCCGTAAATCATCAAATGCAAATAAAATCAACGCAGCATCGTGCCGGAATTCACTGATAAAATAATGATAAGTCATTCTCTCCTTCACGTGCAGCAAAATACTTATCTATTCTTATCTAGTTGAATATTAAATCGTATTTTTAATCGACACAATGACTTTTCATTATCGTAATGTTTGTATTTGCGTGCATGTGAATGAATTTGGCACAAAATTCTACTTACTTAATTTTAACACATTAGACGCGCCGCAATTACACGTTTAGTTACGAGTTCGAAGGGTACGCCATCGTCGAAGGTCCCATTAAAAGCGCAAAGAGCCAATCGATGCGCGCATAACGCTACGACACTTTGAACAAAGTGGAAAAACGGTTTCATAACTTATGTTCAGCGATGTGATAAGCGAGTGTGTGTATAAATATGAGTACTGCGTGCACCGGACTAGACTCAGTCGTGTTTCTATCTTCAAATAGTGACTTACGCATTAAAAATTAAATATTTTAAAAACTTTTTTATATAGTGTAATTAAAAGTGAATCAAAATGGATGCTGGCATACAACTTAAGTGGGAAAATCCTGTGCGGAAGGCTAATATTGTTTCAAAACTATTTTTTACGTAATATAAATTAATTTACTCCAAACAAATTTTTTAAAACTTTTTGCGTTGTAGATGGATGGTAAAATTATTTTATAGAGGAGTACGACAGGGTCTAGAAGTTTTAGACATCTACAAAACACTAGATCCAGACAAGTCAGAAATGTTAGGAGATAAATTAGAAAGTGTGTGGATGAAACAAATAGAAAAATCCAAAGAAACAAAAGAAAAAGGCAAGAAGAAGAAGAAAAAACCAAGTTTACTCTCAGCCATCACAAAAGTATTCTTTTGGAATTACATGATATACGGCATATTCCTATTCATACAATTCGTATTTTTACGGTGAGTAAAAGTTATCAACTCACTTTAAATATTAACGAGCTTAAACTCAGCAATAAAAAAAAAACGAAATAAAAAAGGACAATTACTGCAACGCTACTACTCTACTTAACTCAACAGGCGTCATAAAATAAAAAAATGATAACGATAAAAACATTTCTAGGTCATGTCAACCTCTGGTCTTGGCCTATCTGATTGCTTTGTTTTCACCAGAAGCACAACTGGAGGATCAGACTGTGAAGATGTATGTTTCAGCATCCGTTCTGATCGCTTTCAGTATCGGAACAATATTTTTACAACATCATACTAATTTTGGTATGGCGAGAGTCGGAATGCGGATCAGAGTTGCTGTTTGCTCACTTATGTACCGAAAAGTAAGAAATTCAAGAAAAATTTTAAGAAATATTTTAAAAAATTATTTTTTTCTCTGTAGTTATTAAAACTGAACAAAAAAGCTTTGGGTCAGACAGCTTCCGGTCAAGTTGTAAACCTGTTATCAAACGATGTGTCTCGTTTTGATTATGTCGCCCTAGCCATTCATTACATCTGGATATCACCTTTTCAAGTCGCCATTGTTACTTACTTCATCTGGAATGAAGTGCAGCTAGCTACGCTAGCTGGTGTGCTTTCTATGATACTATTTACTCTACCTCTACAAGGTATTTTTTAATATTTAAAAAACAATTAAAAAAATAAATAAATAAAAATTTCAGCTGCCCTTGGAAAATACGTAACAATCCTTCGTGGAAGAATCGCAATTTGTACAGACTCCAGAGTCCGCCTAATGAACGAAATAGTTTCCGGTATTCAAGTAATCAAAATGTACGCATGGGAGAAACCCTTTCAAATACTGGTCAAAGAACTACGCGCGCGTGAAGTTGACGTACTCACAAAAGCAGCCTACATTCGAGGTGTTTTCCTCTCCTGTATGGTGTTCATTGAACGTACCACATCATACCTAACAGTCATCACTTATGTCCTCCTCGGGAATGAAATCACCGCTGATAAAGTATTTTCGCTATCGCAGTTTTTCAACAGTCTGCAACTCGCGTTGGCTATTTTTATCCCGATGGCTATACAAATGGGAGCAGAATCTGTGGTATCCGTACGACGTATTCAAGAATTTTTACTGTTAGAAGAACGAACTGATACACAAATTGAAGCAGCGGAAGATAATAAAATTTCTCTGAAGAATATCAACGCTTCTTGGGTGGATAATCAACAAGTACTCAAAAATATCAACTTTGAAGTACCCGCGGGTAAACTGTGTGCTATAGTAGGACCTGTGGGATCCGGAAAATCGTCAATTTTGAATTTATTACTTGGAGAGTTACCGATTGAAAATGGAAGGGTATCAGTCTGTGGGACTATATCTTATTCCTCACAGGAACCTTGGTTGTTTCAAGCTACAGTACGAAATAATATCCTATTTGGACAGGAGTATAACAAACTGCTTTATAAAAAAGTAACCAAAGTATGTGCGCTGCTGCCTGATTTTGATCAAATGCCAAATAGAGATAAAACTATAGTCGGGGAGCGAGGAGTGTCCCTGAGTGGTGGACAACGTGCTAGGATCAATTTAGCAAGAGCTGTTTACCGGGATGCTGATATTTATCTAATGGATGATCCTTTGAGTGCTGTGGATACCCACGTGGGAAAACATTTATTCGAAGAGTGTATATGTAATTATCTAGCAGGGAAAACACGTATTTTGGTTACGCATCAATTGCAGTATTTGAAGAAAGCTGATTTGATTGTGGTTATTAATGATGTAAGTCAAAAATTGTATTTTTAGTATGTTTAGTACGTGAATTAAATGATTTTTAATATTTAGGGTAAAATAGAAGCTCAGGGGACTTTCGCGGACCTACAAAAATCTGAGTTGGACTTTGTTAAGATGGTGGTAGCTGCTGATGAGACCGTAGAGGAAACAGAAGTGCCCGAAGAAGATAAAAAGACGAAATTAGAAAGAAAAGAATCAACTAATGTAAGTTATAATAAATTTAAAATAAAAAAGATAAGTTATGTTATTTTTATCTATTTAGACTATACAATCAGTAGAAGAAGAAGCAGCTAAAAACGAAGAAGAAATTGGTTGGACCGGACGTTCCGCCATTCGACAATACATAGCCGCGGCTGGTAACTGCTGTGTTATCTTCATAGTCACTGTGATTATCATTATGGGACAAGTTTTTAGTAGCGCTTGTGATTATTGGTCAAGTTATTGGTAAGTACCCCAATATTATTCCTCAATTCTAAGACCTGAATTCCCATAACAATAAAACTAACATTTTCTACCTCTTAGGACTGACCAGGAAGCAATCCGATATGCATACAACACCAACCGCACCTACAATCCAACTCTAATAGAAAGAATAATTGGCCCAATCGTCCCACATGAAGAAGTAATCTATGTCTCCCTACAACGCGAGAGATACACCGGTGATGAGTTTGAATATCGCACACCTCGAGTCCACGAAAAACCAACAATATCCACAGACATGGCTATCTACATCTACACAGGATTCATAGTGGGTCTGATCGTGTTTACGCTAATGAGATCATTTGCCTTCTTCAAAGTAACAATGGTAGCAGCCAAACGTTTACATGCTGTCATGTTTGCTGCTCTCCTGGAAGCCCCGATGCGATTTTTTGATACCAACCCAAGTGGGCGTATTCTAAACAGATTTTCTAAAGATATGGGAGCTATTGATGAACTCCTGCCAAGGATGGCAATGGAAGCAATGCAAATCATGTTGGTTATGACTGGTATTCTAGTTATGATCTGCGTATCTAATTATTACATGGTAGCAGCTATAGCTTTCTTCGCGGTTTTGTTTATTCTACTAAGAAAATGGTACCTAGACACTGTCAGAGTGCTCAAACACATTGAAGGATCAACAAAAAGTCCTGTGTTCTCACATATGAATTCATCTCTAAATGGGATCACAACTATCAGAGCATCACATGCCGAAATGATTCTGGTGAAAGAATTTGATCACCATCAGAATGTGCATACTTCTGCATGGTTTTTGACTATTGCATGCACGGAATCTTTTGGGTTATGGATTGATATTTTGTGTGTGTGTTTCACTGCGGTGGTTACGTTTAGTTTTATTGTTTTGAATGAAGCGGGGACTGTTTCGGGTAGTGCTGTGGGTCTTGCTATTTCACAATCGTTGATTTTAACTGGTATGTTACAACATGGTATGAGGCAAACTGCAGAAGTGGTTAATCAGATGACAAGTGTAGAGAGAATTCTACAGTATACTATGTTGGATAAAGAAGGGCCTTTTGAACTGCCAAAGGAAAGACGTACTTATAACATTAAATCTAACTGGCCCAGTACCGGAAATATTACTTTTCATCATATGTACTTAAGGTACAACCCCTATGATGCTCCTGTTTTGAATGATTTGAATGTTCAAATATTATCGGGGCAAAAGGTAATGATTATTATTATTAGTATTTATCTAGGCTTAAAATTATTATAATTTAATTTTTATTTTTAGATAGGAATTGTGGGTCGTACAGGTGCAGGTAAATCCTCCCTAATGACAGCTCTCTTCCGCTTAGCCCCGATTGAAGGCATCATTGAAGTAGATGCAGTTAACACACAAAATATTGGTTTATCTCAACTCAGACGCAAAATTTCAATTATTCCACAAGAACCTATTTTATTCTCTGCTACACTTCGTTATAATTTAGACCCGTTCGGTGAATATCACGATGATGCTATGTGGAGTGCTTTGGAAGAAGTTGAACTTAAAGAATCCATCAACTCTTTGGACTTTATTGTGGATGAAGGTGGTTCGAATTTCAGCGTGGGGCAAAGGCAACTTATTTGTTTAGCTAGGGCTATTCTACGAAACAATACCATTTTGGTTTTGGATGAGGCAACAGCAAATATTGATCCTAAGTAATAATACTCGTAATTATTTAAATAATATACTAAAATTATTTATTTTTATGTTTTTAAAGGACTGATGCGTTAATTCAAAAGACAATTCGTAGAAAGTTTAACAAATGCACAGTTTTGACAATAGCGCATCGATTGAATACAATTATGGACTCTGACAAGGTGATGGTATTAGATGCTGGAAGACTAATTGAATTTGATCATCCGCATAATTTGTTGCAAAAGGAAAATGGGCACTTTTTGAAAATGGTTGAAAAGACAGGCGCTGGCATGACTAAAACTTTGTTCGCTGTCGCAAAGGCAGCGTACCAGGATAAGCATTTGAAGGCGCAGCAAGAGAGCGATTCTGAATGATAATTAAATGAAATGAATGTATATAGTTCATCTGCTCATCACATACTTATGTTGGAAGTATTTATTTATTGTAGTGACAACTATGTTTCAATAAATGTTTTAAAAATTAAAGCGCGTGTTGAAATTGTTTCCATGACAACTTGTTTATTTGATGTTTGATCAATATCAGTCAGGTTTTTACTAGAATTTCTAGTCGTTTTACCAAAATGTCTGATTTTTATTCATCTCCGAATGATATTAAACTATTAAGTGAATTGTTGTTCCCTCGCAGGGATAATGACTCATCTGATGATGAAGAACACGTCACTAAGAAAGCAACAAATACTTGTGAGTATAAAATAACTCCTTAGTTATTCAATTAATATAAACCTAATTATTTTATTCAGATTTGAATCCTACTGATATTGCAAGGAATAAAGTCACCACTGATTCTGCTGAATCAACATCCACGCAAGAAATTAAAAAATCTCCATATGAAAAGACTGAAGAGGCTAAGAAGAAAACTGAGCTTGATTACGAAGATGAGTACATGCAGAAAATCAATGAATTGACGGATGAAAGTACATGGAAAACCTGTCCTACGTACGAAATAAGTTATCGGCAAGCAGTTACTGCTTCCGATGTGTTTCTACAAGTAATTATTATTTATTGTAGCATAAAAATACCTTAATTTCTATTGATATTTTGTTTAGATGGGAAACAAAACAAATTCTACTTCAAGTTGTGAGAATATGGTAATTGCTATCAATTTACCAGAGGAGAAACGTCAGAGCATTGATCTAAAGATTGAGGAAACTGTCTTGAAGCTGAATTCATCGAAGTATTTTCTAAAACTGTCGCTGCCGCACCCTGTAAACCCGCAGTTGGGCGATGCTAAGTTTGATAGTGATACGGATATTCTAAATGTCACCTTAGTAATGGACCGGGAATTCGACTTTGTTAATTACTAAGCCTTATATGTAATAACCTTCAATACCTTATCATGAATAAAGGCAAGAATTTGAAAGCAGAAATGATTCGCTGATAGTTTACACTTTCCTAAAGTTCCTAAACGATAGAAGAGTGGGATTTTTAAGAACCGACTTAAAGAAACCCTACTTAGTAAACAGGACTAAAAATGGCGAGGACCTGTAATTACGAGTACGACCGGAATGGCGAGAGGCATCTCCCGGAGCTCTTTCCTTCTCTTTAGGTCTTTAATTCGCGCGGCGCTAAACCGACGATTGTATGCACGTGCATTTATGACGCATAACGATACAAGACAGCCTGTTTGGTGTCAGGTGTACTCACTACTTAAGGCGATGATATTTCAATACAATCTTGTGTCCAAACCGCTGGTAGGATGCTTGAAGTCCGTTGAGGCCCCGTACAAACCCTCATGGAATTGAACGTTTTTACCGCTCCATTACAGTAGCGATACGGATTACACGATATTTTCGGGCTTTTTAATCGCGTCCCGCACTCGATTTGTCGAATATTCGGATAAATATTTATAAACACCGCGTACTTTCCCTAACAGGTGAAAGGGGACATGGCACGACCCTCCTTCGATAGCTAATTGATCGTAATTCTATAAAATGGTTGAAATAGTCAACCGCGTCGCGACCCGCACTCGATGAGTATTTCGTTACACCTCTCCAGGTATCTCGCGAATAACGTTTATCACTTTTACCTGTGAATGTAAACAATTATTAACAAGAATGGGAGGATTGGGTGGTTATTCTAAACTACAAAAACTTTTAAAAGAATAAACTAGAAAAGCTTAATTAGAAAAATATTTAAAAACAAATAAATAAACTCATCAAGAAAAGCAAATGATTTAAATTTTGTAGGATTGTTAAATTTGAACAGGATAAGTCTTTTAATTTATCTATAAATTGACCTTGAATTGAATAATTTAAAAAATATTAAGAGGTAATTAGTTAAAACTTGAAGGTGTGAGGTATTAGTAAACACAAAAAGTACAAAACCGATAACGAACGCGCCCGAATTACAAAAATGCCCAAATTAATCGAATATGTACCTGAAAGACAAGCAGAAAGAACAATTAGTAACAGAAAATATCAAAATTATTAGAGACAATGTAAAAACTTTGTAGCAATGTTCAAACCTGTTCCCATTCCTGGGAAAGCATGACTACTCCTTGACATCTTGTGGCGGACCGGGGAATGTCATCTAGAAACAGCAGGAAATTTTAAGCACAAGGAGAAATAATAGAAAGAACAGTTATTTTTTTAATATACATGTCTGCGATGAGAAACAGGAACGTTTTCAAGAAGTCGGTGGATAATCCGATCGGAATGCACCATCAACGACGTCGCACACAAGAAACAGAAAATAAAACAGAATTAAAATGTAACAAATACTAAAGAATAACTAAATGATAAATGTGCAACGCTTGAAAATAAAAATAAGAGTGCGTTATCAGCAGTGGCGAATTGTGTTGGAATGTTAAAATCAAAACAACAACATGGCGTCTCCTTGTGTTAGCAGTGCTGTAAAATTGGCACTCTACTGCCGCAAAGTGAACGTTTGAAATATGTGAAAAGCAGACAAACAACTGATAAGGCCGCCGCGCACACCTCGCGAAGCTGAAACTGTGGTCCCCCGTAGCTCATGTCGATTGTACAATAAAATTACATTCGAATATTCTAATTAGACGCATTGCAAGTACATGATTTCATTTATGTGATGAGGCAACTTGGTGGTTGCGATCGTGAACACGATGTTTGAATCGCGGCCTTATTGCAAAATCGCGTCTAACGGCGTATGAAACAATGTAGCGTGCAAATTTTACGAATTACAAATTTAATAAAAAGGCGCAAATAAAAATAATGCAAGAAACTTACTTGTGGATGCCTCGAAAAATGATTTTCACTTGGTGGCAACACTTTTTTACTGATTTGCTAAGTTTTTAAAGATTTTATTAGCGGAGCTATAACTGCAGAGAATCTCGCACACTGAATGATGTTGCTGAGCGTGCGTTGCGGAAGAACGTTAACTTGGTTCCCTGCGTCGCTTCCTGCGCCGGACTTGCGCACAAAAAGTTCAACGTTGAGGTGATATTGATAAAGCCGAAAACAAAAACACACAAACAATGCACGTATTTTATATTACTTTAAGATCGCATATTGCATGACATGATTCCAGTCCAAGTCTCTTGGAATGTTAGGAGATAGTGTGAGTTGTTATTTTATTCTGCGCGACTTTCCCCGTCTCACCCCGCAACCCGTAGTGTGTAGTATCAGCTTGAGAGATAAACTGATAAACACGAAAATAAATGCATTGAATATTTATTTCGATTCATTTTATGTTTTCAACGTAAATTCTAGAAACTTTAATTAATTTATTGTATATATAAATATATTTATTGATAAAAGATCGTGATTTTAGATTTAAAATTTTGGTGAGTTAGATATGTTTCGCCCTGAAGGCATCTTCAGTGACTGAATTCAGTAACTACTTAAAAATTACTAATTACTACTAATATACTAATACAGATACTAATACTAAAAACTACTTAATTTTATCGATAAATATAGTTATATATCCAATTAATTAATTAAAATGGATGCATCATCGAAGAAAATAGAAACTTTAATTGTATTATTATAGAAACATTTCATTTATTTTTATATTATATTTTATGGTATTATAGTCGCAACTATTGTAAAAGTAATAAAAAAGTTATGAAAAATAAAATATTGACACTCAGAACTGCATGCTGAGCTCAACTTATTAAAAAAAACTAAAACTATAAGTTTGAGTTATGCCCAGCTGCATTTTATGAAATAAAATTGAAATTTTGCCCTGCCTATACGCGGAACTAAAGTAGACGTTACCGACGATTGTGCTCACGCGACACGCAGGGAAACGATTCAATACGAGCCAAGAGAGGAAGAGAGAACACCACAGGACCGATGGAACGCAAAACGTACTGTACGCTGCCCTTTATACCTGCAAAGTACTCAGAGTGTTGTGGTGGGGCACAGAAAAGAAGTGGGGGAAGGCCCGCGGTTCCTTCGACCCTAGAACCGGTCCCTGCAGCTCGCACCCTCGCGAACACTTCCCCTCCACTTTTTGAGAAGGTCAGCCGCAGGTATAGAAGGGGTGCGCGCAGAGGGCCAAGTGCTCAGTCGTGCCTAAGTCGTCCAGCAGTCAGTCGCAGCTCCCTGGGGTCAGTCTCCTGCCTATATCTCTCTCTTTAGGTATTTGCTTAAAGCGGCGCTATACCGACGATTGCATGCACGTGCATATGTTGGCGCATAGACAGATACAGATACAAGACAGCCAGTTTGGTGTCAGGTGTACTCACTACTTAAGGCGTTGATATTATAATACAATCTTGAGTCCAAACCGCTGGTAGAATGCTTGAAGTCCGTTGAGGCCCCGTATAAACTCTCATGGAATTGGAATTGCATTCGATATGTCGAATATTCGGATAAATATTTATAAACACCGCGTACTTTCCCTAACAGGTGAAAGGGGACATGGCACGACCCTCCTTCGGTAGCTAATTAATCGTGATTCTATAAAATGGTTAAAATAGCCAACCGCGTCGCGACCCGCACTCGATGAGTATTTCGTTACACCTCTCCAGGTATCTCGCGAATAACGTTTATCACTTATAGCTGTGAATAAAAACAAAGATTAAATACAAAGGGTAAGGATGATTAGGTAGATAATCGGAACTACAAAAACATTTTAAAGAATAAGCTAGAAAAGCATAATTAGAAAAATATTTAAAAACAAATAAGTAAACCCTCAAGAAAAAACTAGTAATGTTTTAAATTTTGTAGGATTAGAAAAATTAAACAAAGTAAGTCTAAATGAATATATTCGTTGACCTTGAATTGAATAATTAAAATATGAAGAAGTAACTAGTTGAAGGTGTGAGGTGTTAGTAAACACAAAAAGTAAATAAACCGACTTGAACTTGCTTGAATTACAAAAATGCAAATTAATCGAATATGTACCTGAAGACAAAGCAGAAAGAAAGAACAGTGGTAACAGAAAATTAAAAATTGTGAAGACAAGGTAAAAGCTTTATAAAGCAATGTTGAAACCTGTTTCCTATTCTTGGGCAAGTATGGCTAATCCTGGACATCTTGTCATTTGACCTTAAGAATGTCATCTCTGGCAACAGCAGGAAAATTTAAGTACAAAGAATAAAATATATAAGAACAGTAAATACTCAGTATACACTCCTGCGATGGATAACTGGAACGTATTTTGAAGCCGCATGGAAACGGAAGGTACAACACACCTTCAACGTCAACAGTAATACTCGTAGCATGGGGGTGCTAGCAGAAACTAAACTAAAATAGAAATTACAGTGAATACAAACTAAAGAATAAATGCAGATAGAGTGAAACGATTGAAAATAAAAAATAACATTGTGTGTGTTATCAGCAGTGCCGAATAGTGTTGGAATGTTGAAATCTTAAAATCAAAACAACAACATGGCGTCTCTTTGTGTTAGCTGTGCTGTACAATTGGCACTCTACTGCCGCAAAGTGAACACGTTTTGAAACATGCGAAAACCAGAGCAAACAGCTTCAATGCTTCATGCGCGTACCTCGAAGGAATTGAAACTGCGGTCACCCATTACTACTCATGTCAGTTTGCACCAGTAAAATTACATCCGAATATTCCTATTGGCCATTTTTTGTTGATTATAATTTTCTGGTTCAACTGATTTTATTTTATGTGGTTTCCTGATAATTTACAGTTTAATATTTATGATGATAAGGTTTATTTAGTTTTAAAATTAATTGCCATACCATAAATATAATACAAACATATAAAATTTATTAAACTGGCTAGTTATTCGAACATGCTTGTAAAACATGTAAACATGCTTTGCTTATACAAGCAAAAAACTGAAGGATAAAAGACTACCGCTACATTCTATGAACTCTGGTCAATACACAAATATAGTATTGCTACAATAGTTCTGAATTTAATGCAAATATGTGTATGGTAGTGACATCTATGTACAAAGAATGTAGTGATATTTAGATAAGGTTTGTGATATATACCGGTATACCGATATCTCAATTGCAATATCGATAAATATCGATGAGTTAAAAACAAATTTCGTAATTGTGAAAACTTTAAAAATCTGCAACACAGTAGTCACTTTAAACTATAAAGAACAACAAACAAGTTCAACTTGGGTAGTTTGGGAAATAATGTTTTCTATTATGCTAAACATTCATCAAATCCAAAAATAGCAAATAAATACTTCGACACTAGCAATTAACTGCAAGATTGACTCATTTACCAATTTAAGAATTAATCTGCAGTTAATCAATTATCTTTTATTGTTTTTATTTAGCATACTTACAAAATTAAAAATATTTTTAATTATTTAATTTAATTATTTTATAAATACCGGTATTATCAGTATATGGATATTTGGCGCCAAAAAATACCGAATAATACTGAATTAACCTCGAAATACTAGTAATGAACTCAAAATTCACATATTTAACTCATACTGACACGGATGAGCCTCACTGACCCATAGAAACATTTTTATACCAAGTGGTTTTTAAATTCTAATTTAAAAATCAATGCTAAACAAAATAATTAGCACAAATACCTATTCACTTTTATGAGCATTAAAAAAAAAACGATTATCATCAAAATACTTTTTAATTTTCTGCTTCATCTACACATTATAATTTATGTACTTTCAGACATTCCACAGTTTAATATACCAAACTCATACCAAATATAGCTAACCCATTACGAAGATAAACGTATTAAGTCGATAAGTCGTAAATCGAAACGCGCGAAATTAAAATTCATCGAAGAACCATAAAGATAATGAAGTCGGGCAAAACACCGCGAGCCGATCATTATTTCCATTTTGCATAATGTGCGTTCAACAAAAGCAAGCCGCGTGTATCTATTACCCACCAGCGATCCGCACGTCTCTATTGCAAAACGTCGCTTATTTGTTCAACATAAACAAAACGGTTACTTCATTGTACCGTTACAGATGGGATAAATTAACGAAGAAGCGAGCGTAGAGACGACCGCGATGAAAATGAAGGATCAATTTCGATCAGAAAGAACAACACAACGACTCGGATGAAAAAAATAAGACGTGCGAGCGCAATCTTCGCGAGATTATCCAGCTCCGAATTCGTACGTGCGAACATAACCTCATTTCTATACCCAGCCACAATTCGATCATCTATTATAAGCGTGTGTGTGCAATTTAAGGCATAACGGTTAATAAATAGTTTGAAAAAAATAGCGAACGAAATAAATTCGAACGCTGAAAACGTGAAAACGAGCCGAACAATGATGATGGCGACAGAATACGCACGTCAATATTTGCTCACTGGTTAGTAGTTACTCACTACTGGTTCGGATTTGGTGGTGTGTTTGGAGAAAGTGCATTTTTCGGCTCGAAACGTGTCGAAAATAGCAAATTGAATTAGAAGCGTTATTTGTTATTTTGTGTTGGAAGCGTGTGATAATTGTTGTTTGCCATCACTGGAATCGCAAGAGTGGAACACACGCTGTAATAAATCGAAGTTAATTACCGGCCGCGTGTGGGTCGTAAACGTTGGAGTTGTAAAAGCTTGTATGAGTACTCTCCATTCATTGTTTGGCTTCAGGCAATTGAATCGCGATGTAAAGACGAAAAAAGTAAACTAAAACGGGCCATTTCAAGTTCACTAAAAATAACTCGCAATTAAACATCGTGTTTAATTCGTTTAATTTGTTAATTTAAAGTTTTACGTATTTGCTAAATAGAAAATTGGGCATTTGAAGATTATGTAGAATGTAAAAGTTTTAAATTATTCAATAAATACTTTAGTTAGCTACATTTGAATACAAATAAGCGCATTAAGAGATATTGTTAACATTAAAAGTTAAATTTAATTGAAATCAATGAGGGTATTTGTATTCGTAACTCGGGACACCTTGAAACAAGTCAACAAACAAGCAACTCTCTGATAAAAACATAAATCTTGCGCTGCGAAAACTGCGATCGGAATTTAATGCAAATAAATGCATCCTAGCGACATCTACACGCAATTCAAAAGGTTATACATTGATAAGCTATAAGAGAATCTCAATAAATATTAGAACTGGGTACAATAATGTTTTTGATGGTTTTGTTTGTAAATTTCGATAAATTTTAGCGGTTAATTTCATTTGTATGAGTAAATAAATTTTACTTACTTCGCCAGCACTTTGAATGAACTTCATCGACGCCTTGTTGCCGTTGTTGCTGTGATTTTCCGGTGCGCTATCGCCTGCAATTCACGAACCAATTATACAATTAACAGTTGCAAAAATAACTGCAAAGACACTACCGTAATTGGCATTGACATAGTAAAACAATGCAAACTCCAACAACACCACACAAAAAAACAACAACACGCTATCAAGATGCAAACACCTTATAATTTTAAACATGCGCAGCAAAAATAAAACTAGATCATACAGATTAGACAGCCATCTCGACGATTAACAGTTGCAAAACAATAACAACTAACAAGTGACAAGATCAAGTCATAAAATTCAACACCTAGCTTGTCACAACCTAAAATTTCCAAGGTTTCTACAACTATTTCGGCAAAAATAAAAAATAAAAATTTTAATGTGTTTTGCTTAACATAGAAATTAAAATAAAACTAGTTCCACTAAATGTTGTGTAAGTGCGCTCTTTTTACTTTACTAGGTTTATTTTCGAAATGTTCTCGTCTGTTGATATTACCCACTAATTTCATGCAAGTGTAACGCGTATTCTCGTATGTGTAACGAGTATTTATTGCCCATCTATTGCATAAACTTGTTAACTGAACAAAACTGTTACGTGCAATGAGCGTAAGTAAAACATTTGCAACGCAGCGCGGAATGAATACTCAGGCACTCATCAGTCACTCACTACTTACCTGAAATAATTTGATTAGCGGAAACGCCATCGTCGCCCGGCTGCAGTCTGACTTCCATCTCGCGCAGTCGCGTACTTAAGTCGCGCGTGTGCAAGAACAGAAACAGCGTCGTCGAGATGGCCACCAGCGCGATCAATTCACTCGTCCTGCAAAAGGAATAAAAAAATATTTATGATAAATATTAGAATGTTATGAATATTACCGAATCATTTTCACCCATCGCAATGATTACGATTATTTAACACTTACAGATTTACTTTCTAATTGGTTTTAGTGATTTCGTTGAAACATGAAGCTTGTTATTATGATTATTGAAATCAATAAGTATATATCACCAAAAAGTAATAAATTTTTTGAGTTAAATTCAATGATATGTTGTGAATAAGTATTGTAATATAAATTTCAACACGGCAATTATTTTTTATTTTATTGTGTATTGAAATCTGTAGAATACTTAATTCACGGCTCATAAATATTTTATAAATTTATCGAAAATATCGAATACAATTAATGTTTACAATGAATACAATCAATTCACTGTCGTTGTATCAAAAAACCATAAAATAAACAAATATTGGAATTTTACGCGTATTAAAATCAGTTTAATCTTTTATAAGCTGATTAAAAACTCAATTATTTTAGTAAAAATGCCGGTAAATATTTCCTGAAGTCTAAATATGAATTCCGCGTCGCTCAGTTGTATTCACTTGTGATATGTTTAAATGATTTTCTAGTAACGCAACGTGCATCCCAACAAATTAGCTGAAAAATCGTGCTTAAGTTATAGAAATTTGCATTGCAATTAGTAAGGATGTTGGGATCATAATTACAACAATATTTCAAATGTTACCATCGATGTCATGTCTTTAAAAAAATATTCTAGCTTATAATTGCTAGAAATGAAAATATTTTTCGTCGTTACACATATTTTTTATATTTTTCCATAGCGGAAATTGAAAGATAAAAATATTAACTAGACATGACAATGGCGGAGCAATAGGCGTTTTAATAAAACCTTAGAACATCCTCGCGGTTGAGGTCCGCGGTTTTGCAAAAACAATGCGCAAACACAAAGAAAAACGCTGCTTATGAAGAGAATGAAAAAAAAAACATTTTACTTTCTAATACGTATTAGCTGCATATTCTTTTTTTCAGTGCATTCATCTCGCGTCTTTCACTTTATTACGATGTCGCCCGTCTTTCCTCAAATCACTAAACATATCATTAGATATCCTCGATCCATTCCCCGCGGATAAAGAAAAGTATTCACGCCGCCAACATTGAAATACTACAATAAGAAGCATCAATCAATTCGTCATTCGTCATACATTCGCAGAATGAAAACGATTCGTTTTCGTCGATTGTAAGTTTAAGGTTAGGCGTGTAAGAAATAAATCTAAACGCTCCGGAGACTTTCTGCAAGGCTAATTATCGACCATTCACTTCCGCACTTTACACTTTATTCAATTGTTTTCCTTTAGATTGGATTTTCCCGCAATTGAAGCGTGCTGAAAACGTTTTGACATTTGCGGCGCTGCAACCGTCCAGCGCCGAATAATATTCGTCGGCGTAATAAAAGCATTATGAGCGCAGAAAATATTAAATTGAAGAAAGTTGCGCCTGGCACTTTCTTCTGCTCTAATGTCGGCTTCTTTCTCATCTTTTACCGAGTGGAGCTCGCGAAGCGGCTTCATTATCTGCACTCGTTTCAGTAACTGCAAAGCAATATAAATGCGAGTTTGATTATATTATTCCACGGCAAATACCTCGCCTTCATCGTATGACGCATGTGAAAACACATTTGACCGTTACCCAAGTAGCTGCTATCCTATAAGTAACTTTATTTAAAATTTGTATGTTTGTAATGCTGCTACACAAAAACCAATGAAACAATTTTAATAAATTTTTGTTTGGAGATATTTTGGACCTAGGCGAATAACATAGGCTACTGTATGTTGCAAAAATATAACTTACAGAGTGTTTAAAATTGTTTGCAAGTTTGTGCGACAAAAAAAATGCGATATATTTGAATGTATCAATGTCATTCAAATTTTGCACTAGTATAAATATTACAATTTTTAAATACAAGTGATCCCAGTCCAAGAATAAGCAATTATCAACCCAAGTAAAATTAATGAGAAATTTTAATGTAAATCATGAGTTCTAGAAATGATTGACTAACAAAGTCAACATTTCAGCGCACATTGCAAAAAAATTGCGTCAATGCACCGCGCTGCTGTAAGTACTTACTTACGATCGAGAAGATATTATCTTGATGCGAAGAAAATTGACGATTTTTCGCGTGGCGAGGCAGTTTAATGCGATTGCGCAGATGTTTCAGCGCTCCAGTGCACTCGACTCACAAGGATACGCCGCTCCAAAGAATAAAATTACATTGTCATGCCGGTTGAGGCGCGTAGGTAATAATCCACGACTCACTGCGCTTGTCATTCAAGACAGCAAGCACTTAGCATATAAACAGACGAACAATTGTCTTCTGCTCGACTTAACAGATGAATACAGCTCGGACGCTAATTGAATATGAGAAACGGTCACTTTCTTTTCCCAGTCCGTCATAATTGAACGCCTTTTATTTACAATCCGCACATAATGAATAGCTGCGTCCGAAAATTAAAAGATTTTTTACAATCTGCTAAACGTTGATGTACCGACACTCGAGTTAAGTGAAAGTAAAACCGAGTTAATCTCAAATTATAAATTATTTACTCAACGCTGTGTGTGTGTTTAGTTACGCAGAAATTTACACATTGCACGCCGGTGATTGTCCAAAGCGGAGGAAGATTCAGACATGTATGACTATTAGGTTATAGTAAAAGTGAAATGCGATAAATGTGCGGGTATGTAATGCGCAATGGGTTCTTAAATGATGAAAGTAGCGCTAACCCTTCACGTGGAGAAGAACATCTTCAACGCGTTCACTTTTCTCGCATCGCAAATCAAACGAGAGCGAAAAACAGGCGACAGTGACGACACTTTACGAGTCACGCTCAAACTAAGTGACGGCTAGATTGATTTATGCAACCAACTATACATCAAACTCACTATTTATGTCTACAATAAAACTAAACACATTAAAACCTCATTTTAACGATAAATAAATAAAAACTGTGTAACGACGAAAAATATTTTTATTTCTAGCAATTATGAGCTAGAATATTTTTTTAAAGACATGACATTGATGGTAACATTTGAAGTTTTGTTGTAATTATGATCCCAACATCCCTACAAATTGCAATGCAAATTTCTATAACTTAAGCACGATTTTTCAGCTAATTTGTTGGGGTGCACGTTGCGTTACTAGAAAATCATTTAAACATAACACAAGTGAATACAACTGAGCAACGCGGAATTCATATTTAGACTTCTGGAAATATTTACCGGCATTTTAACAAGAGTAATTGAGTTTATAACCAGATTAAAAATGATTAAACAGATGCAAAATCCCAAAATTTTATTATTTTTTGTTCCTCGTTGTAACGACGTATAAAATATTACTCATAAAATAAAATTGATTAATAAAACCAAATATGAATTTCTTTGACTGGCAAAACAATCAAGTAATATATTCATTTTTAAAATGCATATGAATGGCATGCTTTTAGCAACAATCATTACGTGTGCATCTATATACGGGTTGGAAAGTCTTTATCGTTGCATTTCAATAATGCACCGACAAGTAAATTGTGGTAAAGGTACCGCCATCTTAATAAATTCTTGTCACAAGTCACAATCAGTGCATTTTTATCAACTTCCCGTTCATTTCTCTTCGCTGTGTCTTCTAGTGGCACGCGCGCAACCAACAGAAAGCCAATCGAACGCAATTCAATTACCTAACGAAGCTGAAACGCCGCACGAGCACATCAAACACCATGATCGTCACGAGGCACACATTCACTTATTCACAAAAGTGGAAAAACAAACTGTTGATAGCCACGACCGACTCAAATTACGATCGAAAACTCAAGAAAAAAAAATCATTTTATTTGCATTTTCACAACTCACCACAGACGACGCGCAAATATTCGGCAAGTAATTAATTCTGAAAGGTAAATATAAATAAAACAATGAGCATGATTGCAGGTAACAAGCGTTAAATTGATAACTCGCTCATTGGACGTTTGTATGCATATTAACCATACTGTTGTTGATAATAGTAATATTAGTGATTTACTTCAGATTTAATTGAATTCTTATCGGTAACAAAAATTAAATTATTGCGCTTTTTATCGAATGTAAATTTTACATTGTGTTATAGTGTAGTAATTGGATTTTTCGGTGCATTATTTACACCAACGAAAACAAAAGGTTTGTTTATGAAATTAATTTGGAAAAAGATGCGGAAATCTGAAATCTCTCGCCAGATTCACACGTCGTGTGACACAACAACAAAGATTATAAACAACTTAACCATGTTTTGTTTGCACTTATGTCATCCACGCATGCGCAGTGGACGTAGGTACATTAGGAATGTACTTATATGAACTTGCGTAAATTGCGTATGGTAAGAAAAGAATAGTGAGAACATTTTAATTTGTTTTTGGAGTAAATGCTAAATGAAATTTGCCAAACGGACCAATTTTAGAGTTTTACGAGCGTGGGTTGTGGCCATTGACATCTCGCATCGGCATCAGCAACAGAGCAATCGCTGTCATTAAAAAACACTTTCTGCTACTGAGATTTATTTCGGTTGTTAGAGCTAAGTTAAAATAAAGCATCTACAAACGGGACAGCAATTTACAGCAGTAATTATGTTCACTTTCTATTCATTTCGTGTAGGATATTTTGGTAATTTATATGGCTTATTATTTCACGCACAAATGTCTGAGGTCAAACGAAACAATAATAATTTTTAAAAGTTTTACAAGATAATTTCTTTTGAAGCAAAAATGACGCTCAAAAATGATTATTTCGGCTCGGATTTTTGAAAAATTGCCAAGTATCGAGATTTTAAGAGGATAGGCAACTTTTTAATCATTTGTAAGCTGATTATTCAATAACTTTAGTAAAAATGCCGGAAAATATTTCTTGAAGTCTAAATATGAATTCCGCGTCGCTCAGTTGTATTCACTTGTGTTATGTTTAAATGATTTTCTAGTAACGCAACATGCACCCCAACAAATTAGCTGAAAAATCGTGCTTAAGTTATAGAAATTTGCATTGCAATTTGTAGGGATGTTGGGATTATAATAACAACAATATTTCAAATGTTACCATCGATGTCATGTCTTTAAAAAAATTTTCTATATCAGAAATGCTAAAAATGAAATATTTTTCGTCGTTACACAAAAGAATTGTAACACTATATCGAGCAAATTGAGATGTAGCTTTAAAGGTAAACCCATCAAGTAAAACAAATACGCCATTATCCTGAGTTTGTCGGTAAATCAAGTAAAACATGAAGTGAATTAAGAAACAAACTGTAATATTCTGTGAATACAACACAAAAACAAAAAATGATAAAAAGCCGAAATCCTAATTTATTCTAAACTCTGTAATTCTTTTGTACTTCATTTGTTCGACACGTAACCATGAATTCGGTAACAATCCTCTTTGTTACAGAAAGAATCCATCCGGCTAAATTAAAATTACGTGCGCGTTTCGTGCTTTATTCACCGCGAGTTCACATGCGCTTCGATCTGCATTAATACGATCGCACACGCTGACCCAAATCTCCTCATCGGCGAGCGTAGCGGAAGATGAACAAGAACAAGAAACCAGAATCGCGTCCACAAGTAGGTAAATGGAAGGCCGCGCGCGCCGGCCGGTCGCCCGAATGGAAGTCAACTCAACTCTACCAGTTAACCACTTAAGTCAAGACCGGAAATCAACTAGAAAAATTCTCCAATCATAAAAACTCTCTCACCTTCTCGGAATCACAATTCGTCGTTTGTAGCTATCCATACCGGCGTGCTGATCTTGAACTTGACAATGTCTTGAACTTATTTATTATTGTTATTTCTCTGTTGAACGAATGTCGTAATCGGATGCAAATCGAATGCAAATCGACGATTAATTTCACCTTGACTGCGACATCTATTTACAATTGTAAATCAATCTGAATGTAAACACGTGCGCGCGTTGAAACTCGTATTGATAACGTTGTTATTTGGTTTTATTATTATTAATATTGTGATGCTGTAATTCCAGCGAGCGATCGCGGATTAACGGTACCGGTAAGTCTCATTATACACACACTAGTTAGTGGCTCGACGCTCGAAAGTGGAATAGTCGCGTCGCGCCGCCATCAAACCTCAAAGAAGACTTAAGTTATTTATGAGTGTGAGTGTGAGTGATGATTTGATTTCTTCGGCAGCGCACACGGCACGTCAACGACTCGCGAAGAACTGAGCCACAACATGCGAGAATAAGTAAAGCATTCGCGGTGATGCCCTGCCGCTTCCCACTTTCGTGCATAATAATAATTTCGCCTACTCCAATCTCATCGGCGGACAACTGTGGGGACAAAAAGTGGTACGAGAAAATGTGCAAACACTCAGATTATGCACGCTTCACAAAACCGCCGAGTATAATTGATAGCACGAAATTGTCCGTGGCGTTCAGACTCACCTCACCCACTCGTGCCGGATGTCGATGGAAAGACGGGCGTGAAAGTACGATAAGAAATATGTACTGGTTCTCAATGTGTCAAAGATTTGTAATTTATGAGAATATTGGTTATGTTGTATTTTGGGTTGCCTATATGGAGATATTGAGATTTTACAGGGATTGACATCTGTTTAATCTTTTGTTAGCTGGTTTTAAACTCAATTATTCTTGTAAAAATGCCGGTTAATATTTCCTGAAGTCTAAATATGAATTCCACGTCGTTCAGTTGTATTCACTTGTGTTATGTTTAAATGATTTTCTTGTAACTGCTTGTGTACGCCAACAAATTAGCTGAAAAATCATGTTTAGGTTATAGTAATATGCATTTCAATATTTCAAATCTTACCATCAATGTCATGTCTTTGGAAAAAATATTCTAGCTCATAATCACTAGAAATGAAAATATTTTTCGTTGTCACACATGACGAGTATATTAAAACACTAAATGTCTGTCAACCTGGATGTTTTATGACAGTATTTGTTATGGTGTATATCAAGTTGCCTACCATACTAAAATAAAACCTAACATAACTGATTTTATTTCTGTTCATTAAATTTAATTCTGTAATTACCAGTGACTGCTCTCAATAAATCATCATCGGATTTACCGCTTCTACGAGTATGATAGATAGTCCTTGAATTGACTTCTCGTTGGCGTTTTTGGTCGCTGACCTCTCGCCAATATCGAATCTTTGCTGCTCCAAATCAAATCGCATTTTCTTCCAACAACTGGACCGTAATGCGCCCCAGTTTGCCATTCACCACTTACCTTCCAATAGATAGTAATAATAACATCAACCTCGTAGAAGAGTCGCAAGTCACTCAGCTACATACTTAAACTTCACTTAATGAGCATTTTATGAGAACGAGTAGCAATTGCAATGCAATATAGAAGTATCACAACAAAAGATTTCATGCTGTGCCATCTGCTCAATATACTGTCAATCAAAATATAAATAAAATAAAGCTGTGTAATGTTTGCTTGGTTTTCGTTACTTTATTCAATATGCAATATGTTTATTATTCGAAAGTGCACGTAAATAATGTAAATATAGGTTTAATATTGCAAGATAATCGCATGAAATACGTTTGCGTAAAAAATTTCGACTCGAATTTATTTACAAACGCCGCGCATATGTTTAATATAAATATGTGGAAAAAATTAAGTTGAAATTAACGGTTGTTGCGCTCCTCCTGGGATGCGACACACATAACGTGTTAGTAAATCAAAGCTTCTGGTCAGCGGCACAAAACTTGGTTCCGAAACTTGGCTTGGTTTGAAATTTGAAACTGAAACAAGTTTAACTAATCATATACATATTGGGATTTATTAATTTATTCCGTTTTGGATGACACCGCTATGTTTGGCTACATCTAAACTGTTTTTATTTAGCACAATGTGAAAATATCATGTAAATTCAAACATAAAAGCAAAAATTTCTTCAAATAATGTAAAAATTACGACTTTTCTAATAATAATCAAAATTTATATGATCTATGCTGTTAAAATCTTCGTAATTAATGTTTTTAAGTAAGTTTTAATGCACAATCAATGTAATTATTCCTTTCGTGCGTTAAAACAAATTGAACTTTCTGTTTTGACATCTATACGATCACTTCTTTCACATTAATCATTAAGGTTGAGTCCTGCAACTCTCCTGCAAGGGCAATCATCCATTTAATGCTTTCAAATCAAACTCGAAAAATACATTCGCAATCAAAACATTGCAGTTCGATTAACGGTTATTCACCGCATGATTTTAACGCGTTACCACAGCATAAAACATCGACATTCAATGAATGAAATAAATTATATTAATAAACTTGCTTTATGTTTTCATCACATGTATTTACAACAAATTTATTGTAATTTATTGCCAGTTCAACGCACTAAAAATAGCATTTCGTCTGGATAATATATACACATACAAAAATAATATTTATTTTTGTAATCAGTCATATTGAGTAAATTAATTAATTCTGCATGCAGTCATTAACCAATAATCACTAAATTTACAACTGATATCGGTTTAATATTTATTTTATGCTTAATAAAAACATTTATCATAAAAAATAAATAAAAATGTTTGATGTGTAACGTAGGCAACCAACGGTACATCCAAGCAATCCAAAAATAAATAACATTAAAATTCGTAGAAAATCAACGGATTAACAATGAATTCTTCGCTTACCTGAGTAAACGACCACCTAAATTTCATGTTTAATGGCCCATTTATTAAACCGTGCTGCACAAAAACCCATAGATTAACATTTCACGTACCTGTCTTCACTGCAAACACGTAAAATTTAACAACGCTGTAAACCATCTGCTTATGCTTAAACTCATGTCGCCAGTAATGCGCTTTATGACTAATAGTAAACTTTAATGTAATTGTTTGCTTTTGTTTAATCCACCGCTTTGTCAAAGTAGGCTCTGCTCCGATTTTCAAAATGACTCAGCACTCACAAAAACTGCATTATTACTTAAATAAAATCCTAATGTCCACGTTAATTAGGTGATAAATTTCGTGGAAAATGTACCGGTTTAGTTTCGATTGCTTTAGTTAAATATTTGAAATTTTCAAGGTATGCACCTCTAATAAGATGCGTGTGATTCTCCGCAAAGAGGAAATGAAAGCCGCAGACCGCACATTGTAACGGAATAAGATTTGATGTAGTAAAGTTGAATGTGAAATATGTGAAATCGATTCGAGTAGGTCAAGTAGGGCGAATCAATATTAACTGATATTAACACTCATGACCTTACATTACCGTTTAGCGCACGAAAAAAACTCGCGAAAAGCCATTTAACGCCATTAAAACATTAAAAACTTGAGACTTTCAAGTTGGAAAATTTAGCACAGCATGAAATACAATATCTAATTATAAAAACACTTGTTCGCAATAACTTGTTTCCCGATTCGACGCAAAATTTAAAACGGTGTCACCTTATAAGGTGTTTTTTAATTTTATGTAACAAATGCAAAAAATTCTTATCGAAATGTATCACTATTCTGCGCAGAAGCGCTTATCGTTCAACGTAGTAGAGAAACGGAACAAAAATTATCACAAAAACTCACCTAAAATATAAAAAAACGTATTAAAAACTATTTTGAGCTCATTTAACACATTTTAAAAAGACAAAAAATTTAAAATATTATAAAATCTATGAAATTCGCTCATTTCCTGAACGAAATATCAAAAAATTTCAAATATATTGTGTTTAAATGCATTGTACAAACATTACGTATCAAAATCATGTAAAGATTCCTGATTTTTCACTGCCTACATGAAATATCCTAAGCGCACAATTCATTCAGTCGTGTGCGTGCCTCCTGAACAACTTTTGTAAGCCTTTCACGCGTTGCAGAAGTCTGCGGTTCCTTCAACTTAGCATTTGCAAGATCCAATTCACATGCAAACTTCGTAGCGTTGGTAAACACCCTGATATGACGATCCTTACAAATACAAAACAAAAATTTCCCTTGCGGATCAAAAAGTAATTGCGTAACAGTCGCACCAAGATTGATACTGCGATGAAGTTCAGCTGGTTCATTCGGACGGTAGATTTTATAAAAAGAAATCATTTCCATTGATGAAATGACAAGTGTATCACCTTGCGGAGAAAGAGCAATTCTTGGTTGTTTTCCATTATTAACAACAACATTTCCGGATGCTTGTAGGATGGGATTCCTAGCGTGAATCTCCGGTGGAATATCATAAAGTTTCCATGCGCCTGATGGTGATATGGTGGCTAATTTGGTCCCTGTTTGATTAAAACTCAAATAACAAACATCTTTCAAATCAAAAGCTTTCTTCAACGTTGAAATATCCTTCCGAGAAACCGTCCAAACACTTGCATCCGATCCGCAAGCAGCAATAAACTGCCCGCATGGAGAAATCATCGCAAACGCCATCTGATTCAATCCAGTGTCAATCTTTGTGATTTCATTGGGTCCTTTCAAATCCCACAGGGTTAATTCATTACAACCAGTCGCAGTGAGGATGAATTTCCCATCCGGAGCAATACTAATCGCAATGATTTCATTCTCACCGCTTTTTGCGAATGTTTTCGTCGGTGTTGTACTGAATCCACCGCCATCTTTTTTCTCGACACGATGCACTTGGCAGGAATTGTCCATGCTGCGATGAATAACAAACGCGCGTGAATCCGGCGACCAACGAATCAAATCACCGGAATCACCGTCGAGGTTAACACGAAAGGATTTACAGGATGTGTGCTGCTTCTCGGCGACTTCGCGCACATCCCACAGCAGCACAGTACGATCTACAAATAAACAGTGAGCCATTTTGTGTTTGAGTGTATAAAAATTATTGTCTTTTTCGTAAGGCCCAACTTGTTGCGCAAACAAATCACAATATAAATAAGTTAAAAATTAAATTAAAAAAATTGTCAATTGTCAAAATCATCACATAGTCAATCAATCACTAAGCAGAATTACAAAGTTTTAAACGCGATCAGTTGCGGTCCATGATGCACATTCACTTGCATCTGTTGAAGATCTTTACGCACACGCCACAAAATCAGTTCCATCGCAACAAAAGCATCCTCATGACTATCATGTCCTGATGATAATGTCTGTATATCCCATCCGAGGATACTGGCAGCTAAACTCTTCAAACTCCTGCGACAATGCACACCAAATTTATGCGGGAACACAATCGCCGTATCAATACAACACTCATGGATGAGTTTGAGTGCTCTGAGATCATTTTCCAGCCCGTGGCCGACGAGAATCGTCGCCGAGGTGATAAACCGCGCCATGTCCGCGTGCACATCACTCAACGACTTCGCACATGAAGTCGGCCCGTAGATATCATCACTTGTAATGCCCGAGAAGCGAGTATTAAAGTCAACGATTCGATTCTCCGGACGCACGTAGCTATCGTACAGCACACTACCGTCAGCGGCGATAAACGTCACCTTGGATAGTTCAAGACCCTCGACGGTGAAGCACATTTCACAATCGAGCGCAACCACAGACTGATGACCTGGCTGCAGTGGATACGGCGGTGGCATGCGGATATAATCTCCGTACGGGCCGTTACATCCAGAAGTAACACCCTGCCAGACGTGGGAAGTTGCTGCGGTGCATCCAGCAGACTGCATTGATCCACAGCATGTGTATCCATGCGATTGCAACTTGCCCCAGTGATAAACACACTTTTCCTGTGTTAGATACTCGTTGTTGGTGATGAAAAACCCGCGGAAACACCGCGTGCATTTTCTTTCGGTGGTCATTCCTTGGATGAAGTTAGGAATGGTTGGGATGCTGGTGAATCCATCGTCGGAATCACTTCCACTGCCGCTACCGCTACTGGCGCTTGATCCACCGGATGAATTCAGTTGGGCTTTGACGTTGTAGGTGACTAAATTCCTCTGGCGGCGAGCATGGCGGTAGATGATTACTTGTCCAGGATGCAGGCCGCTTTCTATCGGGTAGCCGAATGTGCAGAGTTGTGATGGGGTCAGCACATAGGGTCGTAGAAGTGTCTCCAGGGGCGGTGGCTTGCGATGACGATGGACAACTAAAGAAAAGTGGTGAAGATAACTCTCTTTCTTCAAATTTCACACTCTCAACACTATCACCAAGCATATAATCGTCTGTTTTTCTATCCCTATCACCTGTGAGTGTGTATTTGTTGCTTTTTTGTAACAAGTGGGCCTTACTTTTATAAAATCATTCAAAAGAACAATCCAGAATAAATTTCTCAACGTGTTTTTTGTATAATTAAATAATAACATGTAATTTATGTATTTATTGAGTTTTAGCAACTTTCTAATACTAATTTGCTCAAAAAATTAGCAAGTTTAAATCGAATTTTATGCTGAATTGTAATTTTGGAAGAATGACAGTTGTTTTGCGCTTGCGCAATAGAAAAAAATAAGAATAATCTTACCGCCTGCGCATGTTGCAAGGTATTTCCCATTGGTTGAATAATCCATGCTGTTGATGATGCCTGTATGACCTTTCAAGGTGGTGAATAACCAAGGATCTTTCACCTCTTTCTCCTTATCCTTTTCCGGCTGTTTCTTCGTCTTCGGCTGGTTCGATTTGGGCTTTTCTTTGGGTTTTTCTCCGTGCGCATCTGCGAAAACATGTGTACGGTAAGTTGAAAGTGAGGTTACAGTTACGTTCGCTCAAGCACGCGTGCGAACGGCGAATGAATCACTTCATCGACAGTCGTATGCTAAAATACAAGCGGTAATAGATGACTCATTACGTTTTTTCGCTGAATTTCCGTTGGAATTGCCAGCGCGTTGTTTGACTTCTCGATCACCACCACCGCCGCGCGATGCATCATTTTTCGTGTAAATTTTCACCACGGCAATAATGAAACACAGAACGCACGCAAACACCGCGATTAAAACATCCGGACGGCCCGAATCCATTTTGAAGTATTAATAATAATAAAAACGTATTTATTATTTATTAGTGGTGGCTTTTTGGTTGCCTACCAGCGCGTTGTTACATTTGATGCGTACTTGACGGATGCTCACCGACGACTGCAGACGAACGGCGTTGCGCACGCGACAATACCGAAACACCGCGTTGTTTGAATGCGCGAATAAATTATTCGGCGCGCAAAACTTTCGAACAACTTTCATCCGAGCGCGTGTTACGTCGATTGTGTCAGATCGAGAAAGTGATCGAAATGTTACTCCTCCAGAGGCTGATCATGTGGACGCTGGTGGTCACCGTGATCAACCTAGGACTCATACCAAGTAAATAAAAATAAAAAAAAAATCAAAACGAAAGTGAAGGTGAATGTTTTGATTTTATTTGCCGTAGGTTATATTATCGAACTCACGGCGGACCACTGCCTCGACGCCGACTTATCAATGCTGGCATTGAAGAAAAACATCGATTATTACCAAGAAGCGATTGTGCCAACACGTCTGAATGTGTCACGGTTGCGCAACGCAAATAAATAAACAAATAATGGTGTTTTGCGCCGTTATCAGCGCTTTTCGTAGGTGTAAACATTGATGAAATTATTGTCAAACTTACCACACGAGTGTATATCTATCCGAAAACGTTTTTGCGCACTCTGCAAACTTGTTACACCGACTGACATTGTCCACGAGACGCGCCGGCGTTTTTATTGCCCGATTTGCTAACGGGGGTTGCATTTTAAAGCATTAGCCGCACGGGCGTATTCGAGGAACTTTAGACAAAGGGGCTGCGATGCGCTTAATGATGCGCTTTGGAGAGGTAACTGACTGGCGGCCATTGTGCGTGCGCTTGCCTGGACGACGACGTCGGGCACGTTTGCACAGATAACAGCCGATTAAAACTTAAAAACGACGCATTAATCTTTTTACGATATTCATGAGTAAACAATTTTTCTACGTGCTCGCCTACATTCGTAAATAAACAATCGGGTGTATTTATAAACATGCATTATTCACGTTTCTGTTTGTTTACGCGATTGCGCGTGCGCGGTGGGCAAATTGTTGCCGAAATAGGTGCAATAAAGACATTATCTGCTATTTAAGGACATGTAGACAAGTTAACAACATTTATTTTTACTGTAATATACTCGACAACTGCTTATTTTATTTATAAACTTCTTATTTGACCTGTTTTCATTTATTTATGGTTAGGTTAGGTTAAGTTGATGTAAATCAATATTTTATATTGTAAAATATCAAGAATGTTATGTTTACATTTAAATAAACTATGACATTTGTCACATTTTGTAATATTTGTTAATCATTTTCATTTTTCATTTCATTCGCATTCAAAATTCGTTTGTAAATTTTTTGTTATCGAATAAGAACAATGCCGAAAAGAGGTGGAGGAGGAGGTGGCGGTGCAATGCGCGGTGGTAGAGCTTCACCGCCTCCAAGACCGCCGCCGGTGAGATCTCCAAGACCGGCATCCCCGCCCCCGCCGCCCAGACGACAATACAGGTTTGAAAACAACAACAAACCATATATTTCCGAATGATGCAAAAACCGTTGTTTACGCGCAACATTATTTAAATGCGCATTTATAGATCGAGTGAGATCCAGACTTATTTTTCATGACGCATTCGAAAATATAAATTCAGTTGGAATTAATTCAACTAACGCTTGTAATATATGCAACCCAATATACAGCTCTGCGTGTTATATATGCGTTTCTAAATGGTATACGCAGATGTAGTTTAGAAAAATACGCGAATTAGTTAAAAATAATTTTTTGGCTCGTGACAATGAGTCAACAATGCGTATTTGGAACTCTCGCTAGAGAAACTTCTAGATGTTTGCGAATTGATTTAAACGTAGTTGGTACACGTCGTGGATCGATTGTCAAAACCTAGACATTTTTCTCGCCTCGTGCCGTGCGCGAGCATTCAGTTTGTCAAATCCACTCGTGCTGTAGCGATCGCGCTGACCGTCAGCGAATTTACGTAACGCTTTTTTGTTGTGCGACGTGTACCTGTGAAGCGTACACTGTGATCGAACTGATTCTTGTCCGTTTCTGTGAATTATTTAATCGACATCATGCCTCGACGCGGACGATCTCCGTCGCCAACGCCACGTGCGGCCCCAATGGCTCGCCAGCAATCTACATATGTACCGGCAAGGCAACCGGCTCCGGCACCAGCACCAACTCCTAGGTATTTTTTAAATAACAAAAATTAGGCTTAAAGACGTGAAAATTTAATTAGCGGATATCTAGAAGTTAATATATTGTGCAATTTATTGCAAGGTACAAAGTCTCTTGATGTATAACGGGTTGCCTAACGGAAGAGAAAATTCTAGAATTTTTAAAATTTAGAACGCAATATTTGAGTTCATTTGCATAAAAATCATAAAAACGCAAATTATATTAATAAATTAAGTATATATTTATGTATTTTTATTAAAAATTACATTATTTACAGTTCTGTGCCGGCTCATCCTCCAGCAGCAGCAGCAGCCCAGCCAAAACAACCTGGCCTTTTCGCACAGATGGCAGCCACCGCTGGTGGCGTTGCAGTCGGTTCAGCTGTTGGACACGCCGTTGGAAGTAAGCTTCAAAACAACATTCATCAATCACATGAATTAATTTTTAACTTTTTTTAGGTATGATGACTGGAAGTGGTGGAAGTGCGCAGGCAGCCGCCCCACCAGTCCAAGAGCAATACTCGAACTATCGCAACACCGAACCGAGCGGTCCATGCGCGTATGAAATCAAGAAGTTCCTCGACTGCGCCGCCTCCCAGAGCGATCTCAATCTTTGCCAAGGCTTCAACGAGGCCATCACCGAGTGCAAGATGCGCAACAGTAACTAACTTTTATTCCAACTAGCAAACAATTAACTTTAGCGACATGAAAATGAATGTGAATTACTTCTAGGAACGTTTAGTACCTATTATTTAATAATGCAAAGTGCGACAAATCATGCGAAACAATTTGTTTTAGATATACCTTAAGATTGTTGCATGCTGATTGAACAGTTTGCTTGTACAAGCAAACAAAATGAAGACGCGCACGAAAAAAACAAGAAAACTGAAACTTTACAAGCATTATTCTGATTTATCAAATGTATAAATATTTTGTAAACTAGATAAATCTTATTTGTTGCACCAAAACCATTGAATTCTGTTTGTTTTACTTGTAATTCAGTAGTAAGCGGTTGTAACTCTAGTTGTAACTCTCAATATGTAACTGTACAAAAAACATAAAAATTCATAACGATTTGATTGGCCTAGAAAGTTTTGCTCGAAACGATGCAAAAGTTGAATATCAACCTACCTGCCTAATTACAGTTTGTCTGTGGATTGATTTCAAGGTTTCGGCGGTTTCGTCGCTGCTGATCATTAAGTAATAAAAACATGCGCACTGCGAATGCACATATATTATTCAATTGGGAGTGGATTTTTTTATAATTTGATTACGAACGCGATCGAATGATGTTTAGTAACATGTTGCGAGTCATTCCGTCGGGTCAAAGTATTCCAGATTAAACGATAACGAGAATTGGTTGATGTTTATAAGCCGCTGCTCGGCGTGCTACGGTTTAATTCGTGAGTGGGTTTTGTTGACCGAAATTAACTGCGCCGCGTTGAGTGGATAATGGAGTCGCTTTTCAAGAGCGATGCGGAGGTAAAGTCGAGTTTGGCGTTTCTGAAATTCCCCGCGCTGCGGGATCATCCGCGGCACACCGGCGACATTTGGTTGAAAGGTAAACGCATCGACGATGAGCTTGGTAATTTATGGCGGATTCACGACGGGTTGTACGACTTCAGCGAATTTGCATCGATACATCCAGGTGGGCAAGACTGGATTGACCTGACAAGAGTAAGAGTTTATATAATTTCACATTTTTAATATACTTAAACTAATTTTTTATATTTTTCTGTTCAGGGAACTGATATTACTGAAGCATTCGAAGCGCATCACATCCGTGCATATCCTGAAACACTCCTGAAGATATACTTTGTTGAACAAGCAACAACTCCACGCAATTCTCCGTTTACTTTCCATGAGGACGGTTTTTATAAAACATTGAAGCGTCGTGTGAGGAAAGTATTGAAAGATGTCCCTCAAGAAGCCTCGAAAATCAGTGATAAGTACGCGGATGGTACACTGGCTGCATATGTTGTTTTCGCCATGATGGCGGCGCAAACAGACAGTTATATCATCGCCGCCATTGCTGGACTCTTCTTAAGTATGACTACGATCATCGCACACAATTATTTCCACCGCAAAGACAACTTCCGCATGTATTACTTCGATTTAAGCTTGATGTCGTCCAGGTATTATTCATTTTTATACATTAAATGTGTAAATTATTAAATTTTAATGTTTTGTTAGATCGTGGCGTATTACGCATGCGCTCAGTCATCACATCTACACGAATACTGTGTATGATTACGAAATATCATTCGTTGAGCCGTTCTTTCAATACCTACCGATGGAGAAACCACTTTTGGTACGCTACGGATCATGGTTTTATGGTCCTGTTGTTTTTGCGCTGACGTTTATTGCATCGTATATTCGCATGTGAGTGCAATTTTCTTTACAATACCAGTTTTATTGAACGTATAATGACGCTTTTGTTTTCTTGTTACAGGCTGCTGCAGGTACACGAAGATGGCTTGCATACATTTCGTAAAGAAGCGTTGTTACCATTTATAATCCCCATTCTAATGTACTTAACATCGAATAGAACGGTAATTGAGGTCGCCATCTTGTTCGGGATTATCGCAATTGCCGGCGGGACGCATTTCAGCACCGTTGGAATTAATGCAGCTCATCACCATCCGAAGATATTCCACGACGGGGATAAACCCAGGTAATATTAACAACTTTAAAGTATTATAATCGCATCTTATTGGGTCTTGCTTTGTTTTCTTAGAAGTGAAACATTGGATTGGGGATTACATGAACTAGATACAGTTGCTGAGCGCTCAGATATCAACTGGTCGCATTATTTGGTGATTACGAATTTCGGAGAACATTCACTACATCATTTGTTCCCGACTTTGGACCACGGAATGTTGAAGTATTTGCATCCGTTGGTAATGGAGGTGTGTAAGGAGTTTGATGCTGAGATTCGTGAGCGTACACAATTGAAACTCATGGCTGGGCAGTATTTACAATTGGCTCGAGTAAAACCATCTGAGAGTTATGCGGATCGAAGTTCAAGTAAATCTAAGCGCAACCAGAAAGGTTAAAAAATTGATTATTTTTATCAGTTTAAACTCTTCAACGAATAATTTCATATTTTTCTCGGGTTGTAGACTTAGTTATCTTGTTTTTATTATAAAGTTAATGTTTAAACTTTGTTATTGTTGGTATAGTATCATACAAATTTATTACTTAGTAATATATATGTGAAAAGATTGTTTGGATGAATATTGTATAGATATATATGATCCAGTTTGGTGCATCATCCAAATCAGACATAAAATGACTGTTAAAGATGATTATTTCGGCCCTGGTTGATTACAAAACTTAATTCTAGGCGAAGAAAGTCAGAAAAATTAGGATTTTATCGAAATGGATGACATTTGTGTATTTTGTTGCTAATTACGTTGTATTTAATATGCGCAAATTGCATTTTTCTATGACAAATGATTGATTGAGTAAGGTTATGTATGAATGATTGCACAATCATTTTATAAAAACTTGCAACAGTGAGTAATGTGTTATGATTTTTGATGAATTCGATTAATATTCACACATTTCCACGAAATATTCCGTCCATTTTTTGTCACCTCAACCCTATCCGACATAAAATGACCGTCAATAATGATTATTACTCAAATTACATAAAATAAATATAGTAAACATCATGTAGATCATGTAGATGTAGTGTTAATACTGTCAAAATTAGATTACATTTATGTATTTTATTCCTAATTACGTCGTATTAATACCCGAATATAACAATTTCCTATGATAAATGTTTTATTGATGAAATGATTGAAGAAAATGATTTTATTTCTGCAAAAATTGCTGATGACAACATTTGAATCGCCCCTTGCGCCAACCTAAATAAGCAGCAGAAGCAGCAATCATATGATGTGTACGCCAGCGCGCAACAATCACAATAAAATAGATAAATGATAACCAGACGTGCAGACGAACGCAGTGCAAACAACTGGTCGTTGTATTCATACAAATAATTCCGTTGTCAATCGCCACAATCCACCGAGGTTCCCACATTCAACCAAAAGAATGGTAAATATCATCAAAACGCAGTAAACTAACCTCGAATTGCATGCACGTTTCACTATTTCCTAGCGTTATTCGTTTGTTTGCGTCTTTCTAGTCTTACCAGGATGATGACGACGGTGGCCCCTTCGATGGCCAGCCAAGTTCTTTTCCCAAAGAGTTTGGGTACGGCCCATTTGATGGAGATGCAGATGCACCTCTCACACCCACAGGGGAGCAGAAACCAAGGATACTTCTCATGGGTCTCAGAAGGTAACAGAATAAATCATTCATTTCTTTATTAAAATAATAAAAATAAACAAAATATATTCTAGATCTGGGAAGTCATCAATTCAAAAAGTTGTCTTTCACAAAATGTCTCCCAATGAGACACTTTTCCTAGAAAGCACCAACAAGATAGTCAAAGATGACATCAACAACTCATCATTTGTACAGTTTCAAATCTGGGACTTCCCTGGCCAGATTGATTTCTTCGATGATACATTCGATAAAGAGTTGATTTGTGGAGGATGTGCAGCTTTGGTCTTTGTGATTGACGCGCAGGATGATTATAGAGAAGCGCTGAACAAATTGAATCACACAGTGACAGAGGCGTATAAAGTAAATCAAAATATCAAATTTGAGGTGTTTATTCACAAAGTGGATGGGCTGGGTGATGATTACAAGATGGAATCGCAAAGGGATATTCATCAACGTGCTACGGATGATTTGACGGACGCAGGCTACGATCAGATTCATCTTAGTTTTCATCTCACGTCGATTTATGATCATTCCATTTTCGAGGCGTTTTCTAAGGTTGTACAGAAACTTATACCACAACTACCCGCGTTAGAAAATTTATTAAACATTTTGAATACGGTAAGTTAAAAAATTTAATGTTTTTTATTAGTAAAACATAAAATAAAGCTTTGTTTTTTATTTCAATAGAATTCAGCGATTGAAAAAAGTTTTCTGTTTGATGTTGTCTCAAAAATCTACATTGCTACTGATTCCACACCGGTAGATATGCAAAGTTATGAATTGTGTTGTGATATGATCGATGTGGTTATAGATGTGTCGTGGATTTATGGGTGAGTGGAAACTTTTATGTTATCTAGGTTAAATTCTATGCAAATTTGCACTATGTATATTTATCTCCGTACGGAATGTTAATATGTACATAATACTTCTGCAAATATTTGTTTGAATTGTTTCATTTTCAGTGTGCGAGAAGATCAAGAACCAGCCGCATTCGACGAGCAAAGTTCATCTCTGATTAAACTTAACAACGGTACCGTTTTATACCTGCGGGAAGTAAACAAATTTCTAGCACTTGTGTGCATCCTACGCGAGGATAACTTTGAACATAAAGGTTAATATTTTGTTTCAAAAACAAAATGGTGGCATTTATGAGCATAATATTTGTTTTAGGTATAATTGACTATAACTTCCTGTGCTTTCGCAAAGCAATCCAGCAAGTATTTGAGCTCAGAAACAAATCGAAAGCGCCGTCGCTGAATAACATCGCCGGCAGCCCGCTAACAAACGGAAAGAATCTTTCCGAAGATGGTTTATTGCCATTGCAGAATGACGAAGTCAACTAAACGCCATATTTATACACCAGGGGGTTATCTAAGGTAGGCAACCAGTAAGTCATGCAAACAAATACACATATGCTACCATACATATTAACTATTAATATTAACATTTACAAGAGAGATTTTTCAAGAGGAGAAATGTTTGTGTATATATATTATATAAAAGCGTACGTTTCGTTCTTTCTCACCGAATGAATAAATTACTGAATTTAAAGATATTGTAATCAATCATCTTTAAGTTAATCTTTAGCGGCGTCGTAATCTTCGACTATTTCCTCCTCTTCTTCTTCATCGGCTACAAATAATATAAACAATTCGAGATAAAAAGTTTTTAAAGAGCGTCAAGGCATTACGTTCATCCTTCTTGGTCATTTTATCAACGTACGCGTAGAAATCTATTTCAGCGGATTTTATATAGATGTCATCGAAGAAATCGGTTTCATCACTGTATTTATCAAGCATCATTCGACTAGTGCCCAAAATAGCAGAACCACCGACCTTTTGTTTGAGTCGTAATTCACGATTACGTGCCTCGAGGATCTTTTCACGTCGATTTTCCCTTTCAAACATCTATAAAACACAAAAAAACATTATGATTGAGTAAGGTTATGTATGATTGTACAATCATTTGATGACAACTTACCGCCGTGAGTAATGCTTTATCATTTTTAGCTGAATATGATAAATGTTCACACATCTCAACGACATACGCAGTGCCTTTCTGGGATCCCACAGCTGTCAATCGGCCTAGTTCATTGGCACGCACGCTTGTTAATGGTACATCGCATACTTTGATACTCAACGTTGCATGTTCCTGATTTTGTAGAACATCCCACACATCAATAATACCATCAGAGCGACATGTGAAAAACACCGAGAATCTTGTCGGGCTCCAAGTAGCTGCTAATAATCTCGCTTGATGGTAACACGTCCACATGATTGGACTTTCCTTACAATCTTCTGACCATATTTTCGCTGTCCAATCACCAACAGTTAAGAAATTCTTAACAAAAGCAGGATTTCTTTCCAGTGCAAGCACAGGTCCTAAATGCGCTTGATATTTTGCAATCATTTTCTCTTGTGGGAGTTTACCCTTCTTGTTTCCTCCTATTACATGCCCGGTTTCGGTACCTATCATGAATCTTGTTGGGATAGTCGGTTCATATTCCAAGACTGAGCAACCCATTGCCCGGGATAAGATCTGTTCATCTTTAGTCATGTCTACTATCAGTGATTCTAAGGAAGCGTTGAGTTTACGCGTGTCCCACCATTTTACCATTCCATCTGTGGAACCTGTGAAGAACTCGGTGCCGGTTTTTGAATGGGTCCAGATAAGGTCAGTGATAGGGTCACGATGGGACTCCTCCATGAGAGTGAAGTCGACGGGTTCATTGCTGGTACGCACGTCCCATATTGCAACTTGTCCGTTGAATTGTCCACTGGCGAGAGTATTGGGATCGCGAGGGTTGTATTCAATACAAACAGATTGATCAGGTGGTTGGAGGATTAGTTGGGGCATGTTTGGGTTTTCTAACTCCCAGATGTAGGAACATGTTCCTCCTGGTGGGATTTTTGCATGGAAGACCATGTTGCAGTGGGTGATGACCAATTTACTGCAATCTTCTGGGTACCATGAGATGTGGGTTATCGGACGGGGATTGCCTGCTAATTGATCACTGAAGACGTTTACTGTGCGTGCTGTGGAGGGTTCTACCAAAGGAGTAGGTTCTACATCAGTGTAATATTGTTGGTAGATGTTTATGGCGTTATTTTGCAAGATGCATTCCTCCATGTTCTAAACATTATATTGAACAATCAGAAAAGATTGAAAGAAAGAATTTTGTTGTGTTTCAAGTGTTACCTTGCATAATTGTGACATAATATGTGGATATCCCTCATCTTTTTCGATTTTACGACGATATCTCTTTGTTTGTTCCTCGTCATTGATGTTAACGTCTTTTGGCCAACCGCCTTCAATATGATTGATGCCTGCATTTGCGTATTCAGCGCGGTAGGTGTTTAATTCGTGTTCTGCTTGTACAGTCACATTCTGAATAGCTTCATCTACTGGATCTCTGAAGTATTGTATTAGATGTTAGAAATAATTTGTTGGTAAATTAAATTTTACCTGTAGATGTATTCTTTTAAAAACTTGCGATTTGCAGCGTAATTATCAATGAGTTCGGGTCCTCTGTCGTTGAACATGCATTGTCTACCAAATTCACTGCGTTTCTTTTGGTATGAGTAATTAAATTCCATTTTATTTGATTTTATTTTACGTGAAAAGAAATAATTTGAGTGACTTTTACGCAATCAGTATCTGATTGATCAAACTTTTGTTTCGCTACTCGCCATCTATGATGTTATCACTGCACTACAGCATAAACAAGAACATAACCCAATAGTTTTCATAAAATATTGATTTTATTTTATTTATAAACCTAAATAAACAATTAAAATGAGTGAAACGCATGAAACTATTAATGATGATGATGTAAAAGTTGAAATTAAGTTTAAAAAGCGCGGGAATAAAAATCTACGACGAAAAATCAAAGAAGATTCAGAAGATGACGAAGATGAAGTCAGGTTTGTAAAGATTTCATTTGTTTCTGTAAAATATTTAATATTTTCTACTTTTAGACCACAAATTGATGATTTGAAAGAAATACAAAATCTTAGGAAAAGACAAAATGGAGTCAGTCTTGTAGGATTAGCTCTAGGTACAAAACTAAACAAGGAAGAAGAAAATGTAAATATTTATTTCATATAAAATGACTTGTTACAATAACATAGTTAATATTTGATTTAGAAAAACACTGCACATACTGGTGGAATGGTAAACATGCATGCACTGAAAACAGGCAAACTGAAAACCAATGATGAGTATGACACTGGAATAGGCACACAATTCTCAGTTGAGACCAACAAGCGAGATGAAGATGAAGAAATGATGAAATACATTGAAGACCAGCTGACAAAACGCAAAGGTGGCGTTTCAGATGGAACTCCAGATGCAAAAGATGATCATTTAATGTACAAAAGTCCAGAAGAAGCTGCTTTACAAGCTGTGCCCAAACATCTAAGAGAATCATCTGCACAGAGATCAGAAGAAATGTTATCCAATCAAATGCTGAGTGGTATTCCAGAAGTAGATCTTGGAATTGAAGCAAAAATTCGAAATATTGAAGCCACAGAAGACGCGAAACTGAAATTACTGAGAGAAAGCTTGCAGAAAAAAGATGGACCATCACAGTTTGTTCCAAGTAACATGGCTGTTAATTTTATACAACATAACAGATGTAAGTTTAGTGTTTATTAGCACTAATAATTGTAATTTGACATTTTGTTTTTATAGTTAGCGTCGATGACGCGCAGAAGAAACGAAAACAACAGCAACAAAACGATTCCAATAAAGAAAAAGGTAAACCGGACAAAGCCACGGACGATTTTCATTATGAACGATTCAAAAAACAATTCAGAAAGCACTAAATTAATAAATATAATTTATATCTTTTAAATTTTCTATTTGAACACAATTCAAAATGGCTGCTTGTCTGTTGCCATGACAATCGACGTTTGTGTGTTATGTACATATTTACAGCGCTGGTTATATTACCGTAAGTAATATTTAATTAGTGCTATTAATTAATAATTAATGCGATGATGAACGATGGCGAATAACGCGAATACAGTTCAATGTTGCGATGATTACTTATGCATTCGATCACGCGCGACACTCTCGTTTTCGTTCCACTTGACCCGATTCCTAGCGCGGTTTCAAACCACACGCGGCGGGTATGGATGCGCGCGCAGCTACTCGGTTAGTCAATAACAGGTCACACATTCGAATTTCGTAAACGCAAAAACAACCCAGAACAATTTCCGTTGCATATTCTCGCTGGGGATTGTAACTTTTATTTTTTGGGGATTATTGCTTTCGATTGGGATTATCTGGATCGGGTGACTTTAATGGGAACGCGTGAAGTAAAAGTGAGTTCAACGATGACCTAGTTGCGTTGTGCACGTACTTACCTCACGCACCTCACGCAAAAGTAGGTTGCGTGGTAGCGCAACGCACCGCACGCAACAGGGAAGAGGGGGCGCGCATCCCAAGTGTTCCTGTCCGTGTGTATGTGTAAGACACGAAGGGCGTGCGGGTGTTCCACGCGCGCCTGCAGGAGCAGTCTGCATCCCGCATATGAGCCGCGTTGCTGAATTGAGTCGTTCGGTGTTGGCGCGCCGTGTGCCGTGCGCCGCTCATGTCGCTGCCGCTGCCGCTGCCGCTGCGAGCCGTGTAAGCGAAGTGGCCTACAGACCTACATTCCCTGCGCGCCGAGACGACGTTCGCGCCTCGCGTATCATCTATGTGCGGCCGGGTGCGTGTGGAAAGCGCGTAATTGCGTGTCCGGGTGGTGTGTCGGAGGCCGCGACGGCAACAACGACGAGCAACTTCGCGAGTGGTGTCGCCCGCCCGCAAGGTCGGGGCTGCGCCGCCGCCCGCAGCGCGTAACCAACACCGCGCCGAGAAAATGCATCAAGAAGCGACGAGCATGAACAACGGCGTGCCCACCACCGTTGCCGAGTCGACGACGGTTGCGCTCATCGCCACCGGCGACGATGTACACGACGTCCACCTGGAGCTCGCCACCGACGACGAGAACAATGTGGAACTCGAAGTGCCTTTTTCCGCCGGCAGCGAAGGTAAACACAAACAACATGCATTTGTTTTTTTTTCATATTTATTTCAGGCATAACCTAAATTCACTGCTGCTGCTGCTGCTGTTATTGTTATCCAGCATAATATTTGATTCGATTTCGATGGGCTCGGAAAGTGAACATATTCGTCTCGTGCCGCCAGTCTGTGTGGCAAAACCTGTTCTCTCCGATTCCTCCCATATTCTATTCACCAAGTCGAGCGCGGCGAACGCGCCCGCACGCCTCTGCGCGCCCGCCGCTTATTACGTCCGCGACCATTCCCATCGCGGCGAGAGTGCAATAATACGTACCATTCACGTCGAACACGACCGAACTCGAGGCGCTCGCGCGACGTAACATTCTCATTTCGCTTTTCAGCTCTTCCTTTCTGCCGACGGCGCACAACTTGGTAACTTGGTCATGCGAAAGTGAAACACATTTCTTTCACGTTACGTAAAGCGATAAATTTTGACGATAAAAAGGGATGCATTAATATTCCCGCTGGTCGAGTGCGCGTGTTCCGTTTAGTCTGGTTGACGTCCGGTGTTGCCGGCTCGAGTTTTATTTCATTTCACACTTGATGAAACAAAAGAAAACAACTAAACAAAAGATGGCTGTTTGGTTGCCATGACAATGTTTGATTTGTTATTTTGCTGAAGCAGAAGCAGGAGGTGTTTTAGTTTAGTGTAGACTAAAGTAGGTCGTGGTAGTGTGTGCGCACGCGGGTCTGCAGCAGTAGTAGGTCTATTTCCAGTTTATCTAGGAATCTAGGCATCTAGGCTACCCCTCGCGCGCGACCTCCTCTAGGCTAGGCTAGACGCGCACTCAGCCGCGCGCTGCCATCCGATTATAGGTCAGGTTCAGTTCAAGTGCAGGTGCAGCGCCGACCTAGCAATGTCAGCAGCATGTTGTACTACCGGTATTATTTATTACAAGCAAAACAAAACAATGCATTTTAGTTTTAGATTTATTCAGATTTAAATTTTGTTGTGATATTTATTGAGTTGTCATGGCATGGCAGGTGGATTGGGTTGTGGCAGGTTGGGGTGAGAGTTAGTATAAGGGGTGCGCACGCGTGGCTCGTTTATTACCTGTTCTTGTACTTGTATCCGGGGGTTGGCATTGACATAGAAACTAGTCGCGTGTTGTGGTCACTGTGCCATACCACTTAGAAATTAAAGTACCAATCGTCAGCACTCTAAGGAGGTACGTCAGTCTGGAATTATATTGTCATAAAATCCCATTTTGTAAACAAAACATGTGACAAAATCAAAGAAAATACTTTAATCTTTTGTTTTTACATAGCAGTTTATATAAGTGATTGAATAATAATAAATAAACATATGCTCAAATCCAAAAGACTTTGCAAGAGAGAGAAAATCCTTATTGGCATAGAAAATCTCAATATTGGCCCTACTCGTCTAGTAGTAGCATGTAGTTTCAAGTAGGAGATATATGGAATTTACCTATCTATAATAAAAGTTGAAAATACTTACTTAACGTATAATTTGATAGCTGCATGGTAAATATCTGCCTTTATTTACATAAGTAATCTATCTTATAGTAAGTATTTAAAATGTGCATAAAATATTTTGTAATTCAGATTTTTATGCCTAACATATACTTTTCTTATTCAAGCTACTAGTTTCACTTTATCAGTACTTAGAAGTATTTATCCTTGAGATCTTTTTAACATTTATGCTTAACCACCAACAAAATATTAATGAGTCGGATTATGAACCTACTTAAAAACAAATACTCAACATCCTATTTTTATACCTACCTAGTTCGCAGTGTTCTAGAATAAAAGTAACATTAAGTTAATTTCTGTTATTGTTAACTTTTGTTAGTTCTAATATGACTATCATGATCATGTGTGGTAAAAAAACAATATTAGCACTCAATATTCTAGTATACTGGGCACTACTGCCAATAATTAGCTTTTAGTTAATTGGCACAGGTGCCAAGAATGAAGTTTTGATAAATTCTTGATCCATATGTTGGCACGTATGGCCGTCAATGTGATAAAGATATATTCAGGAAATAATCTTTGAATCTATTGCTAAACGTGTAATTAAGCGTAAAATTAATTCCAAAGAGGTATCTATTAACCGAATAGCTGCGATATACAATGATTAAAAAAGGTCTCACCTTAAAGAAAAACAAAATAACTACGCAAATCCACAAACACAAAATATCCCGCTGTTGTATCTAAATCGCCATATTAGTTATTGGAACAGTGTAGTCAAATTTGAACAAGAAAAATATACTATTGTACAATTTAGTACATATCAAACTTGGGTATCTATAGTTTCCTTGTTTTCGAATTAAAACATAAAGTGCCAATAATTGGAGTGCCAACGGTTGGGTGTTTTACCCATATAGTGTATTTTAGGGTGTGTTTAGATTTTTTGGTTATATAAAAGGGTGATTTTTGTTTATTCGCAAGGAGATTAAATATTTATTTTTGTGAGGAATTTTTGTTTATTAGTAGAAAATGTAATTTTATGTAGGAATTTTTAAATTCGGGCATTTATTCTATGAGGAATTTTGAAATACCGGTATTAATATCGGTATACCGGTATTTTTTATTCAAATATCGATATTTTGCAATAGGGTATTGTTTGTGATATATACCACGATATACCGATATCTAAATTGCAATATCGATAAACAGATGAGTTAAAACAAATGTCGTAATTGTGAAAGAAAACTTCCCCAAATCTGCGACACAGCAGTCACTTTAAACATTAGGAACCAACAAAATGTTCAACTTAGGTTAGTTCAAAATAATGTTTTTCTATTATGTAAACATTCATCAAATCGAAAATATCAAATAAACCGCTGACACTGGCAATTAACATTTGGCAAAGATTGACTCATTTACCAATTTAAATTAATCTACAATTAATCAATTATCTTTACATGTTTTTGTTAGCGCACAAAATTTAAAATATTTCCTAATTAATATATTTAATTATTATATAAATACCGGTATTACCGGTATACCGATATTTTCATTCAAAAAATACCGGTTTTCCGCGATTTTCAATTTTTTCTTTTAAAATTTCATCAAACAAACAAATATTTTGACTCGACAGTTTACTATGTTAATCTATATATTTTGGCGAGGAAAAAATAAGAGGGACACTTGAAGTTAAAAATAACTTTCGATACAGGGAAATACAGATTTAAATTCCGCATCTAATGAAATTAATCCGGACTTAGAATTAGACCGCGTTCGCTTGTTATAGTAAAATAACTACAATTCCTAGCGCAACCAGTACAAGTGCGTATACACACAACTATCAATATAACTCGCGTAAAAAAATTTTCTGGCAATAAAGTTCGATACAGGGAGATAGAGATTTAAATTCCGCATCTAATGAAATTAATCCGGACTTAGAATTAGACCGCGTTCGCTTGTTATAGCAAAAAAACTACAATTCCTAGCGCAACAAGTAAAAGTGCGTATACACACAACTATCAATATAACTCGCGTAAAAAAATTTTCTGGCAATAAAGTTCGATACAGGGAGATAGAGATTTAAATTCCGCATCTAATGAAATTAATCCGGACTTAGAATTAGACCGCGTTCGCTTGTTATAGTAAAATAACTACAATTCCTAGCGCAACCAGTACAAGTGCGTATACACACAACTATCAATATAACTCGCGTAAAAAAATTTTCTGGCAATAAAGTTCGATACAGGGAGATAGAGATTTAAATTCCGCATCTAATGAAAAATTAATTCCGGACTTAGAATTAGACCGCGTTCGCTAATGAAATTAATGTTATAGACCGCGTTCGCAAAAACTACAATTCCTAGCGCAACAAGTAAAAGTGCGTATACACACAACTATCAATATAACTCGCGTAAAAAAATTTTCTGGCAATAAAGTTCGATACAGGGAGATAGAGATTTAAATTCCGCATCTAATGAAATTAATCCGGACTTAGAATTAGACCGCGTTCGCTTGTTATAGCAAAAAAACTACAATTGCTAGCGCAACGAGTACAAGTGCGTATAAACACAACTATCAATATAACTCGCGTAAAAAAATTTTCCAGCAATAAATTTCAATAGAGGGAGATACAGAATTAAATTCCGCATCTACTAAAATTCGCGTTCGCGTTCGCGTGTTATAATTATTAGAATGCAGTAAAATATTAATTATTCGTATGTCAGTGCTACCGTGATACATATATAACAATACATATCGTAAAATTAAAATAAACAATTATCTATGTTATTACATTAACTTAATAAAAACAAAAGTAAAATTTTATATATTTTTGTTTTATCTATTACATTTAATGTCTACTCGTGTCAGCCAAGCAAGGCTAAGTTAACACACATGTGGTGTATAAAGCGTACTATACACTTTATAAACACGTTTAAATGCCAATAAACTTATATTTATTTCCATGTTATAATTGTAACACTACACCGTATAAAATAGAAATAAATAATTATATAAATGATTTCGTTGATATTATTTAAAACATCAACTCTTTTTCTATAACGCGGCAGAGAAAAACCTACAAATTATCCAATTACTTCCGAGATTCTAGCAATCTTTCCGGGAGATGCAAAAACAAATCGTATAAAATACCTCTCGTGCTATCAAAATTTAAAAGAATCATTAAAATCATACAAACAATTCACGAGGCACAGCCAAAGTTTCATCGTGTTTCTAAAATTGGCAAGAATCGTATAATTTTGAGACCCATTTAAAGTTGGTTCAAGTGTGATTTCTGGGGGCGGCAATAAGGCATATTTTAAAAAAAACTCTTGCACTATGTAAATATAGAAAACTATTGAAATCGCACGAACGGTTACCGGGTTAAATATAGCCAAATTTCAATAGCGAGAGCCGAAATTTCACAAAATCATGAAATTGTATGAAACTGAAATCAAATTGTATCATATTTCAACATGGAATTTAAAAATTAAGTTAAAACTTATATTCATGCGAAATAAAACGTGCAGTGTGCAGCAACACGCGAGATCTGCAAGATCTGAACACGATAAAAACTTGTTTTTGCACCGACACTGATAAACGCGTAGAGACAAAACCAATAACAATTCTAATATGCGTATTCTAAATTCACGATGTTGAAATCTTCTCGAATGCGTACATACAAGGATAGCGAGACCGTTATTTAAACATAATTAATCATGAAAATAAATTAATAATATTAATTCAATGCTAAACCTACCAGTAGGACGATGGCGAACTTCAAGTGATGTCCCCACAGTTTGCAGTACGCACATGTCGAAGATGCCGGATGGATAGATGATGGATACAACACACATACCGATAAACGCGTAAAGATGAAATCAATTTCTTATTAACACTTTCGATGGATGACGAATTTCAACCAAAAACAAACGAGGCTTGCAAGAGGAACACGTGCGCACACACCGCCGCGAGTAAGACGACTAAACAGAACGGCAATTCCCACTGCTTAGTTAATACTGAAAAGAAGCGCCCCCACCGGTAACTATTTTGTTGACTATTTATAAACTTTGCTTTAAGAATAAATTATAAAATGAAATATAGTGTATAATTTGTAATGGCAACTATCTGCGACTTAAAATTTATATATTTCCATTTTACATAAGCATTTCCTACTTCTAACACCGTTAACTTAATAAAAACCAAATTGTAAAATTGAAATGCATTGTAATTGCACTAGAAAAAAATATGTAATGTCGATAACAAATTAGGTAATTCCGAGTTTGCATATATTCAATTAAGAAACTCATCCATTTATCCACATAATGAAAACAAAGCCTAAATTAAGTTTATTGATAAAACATTAAAGGCTCTTCCTGAAATTACCGTTCTAAACGTACCTAGTATTAAGCAAGAACATGTACTAAGTATTGTACTACTTAGCTGCAGCTAAGTCATGTAACTAAATCAATTAGGCGTCATAACCAAACAGTGCCACATAAATACACATCCACACTACCGCACAGACAGTAGGTCGAGTGATCGAAGGTCAATCATGTTAGATAACGCGACAAACAACTTTCACGAGCGCATAACGCACATAGACCATCGACGCCGTCCACAAAATAACGAAAATGTTAGGCACTTACTTGCGAAAAATGAGCGCGACGCGTCGGAGGTCTGTAACGCAGCAGTTGCCCGGAGGGCCACTCGTGGGTGCCATTGACGAAGGTACCTCCAGTGCGCGGTTCATCCTCTTCGAGGCGGGCACCACCAATGTAGTCGCGCAACATCAAGTCGAGCTGAAAAAAATATACCCGCAGGAGGGATGGGTAGAGCAGGACCCTGTTGTGATCCTGGATGCAGTACGCACCTGCATCGATCAAACCATCAAAAAATTGCACGATCTCGGACGCAACGTCGATGAGATCGCCGCGATTGGTATCACTAACCAACGAGAGAGTACCATCGTGTGGGACCGCACCACCGGCGAACCCTTACACAACTCCATCGTCTGGCAGGACATGCGTACCAGTTCGACTGTGGACCAACTCTTGGATACGGTACCAAACAGAACCAGAAATCAAAACTACTTGAAACCATTATGTGGATTACCATTCTCACCGTATTTCAGCGCGTTGAAGCTGAGATGGTTGCAGGATAACGTCCCGAGAGTAGCTAAAGCCATCAATGATGGCAATTGCCTTTTTGGAAACGTTGACGCGTGGATTATTTGGAACCTGACTGGTGGGAAAGATGGTGGTATTCACGTGACTGACGTCACAAATGCATCAAGAACAATGTTGATGAATATCGAGACGCTGAAATGGGACAACAAACTGTTAAACTTTTTCAAAATTGAGAAGAGTATCTTACCAGATATTAAATCCAGTGCTGAAGTGTACGGTTTCATCAAAGGAGGACCCTTGGATAACATACCAATCGCCGGGTGCTTGGGAGATCAACAAAGCGCATTGGTCGGCCAGCAATGTCTCAAAAGTGGACAGGCAAAGGCCACATACGGTACAGGGTGTTTCTTACTATATAATACCGGCACCGCTCATGTAGACAGTAAACACGGTCTATTAACAACAGTAGCGTACCAATTGGGTCCGAGAGCAAACGCAGTGTACGCTTTGGAGGGAAGTGTTGCCGTGGCGGGTGCTGCATTATCCTGGTTGAGGGACAACTTGGATATCTTGCCGAATTTCGGCCGGGCGCAAAGTTTAGCAAAGGAAGCCGATTTGTTAACAGGAGGCGAGGTGGTTTTCGTACCAGCATTCAGTGGATTATACGCGCCTTATTGGGAACAGGATGCTAGAGGGTAAACAATTACTTTTTACATAATAAACAAATAATCATCATTTTGATTCCAGGGTAATATGTGGTATTACAATCGACACAACCACATCACACATTGTGAAAGCAGCATTAGAAGCGGTCTGCTTTCAAACCAGGGATGTCCTCGACGCAATGAATAAAGATTACGGCACCAAGTTAAAGAATTTGCAAGTCGACGGTGGCATGACTGCAAATTCTTTATTAATGCAACTCCAATCGGATTTGACAGGTGTTAACATAGTAAAGCCCAATATGGCGGAGAGTACCGCACTGGGGGCAGCAATGTGTGCTGGATACGCTGTGAACGTATGGGATATTAATCCCGATGAGCCCATTGATATCCCATTGACAACATGGACACCACGATTTGACGAAAATGAACGCGATATTTGCTACAACCGGTGGAAAATGGGCGTTGAACGCGCAATGGGGTGGAACTCATAAACAAGTGAAAGAATGTTGACACTACTACCAAATTTCTTATACTAAGAGACTGTTGAGTAGTTTTAAGTTGTAAATTAAGGCCTCAAAAATAAATTGGTTCAAAGTTAGAAACATGTTTGTTATGTGTAATGGATTGCGCAAATATTTGTCATGAGTGCGTGTTTGCCCAGTTATAATTTAACAATAATCATGCTTAGATAAGAATAGATAAGATAAGTTATCTGGGCGTAAACGCACCTGAGTCAGCATCACACGGATTGCGTACAGTTCAAGCTAAAATCTGTGCCAGAAACAATTTCTACTTTTTGACAATCGAGTTGCGTAAAAGCAAAAATGAGGATAAATAAATTCTTCGTGGCTGCCCTGGTCATAGCCGGTAAGTTATTTAGTACTAATAAATGAAAATGTCTCTAAAGACTGACCTGAATATTCCAGTGGTGTTGGCTGTACTGAGTCCAGAAGTCGAGGCGCGCCGTAAAATCCTCAAGGGACGCAAGACCATCACACGGACATACTATTGTAAGTGAATAATGGAAAATGAAACAAAATTATAGGGCGAGTGTTTAAATTCTGAATAAATTTGTAGCCGAACCTGCGTTGCCATCCTGGGCGATCATCTTAATCATCGCAATCTGTGAGATCATTGCGGGAGGAGTGGTGTTCCTGATCCTGAGGTGGAAAATTCTCAAACCTGCGGAATCCGCCTATGCCGGCCAATATTCGGTGGCACAACAAAGTGAATTAAACTAAATTCACCGCATTCACAATTTTTAAATGACATCTTTATTAGTTTCCATTTGTACCACGTAAATAAATAATATTTTGTATTTACCGAACGTTCACATGTACTACACGAATAAAATTTAATTCTTCATTTATAGATTAAATCGTTCATCATTTGCAGATCTCGCTCACTTCTACTTAAAGTTACAAAATTTAAAACTTAATTCGTAAAATTATTATTTTTCTGAAAAATAATCTCTGTGAATGACTAATTTTTTGTGCAAGTCAAAACTTTGGCCAACCAACACAATAAATTTGTGAAGAGAAAAATTCATTTGCAAGTTTTGCACTGCCCTTAAAGTTTTGATGAGATGTGCGCACATCATTCGCTCCCCATCAGAATGTTTTTAAACTCGTCGACGGCAACGGTGATTTCAACGCGTTGCGGCGTGTTGTAAATGAAGCTGATGTTCTTTAACACCGCATAATTGTCAGTTTCGATCTCTGACCAACCAGTGTACTGATAAAGAAACTCTGCTTTTTAGTACAAAGCAAAACAACAACAAAAAAATTCGTTTATAACTCACCACCGATGTATTTTTGTAGCGTAAATGCGTATCGGCTGCCACTGGTTCAAACTTTTGCAGGAGCGCTTTTCCATCTATACGCCAAATGTGAGGTGGACTGCCTGAGTCATAACTCTGCGCGTCGTGTTTTGCCACTACAAATGCCCCAGACTGAGCAAAAGAAAGAAAAGAAAGATTATATGCATAACAAGCCACCCAACATACACATCAACAACCATTTAAGGTCACGAAAAGTGAATGAAAGTTCTTCTTACTGTAAATGTTGTAGGTGCTTGCACTGGAGTCCTTGTGGTCTCCAGAAATATGCTTTGTGTAAGAGTGCCATTAAAAGCCCTCTTGCTTGTTGGCTTCCTTTTCTTCAGGCCATTTCTGTGCACCTTTGCTCCTTGCACCAGAGAGCAATCATCCTCAGAACTGGTGTATGTTTTCGCCTTCTTGATCAGCCGCACTGACTTGCGTAGCTGTGTGTTTTTCTTTTTTGGCTACAAAATATCACCAGAACAAGTAAATACCTAGGTTATAGAAATAGATAATCATAGTTGGCTTACTCTTGCCGTCCATTCCTCGTCGGAGGTGTTGCGAGGATCGTCTTCACTCTCTGAATTACTCATTGCGCCTGAATTATTTAATCTCGATCGTAAACACCTCCTTTTAATGCATAATCCACAACAAACTATTGTTATAAACAAGAATGTAGCTACAAAGAGTGGGGTGGTAGCATAGGTGGTAAAGAGAAAGGAGATCATATAAATGTCATGGAATGTTGGATGGAATTTATATATCTCCATGTTTATGTATTTAGGTTTTCCATCACGTTGATTCAATTTCTATCCTAAATTTGACTCATTTACATGTGTGTAAGTCACTTTGAAATAAATACATAAAACAAACTGTAGCCTGTGTAAATTATATCATTTATATGATCTAGTATTCCCAGGTTAGGTTGTTCAAAAGGAAAACAAAACGTGCTTCGAGTTTTCATCAGATTAGAGATATATACGATCTGTAATCCACATAATTCAATATTAAAATGTCGAAAATTACAAGAAAGCGAAAAACCGAGCCAGCTCCAGCGGAAGACGTCGAAATTATGGCCCCCAAAAACAAATTCCGCGCATACGATGCAGCAATGCAAGCAGAAGAAGCGAAACTAAGCGAGATTCTTTTTGGCGGCACATCTACCTTCCTGGAAAGCCTACAGGAAGCTGCGAAAGAAACAAAGACCACAACAACTGCAATAGACTCCGGTGTAGGCGAGACAGACAGTGACGACAGCGACAAATGCCGCAAACCAGCCTGGGTTGATGAAGATGATGATGGAATTGATGTTGGTAATGCCTTGGAAGCACAAGGCAGAAGACTTCCCAATGGTGGCATCAACGCCAGAAGTAACCAGTACACAGAGCTACTAAAACAAAAGTTCACATCCATTGTGGGCACTCCCAAATGGGCAGATCTAAATGCCAAACATCAAGAAGATGAAGATTCTGATGAAGAAGTCTTAAAAACAGCTGGAGTTGTTAAATCAAGCAAATCAACTTCTACCACACTCAAATCTGGTACAATTGAAGTGAAAAAGGTAAACAACTTGAACCAGGAGGCATATTCAGAAGGCCCTATGATTAACTCCATTGAATTCCATCCCACATCAAGTGTGAGTCTAGTTGCAGGCCAGTCAGGAGTAGCAACCATCTATGCAGTTGATGGCAAGAGGAATAACAAACTGCATTCACTACAGTTTAAAAACTTCCCGATATTATGTGCCAAGTTTAGCAGAGATGGCAATGAAGCATTCCTGGGTTCCAGGCAATCTCACATGTTCTGCTATGATTTAATGGCAGCCAAAGCAATCAAAATCCCTCTGCCAACTGGTTTAACTCAAATGAAAAAGTTTATCATGTCTCCAGATGGCAAGTGGATAACAGTCGCCGGCAAATGGGGAGAGGTGCATGTATTGTCAGCGTTAACAAAAGAGAATTTGTTTATGTTTAAACAAGATGACGACTGCACAGCGCTATGTTACAATCACGACGGGTCACTTTTATACGGACACAGCGATACTGGAGTTGTTACTGTTTGGGATGTTAATACCAGAAGGATGATGCACAAGTTTGAGGATGAGGGGTGTCTCCAGGGAACTAGTCTGCACCTCTCTCCATCAAATCAATTCCTCGCTACCGGATCTTCCCAGGGTGTGGTCAACGTATACGACACAGATCTTACCTTAAAACAGAAGACGCCTACGCCCCGGAAGAGTATCATGAACTTAACGACTCCCATCCGTGATGTCAAATTCAACTCCACATCGGAATGCTTGGCGTTTTTCTCGTCCGAAGTCGAAAATGCAATGCGCTTGTTCCATTTACGATCACAAACCGTGTTTAGTAACTTCCCGAATTTCCAAACAAAGCTGGGCAACGTTAATGTTGTCAATTATTCGCCGATGAGCGGGTATCTTGCGATTGGCAACACGAGATCCACTGTCACTCTCTTCCGCTTGAAGCATTTCAGCAGTTATTAAATACAAATAAACGATTACTTGTTTAAAAAATGATTTCATTTAAGCAAAACGTGCAAAAATATTTAAACGCCTATCACACCTATCACAAATACAGTTAATAGTTAACATTTTACAACAATTTTATCACCGGTTTGTACTGAGTACAGGCTGATCTCGCGATTCTCATCCAAATCGTACTCGATATTAGGTTGTTCAATACTAATATAGACCAAAGCAGGCGCAGTCGATAATCGAAACAATCGTTGACAAAGTGTCACCAATTTTTGCACCTGTAGGCTTGGTGGGACCTTTTTACGGATTTCCTTACCTTCATACACCAGGTTCAACTCGATGAGGGACTCCTTGATGGTTTTAGCTTCGTGCTTCAGTTCACTCTCTTCTAATTCGCCCATTTTCTCAATGAATTCCTGATATCTGGTGTGTGTTTGAAGGAATTTTGTTTTCGCTTCTTCATCCTTTTGAACCTGCAACCATTCCAGGCCGTATTTCTTCATGTAATCAATTTCTGCACCTTTACGCTCGTCCAGAATAGTTCCGCCGTTGAGAACTTGCAGTGAACTGATCATCGCGACGATTATTTGATTCACCATCTGGTGTGTGTCCAGATTATAGATGGGATTTCGTGAAATACCTAGCGCTGTTAAACTCAACTTGTTCAAATTGCTTAAAGATTCCAAGTCGGCAATTTGATTGTTTTTCAAGTTTAAAGTGTTTAAACTTTTGAAAACATTATCTTCTTCTATCCGAATTTTTGTAAGTTGAAGATTGATGAGGTTCAGATTTTTCAAATTAGGTAAGTGTTTCAGTTTCATGATCTCAGACCAATCGGAGATCTTATTACCCTCAAGATCAAGGGCTTCCAAACGATGAAAGAGTGTTTCTAACGGAAGGGTTGATTCCAAACTCCGAATTTGATTATACGGAGCAATAAGTGTTTGTAAATTGGGGAAAACAAGTGCTAGGCTTTCAATTTCCGCCATTGAAAGTGTCATTGTTCCACAAATCAATGTTTTCAAATGTGGTACTTTGTAGGAGGAGATATCAGCAGGCATGACTAATCTATTTTCACTATAAAATCAATAAGCAATCAATTATTTTCAATTTAGTATAAAAAATAGCTTACCATATGTTTAAGTTGTGCAAATGTTTCAACTCTGAAGCAAGAACAAACACCTCCTCCCATGAATGAATCATATTCTTTGACAGATCAAATTCTTCCACATTTGGACACATCAAACTGAACTGATGTGTATCCCCCAGATGAGCCACATTCATCATTCTGACTGTCAGCACTTTCAGTTCTGGGTAGTTGCTCTGTTTGGTACTGATGCCATCAAAACCAACAAGCTCTAAAAAAGGCATGTTGCATTGATGTTCCAGTGCCATGAAAGCAACCTGATTGTATTTCATCTCTTCTTCATCCTCCTGATGACCATATCTTGATGTGATGGAATCAATAAGGTTTATGCCCACTGAAACTTTCTCTAGACGAACAAATGATCCAGAAGTTGATGTGCTAAAGTATTACAAAGAAGTTAGAGGTTACGCAGGAGTAGATTGATGTTTTTTGTGTTTACCTGGCTGTGAAATACTGAATGCCTTTGACACTGCCATCGTGCTTGCCTCGACTGGGGTCGTCCCAATCCAAGCCAAGCCATGTGCCTTTGTGGCCATCGAGCTCACCAATATACTTAACCGTGCCGATTTGGTCCTGCACCTGCACCCTGTGTCCAATTTGAATGCTCCTAGACTTTGACTGAGTGTCAATCATACTTTTATATAGCAGTTACGCACTACACTCATGCGGTTACCACTCACGCAATCAATTATTAAACGTTTTGATTGATATTTGTTAGTTTCTGAGTGCAGATGTTGAAGAGCAGCCACAGCCAACAGCGGATCACTGATTTGTTTTTTGCACAGCAGGAAAATTGAATTGAATAGGTAGGCAACCAAGACTACAGTGTATCCAACCCGCCGCCATCTGCAGGTTAGCAGGAATGTAAATTTACAAGCAGATTTCTTAGCTTTGCAATAATGAATGAATCAATAGATCCATTGCTTTCACCCTGAACCCTGAAAAATGTAGCAATAATCTCCGGCTCTGGGATTTAAACCCATGAACACCGTATCAACAATTAATTTGTTGATCGATTGGGTTACCAAGCCGGTTTAACAATATTACAGATCAAACTTTCATGTCATGTTCATTCTCCACCTTTAAGGACACTAACGGACATCAATTCATTTTAATATATATAGATATTGAGCTTATATTGAAAAAGAAAATATTACATGTGATTTAACAAATTGATCGCTTGATTAGCCACTCATAATCATAGTACATAGTAAATTGAAATGTAATTTAACGCTTGTAGTAACTGGAATAAAAAAGATTCGTCGTATTGCTAATTAAATTAGACTAGAGTAATTTAAATAATCTACAGACTAATGGACAAAGTATAATATGCATAAAGATACTATGCGAAACATAATTTGTAAATGCTTCTGCTTAAATCATAAATCACATTCTTAAACACGATAAGATAATTCAATGCGTGAAACGAGCGACGCGAAGCGAATGAAATTGTTTAACGTCCAGCGAAATCAAACTCAAGAGAAAACGGGGTATTGCACAGAGAGAATCCAAGTCAGTTCTGTACAACTTAACAATATATAAAACTAACTCTAACTAGAGCCATATTAGTATTTACACTTACACATCAGCTATAACTTGTTAAGACATTAATTACTAAATCGTGTGTGTGTGTATGTTTTTCTTCTTTTGTTGTCTGCTTGAGCGCAAATTTCGTCCAAATACATCATGTATTACTTGTGTAAAAGACCGCTCAAACTCTGCTAGATATTATACCCAAAGTGTCACGGCGTACTATCGAATAAAATCACGAAAACAAATGGCAGATAATAAAAACACCTTATTTAAAAACATAACATAATCTCCGCGTTCGGTTCCTACACATATAAAACTCTAATCGCTAACTGGTCAAAAATTGTTGAGCCTAGATAAAAATATTCATTACGCTTCGTCGAATACGCGCTTATTGCAAATGGGTGCGCGCACACTGGGCCCTCGGCCCCGTGTTTACTGTTTACATATTGTAGGCGACGTAGATGGGATCCAACTGGTCCGCGAGGAAGCCGTCGCGCAAATGCATGCGCTGCTTCTCGCCGCGGCTGTTAATCGGCACAATGCCGGGATCCACCACGACAACGACGCCGACAATCAACTGGTGCTCTTCAAGCACCGTGTTGGTCACCAGTGGCACCAGATCCAGCGCTTCGCTTTCGTTACCATCCAATTCTACTACGACTACGAGAAGATTTGTCCATGTGAAGACAGCGCTGAAAATTAAAAACCATATTAAAATCCATTTATTTGTTGATAAATTTAACTCTTACCATTCAGCAATCTTTTTATGGCACCTTAAAACACTGTTTTCTATGTCGATGGGATGATACCTCATCCCTCTGAGCGTAATCGCTTCGTCTAAAGCACCGACAACAAAAACAGCATCATGCAGCTCCGGCGAGTCGGTTGTAATGTGTTGTTGTGAACCCAACGACTCGGTATCGCTGCCTCCCAAAACAGTATCCTCCCCAATACTAGAATTATCCACGCCTTCAGTGCGTCGCAAAAACCCTAGATAACCCGTCCGGGCGTACACTTCTCCGGTACTGCCCGTCACCAGCTGCGAATGAAAATGATCAGCATAATCGCTCTCCTCCCCATAGATGGTAAAGTATCCGCTGGCGTTATGACCACTCTGTACCCAAATCTCACCAAGATGCGAATCACCGCACTGCCCCTTCGATTCGGGATTGGCGATAATCACCTTCACTCCCGGTAGGAGTTTACCCGACTCCATTACACAGAGACTATTCGGACTGCCGCGTTCGACCAGTGTAACTCTATCATTGCGCAAAGCACGCAGATCAACGAATACGCTGGATGGTTCTGGGCTGGAAGCGCCCTGCAAGCAAATCGCAACGTTGACACGACACCCGAAAGATGTGGAAACAGCGCGTGGACTTAGTCCCAGTGCGCTGAAGAGTTTTGAGAAGCTGACGGTGAGATTAATACGTGGTCGTTCCTCGGCGACAACTACGCATGTTCGCACACAGGCGAGGTTCACACCGCGGGATTTCAGTTGGTTCACGGAGGAACCAAGGCCTTTGGTGCACAGTTCCATTACGCCGTACGAGCAGAACGTATCACGGACTTTGTACTGGCTGACGGCGCACAACCATAGTGACGGGTTGACTTCCACCTCGGAGGGTGGTATCAATATCGAGTGATGACCAGAGTATATACTACTCAAACACCTAAAACACAACAATTTAATCATGCATTTTCATTATGTTTGTTTAAATTTATCTTCTTACCAGAGTGCAAATCCAAGTCCACAATAAGGGTCCAAACAAAGGGCTATATGCCGACTTGGGTACAACTCACAAGCGAGCTTCATGCTCCTGCACAAGTTGGTAACAGCGGCATGTGACATTTTAATGCCAGCTAACATGCCTGTAGTCGAGACGCTAAAGTCAAGATACGCCAACATCTCCGCCGTTGGTGCGCGGTATGCAACAGGAATCTTCTTCTTCGGCATATCGTCGGTGTCCAGAATAGGCGGCCATGTTTTAATATCGCAAACATTGCTCGCCTCCTTCGACTTTAGCAGTTTGATCACAGCCTGCGTAGAGAGCACAATCACCGACTTGGACACATCCACAATCATTCGAACTGTGGGTAGCGTCGTCTGCAAGTTCTGCGGATGCGGTGGACGAATCGTGATTGGTACAGCACCAACATAGAGACAACCATAAAACGCGCAGATTAAATCTAAACCCGGTGGGAAAACGAGCGCCACATGGTCGCCGGTATTGATGCGGCCTTTCTCAGTTAGCAGATTTCCAATACGTTCAGCACGTTTGTGTAACTCGGAACAAGAGAGCTGCTTGGCGGGTGTTCCCTTACTGTTCAGAAGCGTGAAGAGGATGTGATCGGCGGTGTAAACGGCTCGCCAGCGTAAAATTTCAGAAATAAAATGAAGCTACAATGCGAACCAATTAATGTTATAAAATTGTAACAAAGATTTTCTGTGTGCATAAGCTTACCTTCTTGGAATCATTCTCGTCATCTAATCCCATATCGCGCCCTTGTGCGCTGGCCAGCCTATTACCTTGTACGAGGTTCCCAACAATGACAGACGCAGGGCCAACGTCTGAAACACAGTCCGTTGCTGAAAGGCAGAGGAATCACATGCTATAGCATCACTCAAGCACAAGCTTTCGATAGTAGAAGAGTTAGAAGTAGTAGAGCGGAGTGAACAACTTTGTTTTAGAGGGGGCCAACACTACAACCGTCAAATACCAGGTACAGGTATATAGTAAATCATTCACACACCTCCACCATTTTCGGTTTGCATTGTTTTGCTGTGTCATAATTAGTGTTGAGCATTAATGGTGTTATGAGATGCAAGTAACACAACTGTTCAATATGGCTACGTCTTAGGTGTAGGTTTCTCCCGTATTTACAACTTTTTTCCGTTCAGTGTGTGAAATATAGAAATTGCAACTCACCTGAATGCACTTCACGTGGCTTGGGCAGATTGGTGACGCATGTGTGCGGGCACAGCAACACATTTGCCGGATGCAGTGTGCCTTCCAGATATCGCCGCTTGGTTTCCGACAAGTGTATCCCTCCTAATGGAGTTTTAGGTAGATAATTGGGTGGTACCAGCGCCAGACAATAAATGCCCACTTGATGAATCGAGTCGACCGCTTGAATTACCCGAGACATCCACTGGAACGACTCCTCTTCGCTGCAGTCAGGTCGTTGTTCAGCAATGACGCAAATCCTTTCATCGCGTAGGACACGATGACTGAACACAGCGATACGCCCTCGATAGATGAACTTCATCGGTTCAACAGCTAATACTGTAGCGATGATGTCGTCAGCGTTGTGCTTCCGACCCGTGACAGTCATCAGACCGTCACGCGAACCGCAAATAAACACCAACCCGCCAGGCCCGAGGAAACCCAACAACCCGGAGCGAGTGTATTCAGCATCCGAGATAGGCTTACCGTCCGTACCAAGCGGTTGCACTTTAAAAGTGTTATTACTCAGTCCTTGCAATCCCCAATATTGCGTGCCAGTGCAGCCTGCATTCACGCAGATCTCGCCCACCTCATCGGTCTTACACAGATACGCTGGTCCTTCCATTTTGACCACCACAATCACACAACCAGGCATTACCTGTCCGCAATCCTGCAGCGTTAGCGATGTCAGACTGTTTTCTTGATCCACTCGTACAACTCCATAGCTTAGACCTTGCATGGACAAAACACCACGACCGGTGGAGTTGGTCCCGCCACGTCCTGGCCGTCTCACCGAGACGGTCAACACCTCGCTGGAGCTAGCACATGGGCAAATGGCGTCTGGTTTCAGTCCCTTTGATTGAAACACAGTTAAAAATTGATCGCAAGAACTCAACGACCATGGATTAGCTCCATCTGCAACCAGCAACATGCGCAAGGATAATAAATTGATATCCTTGTGGTCTTTAGTTGCCAGTAAACCCCAATGCAGATCACGTGATTTGACCACAGCGACAGTAGCGCGATATTTAGTAATCATCTGCATCCAGCTAGCCGGGTTGACTTTCATCAACGCGTACGGAATGTAGATCACATGCATGCCATTCAAAACGCTTGTAAGCACCGAGTGCCAGAGACCCACCTCCCGTTTAAAGTCCAACACGCAGACCATATTCTCACCCTCGGTGTAACCACAAGCCATCGAGAGTGTGCGACAGTGGGATAACATTGCCGCGCGTGTTATGGTTACACCCATAACAGAACCGTCCCTATCAGTACTATACTCAATATACGCTGGTGTTTCATCAGTGAGACGCGGGGCAGGCGACCAATCCTTCGGGGTCTTTGCAAGATGTTCGGTAACGAACCAGTGTAGCTTCGGCCAGCCTTTGAACTGCACCACCTCGCCGGAAGTAGTTTTAGGCAGACCTTTGAGACATGCCTCAGACGTGAGCGCGACTTGCACGCCGCAGCTGCCAAGGAGAAAACCGATTTGTAGAGAACCGGCGTCTCGGCGTGTGATGGGCACCTCGATGGGCACAGGGACGATACCCGCTTGTAGACAACCGTAGAACGCACAAAGGAAGTTAATAGGATCATTGTTGGGGTAGACCAGAGCGACGCGATCGCCACATTTCAGGCTGGTGTCGCCGTTTCGGCTAAACGCCTTCGTCAATAGCGCGTAGGCAATCTTATAGGACCGACTCAACAACTTGCCATAGGTCAGCGTGGTCGTTAGTTTGCCATTTGGATCCAGCACAGTAGCAACTGAGGCCTTAAAAGATCCGGAGCCGTATCTCGTGATGGCTGTCTCAACATTACGAGGGAGTCCCGAGGGGACGATTAATTGTTCACCAACAGCAGGTGTCATACAGCCTCCTAATATAAAACATCATTTGATTATGGAAGTCAAGAAAAAAACAAAGAAATAAAATGATTACCTTCAGGTTTGGGTGCATTGGGATCCTTTGGACTCGCAGCAATTTCCAATTCGATATCGTCATCTTCATAAAACTCCTGCAGCGGTCTGCGCTTGGGTCGTTTCAGCGTATTCAACAATTGTTGAATCTTCGCAGAAACCTTCCACCGGCCCGTACCGGTTCCCATTGTATCGTTTGATGTTGTCGTCGCATAATGATTGACTCTATCAGCTGCGCCTGTGGTGCGGCGACCACCTTCACGAGTATTGTGCGTTACGTCTGGTGGTTGTGAATCTACACAAATCAAAATATTAACAAAATCAAATATTTATAGAGGAAATAAATCTTACATGGTCGAATATTCTGCATGGCAGAAGAAATATCTGTGATTTCGGTGTTGCGCGAAGAGCGATGGTCCCATACGGGTGGCGGCGCAGGCAACCGCTGCCGATGGTGCGGCGGCGGCGGCGAGCCAGTGCTGCTAGTGTCCGACATCGGCGGCGGCGGCAGCTGCTGCGGAGTGCGACTGCTACGTTCGCGCTCCGGCGTGCTCGTCTCCTCGTTCACGATGCTGTCCTCATCGGACGAAGATTCCGCTACAATAATTTCAATCCAAAATAAAATGATGTCAACATGACTAACATGGCCGCAAGCATCGGCGAATTGTACATTAATGTACCACAAAGCGTGCGTGACTCATTATTCGGCCAAACTTGTTTTTATTTGAAGAAATTTAACGCAACCGTTCAGCGAGAATGCACGAGTTGTAACTAATCGTCCAAAACTCCGGCAATCGTGAACCGAAAAAAAAACATATATTGCCCCACCATGAATTACAAAGGGGCGCGAACAATAGACGAGGGATGGTACAAAAGAGAATAGAGCGTGACAAATGTCGCTAATGTTCGGGTACCATTTTCATAAAATAACAAGTTTGGTACACACACTGAAATATATTTATTTCTGATGCGAGATTTTCAGATTGTGTGATATAGGATGGAGGATTTGTAGGTATTCTCACCGGAGTCGTGTCGATCCCTATCGGGGCTGCGCGCCATGACGGACGTCCGCTTGGAGGGCATCGGCAGCGAGGGCTTGTGTCGATTCTGCAGCGCCTGGGCGAGCGCCTGCTGCACCGCCTCTTGCCGGACTTCTACAAAATTCAAAAGCTCGTGAACATTTGCATCGCAAGCACGCGCTTAGTACACCTACACACGAAATAACAATATATACAGGCGACAGGCACACATCACGATTTACATAAGTTTACACAAGTGGTGCATGCGCATTGTAAAATACGAATTTATTTATTTATTTATTTTGTACGTTGTAGAATAAAACAAACACACACAACTTACGGCTAAACGTGCGCTCATAAAATCGCAATAGAATTAGTGTATAACCGCGTGTAGGTTTTATGGTTTTACGGTTGGCGTTGCAACTTGCGACGATGCGAATAATGCATTTAAATAAGATCCCCGAGAGCGCGGTTAAAACCGGGACCGTAATTGGAATTAAATTTCACTCACTGCTGCGCACGCAAAGACGCCACGCCATTTTGGATGTGCATAAAGTTGTTGCACATTTAGTTTTTCTCATTCCTGCACTCCAATAAACACACTGCAGTTAGTTAATGTGTTTATGATGATCCACCCCTGAAAAGTAACATACTGTGCAAACTGAATAAAACGGCGCGCAGTTTAAATCAGCAATGCAACCGCAGTGTGTAAATAACGATCCAAAATGGCCGGGCGCATGCAGCAGTTTTCGCAAAACGCGCTGGCTCGACAAAAGAAACTCCGTTTTCTCTTTATCTTCCTCCGCGGCGCGCATTGTTGGCAATAAAACTGGGTAATTTATCTCCTACTTTCAACCCCCGCCACATTTAACATATTTTAAAATAACTCCTTCCGCATAAAAATGTCCTTGATATCGCGTGAATTGCAAACATTTTGTATTACGTTCGCATCGCATCCCTTCATCTCATTGCAGGTTTTCTCGCGCACCTCGGAGATAAATTTCAAAACAACATGCTTCCTTCGTCGCCGGTTGTATATCAGAAATGATGTCTTCGCGTTCTGTTGTTTTCCCCAAAGGAAAACACGCGCGCCGCCTGTAAAAATACGCTGCAGTGTGTTTAGGAAATTTAGAAATATTCTGTTCGTGCGACATACTGACTGGATATAGATTGTGATAAATTGCCAGTCGTAAAATAATATTATTCTGTCGCAACAAAGATGGCGCCACAACTGTGTGTAAAAAATAGGTTATGTATGATGTAACAGGATTAGTATGCAGTGAGAATGCATTTTTGCGAGACTTACCAGAATGATAGCGGCTCTCATTGCGCGTGAGACGGCGGTTGCCGCGCCTGAGCGCCTTTGTGGCCGGACTGACGCCCCTTTGTTCGCCCCCAGCGGCGGCTTTACATGCAAAAACAAATAAACAACACTCAGCATGCATAACGAACACAAAAATAACGGTGGCGCGCGCGCGGGTGCAAATTAAATAACGCACGCAACTTTTTTCGAGCTCAACAATTTTGACGTTTAGTCGAAGCGGCTCGTCGTTTAATGTGCGGCAAAACAAATAAAACGAAAGAGGGTAGAGAGAAAAAAAAACGAGGACGAAACTGACACATAACATAAAAAGCAAATAGCAGCATCCATACACACATATACAAACAGAGCTTAGGCAACCCAACAAGCACAAAAATAAAAAAGATAATTAATGACTACGACGATCAACTGAATATTGTTTACAGCACGACAACGAGATGTAAATGCATATGAAAAGGTAGACACAACAACATGAGGCGAACCTGAATGATATCTCTTCTCGCTATGAGTGACGCGACGCTGTGTGCGACGTCGTGTGTGCTGCTTGCCGGCATCGCGGTCGCGACCGCTGCCGCCGCCACTGCCGCCACCACCACCACCGACGCTATTTCCTCCGGTGCCGTTCCCAGCGCTGCCGCCATCGTTGGCGGAGCTGCCCGCTAGACACACACAATACACAAAGCCCAATCAGAAAAGCAACCAAGAAAAAAAAAATATATCCACAGTAAATGTTTCGTCCTGATGGACTGCACGAGGATAACTGGCTGTTCCCAAGACGACGTGACGCCGGAGAGAGCTTGTTAGCCAGTCAGTCGAGGAAAAGACCGACCGAAGCTTGACATTTCGATTACGCTAAACGGAGCGCCAAAGAGCGGCGAGTTTAATGCACCTGTCCAGACATAGTTGAATGGAGAAGAGAATAGATCACGAGATCACGAGCGCGGGATTCATTCCACGCAGTTTCGTATCTGCTTTGTTTTCATTTCGACGAAAACATACAGTGTGTTCAAGTTAATTTTTTTTGTCAACAAAACATATAATAAAATATGACTATTATGATAATCTTTTGTTATCATTACTGATCGTGATCGTGTTGTCTATACTAAAATGATTGTCGAAATAACACTCATCCGGAGATTAATACTGAATGCAAGGCTTGAAAAGCGTAATAGCGCAAAATCCGTGCGCATTGTTCGCACACGATTATTATTATTATCGCGGGCTGTTGTTTCCGCATTACTGTCATCCTCTATGAAAACGTTCGATGATTTAATGCGCCTCAGTAGATATAAACCGATTGCATGTACATTAGTTGTGTATTTGGTTGCCTACATCAACAAAAAAGTGTGTGGTTATTATTTCAGCGCTAGAAATATGATAGTTGATGTATGAATAGCCGAAAAGTTTTTCACGCCAGAAATTATTAATGATATTTGAACTGGAGTTTTAATTAATTCCCCAGTTGGCTGCCAGGCCGGCAATAAAACGATAAAAACCAGCCGAGGAATGAATGATGTTCGGAAATGTAACATTTCAACTTTCTGCACGACGATATGACGTCGTAGTTCCCTAGTGACAGGGACGACGTGGGGTACATTCATTTTTCAACATCTACCCACATCCGGTTGATGCTTTTTTCGAGTGTGTTCGGTTACATTTATATTCTCGCGACTTCCCAGGGCGATAGCGAGTGGATAGAACAAAATGTGAAGAAGATTCTTGTCTCTATTTTGTCGTAGGCAACCAGCATAACGCGAATAATCATCGACAAAACAAACAAAAACTAAAATTTTATTTAAATTTCTGTACTTTTTGACTCTGCTTAAAATAAATGTCTTCATTTCCCAAAAGAACAAATGACCGAACGCGACCCCATAATAAGCGCGCCGACAAACAAATCCACCCTCATTTTTTCTCGTCCTTAGCGCATTGCTCTTCTCCCCACCCACACAGCTTCGCCGTGCGCAAATTCTCAAATTAAGCGATTACTCGGGTGAATGATGATGATAATTATTAAATATCACCAGACACCAGGCCATTCCTAACGCAAAAAGTCGACATCTGGCTTAATGAAATGAATTATTAACGAGAAAGAACCAAAAGAGCACTTTACGCTGCTGATGATGATGATAGGCAACCCAAGCAGCAACCAGGTGAAAACGCACACGAGCGCACGCAGGCAACCCAGATGACGAAATGAATTAATATGAAAACACTCAAGAACACTTTGGGTGACGATGAGAGAGACTCTTCCGTGGAGGATATGAGATATTATATGATATTTCCGAATGAGGCTGTGAACCGTGAGAAAGCAACTTAGATATTTATTAGTACTGGCCTTTTCCTCCGTTAGACACACTTTGTCCCCTGCGAGTCATCAAGAAATACACACACAAAAAACGGTTTGCACCAAACGTCGAGGACGAAATATGAGCAAATAATTTTCCACATGAATAAATTTCTCTATCTACTCACTTGAATTCTGTTGTGTTTTCGGTACGTAGGGGGCGAGTAAACGCGTCTTCTTCTTCTCATATCCTTTCTGAGTGATGTCACCTGAAACAACATACGTGTAATTGCTTAAATATTCATTGCAGAACGTGTACGCCAATTAAATTCCAAACAAGCAGACAAGAATCTTTTCGGATTAATAACTAAATTATACAGTGCGTTCGCATGAGAATAAAATATTAATTGTTTTTGTCTGTAGCGGAGACTCGCAGGTATCTTGTGACGGCCCTGACATCATGACAAGATGACAACAATTGCAATCACCCCGGCTTGGCGGTTTCGCTTTATTTAACAAGCGCTGTCTCCGCGGGCCCCGCGTGCGCACCAGTCTCATTACCATCCGCGCGCGCCTTATATGCATTTCCAGATTGCGTCGAGATCGCAATCTGCACGCCGGCGTTCAATTCCGAAATGTTTTGATTGCGACGCATCAATTTACAATTTACCTGCGCTGCGCTAACCCACACAACGTATGCAACCAAAACAACACAAAAATATACACCAGGTTTAACAAAATGTATAAAAACGTATAATTCTATTCTGTGGAGATATCTAAAAATGTAAATTGTTTCAACATTCTGTATATTTTCGGCGGTATGTATCAGGTTTTACCATCGACATTGAGTAGCGCGCGGATGAATATAAAGATACATGTTTTTCGCAGCGAGTTGCACGACGCAACACAACACACAACTGAAATGGAAACATACACCACACAACCGAGCATAAAGTTTATGCGAATAGAAAGGGAGGCTTTTACAATGCAAAAGAAGTTTTTGCGCCGAACCGGTAGGCAGCAGCAGTGCCACGCGAGATTTATGCAACCCGTTCGGCGAGTGCCAGCGTCCGAACAGCCCACAGCTCAACTCGTGTGATTTATGACTATGATATTTCAAATCTGGCGGGAATAGTAATATTGTAATATGTACAGTATTCCTTCCTCCGTCGAGTCAATGCGTATTTGCATTTTTTCGCTACCAGAATCCGCAGCGTAAAACATAAACATGTTTTGAGCGAAGAATACATTAGAATACATTGTGTCTGGTGGGTGGCCTAATTACATCCACTACTGTTTCTAATTACAAATCGTTATTAATTAAATGCGTTTCATTCCATTATGCAGGTGAAAATGAGTTTTTTTTTTCTGTTGAATGCGAAACACGACATGGGAATTCGCATCCCGGTCACGATATCCTCAAAGCACTCCGGGGATATCAACCACACTCCATTTAGCGTTTAATTTCACTGATAACCGTAAACACATTTATTTAATTGCGTGTTTCCATTGACAAGAAATTTCAGGTAATTATTTTCCAAACACCCTGTATAATTGTATAAAATGCTGGCGTTGCTGGAAGACACGCACCTTTGCGCAAGTAATAGCATCGTCGCGGTTCGTAAAAATGAGCGCCGGAAAAACGCCGGGAAAACGACAATGGCCCGTCCGCTATATGCCAGCGCAATAATAAATAAATGTTAATGCGGCCTCGGCTCACAAAATGGCGGCCACTACCTATCCAAACCCGCATTTTCAGCAGAAACAAGGACATTTCCTTTCCATTCCACGATTTTTCGTCTTTTTCAGTTTGACCATTTGACAACATCAATCTTGTCATAAATTTAAAAGCCTATTTGTGAAAAACTAGCATAAAACATGCCGGAAATATAAAGTTAAGTTTGCAGAGGCTTTGTCACCAATAGTAATTTAAGTTTAATTGTTTGGAAACCACTGAAAGCGTGTTGGAACTGTTGGATGAACCAGGCTCTCGGAGCGACGCTGGTTAGTTATGTTCGTGGGTCACAGTTGGAAATGGAATAATAAGAAAGCGTCATGACCTCCAAAGTCACGAACTTCTTGGCTTGCTGCGCGCCTGCCCGCTGGGGAAACCCGAGACGCGCTTCCGCCCTCGTCCTCGCGTGGTTTCAATAAGAACAAGTGCGAAGACGCTTTCCAACACACCAGCACCAACCAGATTGATATGGCAATTTTCGCGGCGCGCCAACCACATCTCGAAATTGGATTCGAACGAGCAGCCATCGTGTTTTATGATCTTATTATGCGCCCCGACATGATTTCAGCTCATTATTCATTCATACCATCACTCTCACTCTAAACTCACTTGTTGGGAACGTACATATCATGAAAAATAAATACACAATAAATATTAATTTTATTACATTCACGCAAATGTAATATTTATGCAAATGTTATGCAACCAAACTTACATTGATTAACGAAACGCGAACAAAACCCACTTCAAGAGTTCGATAAATCTCTCTGGGGATTATTTAGTTTGCTAGTTAGCGATCATAATTATGTGTTGCGTCGGAAATCCTGCAAATCCTGCGAGAAAATTGGATCGCTCCGGCGGAAACGCGTTTGATTTCCGACGCAAACGCATAAATTGAAAACGCGCGCACGCTATCATCGCAGGCGCCGAGAAATGACGCTCGTAATTTATCGACTTATCTAAAGAATAGGTGGAAGGATTCTTGAGCAAAAACCCTTGGGTCAAGGATCTTATTATGGAGCTGACAATACAAATTTATCGAGTGCGCACTTTACAACCCCACAAAAAATTTACTCTCCAACAAAAACTTGCGCCGACAAAAACCCAAAATCTTAATTCAGAGACAAAAGTTATCATTCCGCACATTATACAAACCAATTTCGCAATAAATTCAGCAGCGGCGGCAGCTCAGCATTCCGAGCGCACAAAATGAACCGTCGATATATCACACCGAAACGAAATTGTCCCGCGTCGCCTTGAAGGGAAATCGATGCGTTCGTTTTAATTCACCGCCCCCACCAACTCTGAGAGTGTACAAAGTAAATTTTATGAAAGCCATCAATAACTTGATTTTACTTGTAGCTGGTAATTTCACTCGGCGAGTACGCAAATTAGATTTATCTGTATTTGTTCAGCGCGCGCGTGGTGGTGGTTTACGTAGATGCAGATTATCAGCGTCGCGCAGCGTCGCAGTAAAAGTGTTTCCCAAGAGAGCGCGGATGGAAACTTCTTAAGCAGTTTCCGGGCTTTCAAACTTGCATAATAGCATTTTTCCACCCGTGTTCCCCCACTCCTCCAGACTACATTTAAGAGCACTTCCGACCAGTCAGAATAGATTAACATTATAATATATAATATTTTCTTGTGCTGCAAAACCGCAAATAATTTTTTATATATAGACACGCATTGAGGTATAATAAACTCGTGTTGGAAACGAGCGAGGTCTTCATATCGACGCATATTGCTCTCGAGGGTTGGCACAGAGGGTGGACGGCTGTTAAGCGCTGCCGGAGCGCGGTGGTTATTGCCGCGTTTCAGAGTTTTCCTCCACCGCAGCCGGCGGCAAGCCGCAGGGGACGTCCGAAATCGTCTCCTAAACTCTTTATTTCGACGCAACATATTTTACAAGACCAAAAAAAAAACTACGTCGATGTACATTTATTTTTTTAAGTAATTGCTGACATATTTTTCCAATCTTGTTTCTGTGTGCTTTTATTGAATGCATCTTTGACAAAGTTCGTAAAGAGATAAGCCCGTGCCGAGCACTTGTTAACCGTATCAATGGCTACACTTGTGCGCACTTCTAAGAAGTCTATTCATGCCGAAGATATGCAACACATGCTTCCGAATTTGAGGAAGATTCGAGCGTGAATGTTGAAAAGGACGTGCTGGTAACGCGATCGCGTGAGAGTCACTTTTTTATTTACTCGGCGGCAGCAATGACGTTTCGAGTATGTACGAGTTTCACACAAAGTGTGAAAAAGTCGCAAGTTGCTGCCTTTGAGTCAATGCATTTTAAATGATGCCGCATCACACATGACTACATCACTTGTTCCACTCTATGCTGGAATATATGGGGTGTAAATATATACAGGGTGTTCACAGTAATTAAATTATTTAATTGTATAATATGTTTGCGGTGGTTGATGGTCGTGATAATGTCATAAATAATTCCCGACTCGATAAATATTAGTTCGATGTTACTAAATTAAACCGCCACCCTCGCCGCCATAAATAATGCATTTATTGTCGATCCGGGGCGCGCGTTTCATGCGCCGTTATTCGTAATATTCGTAATAATTTATGGTAAATGGTAATTGGAAATAGTTGCGTTGTTTATTTGATGTTGGCCGTTCGGTAATTAAACATTTCACATAATGGTACATTGATCAGTCGAAATTAATTGCGAAAACTAATCAAAACTATTTAATAAACCAACAAAATAATTCTATTACTATTAAACCCAAAAAAAATTTAAGTGAATCTAATTTACCACGAGTGATCAATATTCAACAAAGGAGAGGCATAGACACAAAGATCGATCCTAATGCGATAAATTAGGATTTCCTGCTAAACACGTTATGCACGCAATCGCGGCAGATATTGGTCTCTCGTGTGTCTCGAGAGAGTTCGGAGATTAAATTTCGGGTCGCCTTTGAGAGGAACTGATGTCCGTGCCTGATATCGACGAATTCCGACATTTTCGAAACGAATCAAAACAAATTGCGGCCATGAATCATGAAATTCGGTGTCATTTCCCCATACAATTGAGTGGAAAATCACACAGTCAAAAGATTTTTCTCCTCGGGCGATAAATCACCGCTGGAAAAATACAATTCCAAGATACAATAGGAAAAATTTATATTCCAGGAAATAAAACTAAAAATAAAAACAAAATATTTTCTTAGTCATTCGAGTTAATTAAATGTCCAATGACTTAATTGATGTAACTATGCGCACTTGACGCAGTCAGCGGCTATTTGCGCTCGCCTCGAACGAATTAAGTGACATTAATTAGCAAAGAGCGCGCCAGCGATGCACGCGTGGCGGTGTAACCGCATTGGGTCAACACCGTCCGATGCAAATTTCACTTGAATTCACTTGTTCAAACACATCGTATATTCGTCAATTGCCCGCTGAGACCACCGCGCGACCACCGCCTTCGCACCCAGAGTGAATTAGAACTGATGTCAGCACAACTTCCAAGTGCATACGTAAAGTGCCCCCGTGCCAGCGGAACAACCTCCACAACGC